CTATTTCTTGTGATGAAGGCTACTTCCCAATGCATTAGAATTAGCGGGAGCGTTAGTGAAGATGGTTCCTACGATAGCATATGATCCCCAGAGATGATGAGAGATAACTTTGCAGCAGCCTAAATCCAGGATGTTAAATCCAAGATGGTTGTATCGCTCATCTGTTTCAAACAATGTGCTGTTGGTGTGTGGTCCGAAGAACTGAAATAAAACAAAGGAAACCAGTTTTGAAAAAGATAGCTGCACCATATAAATAGTCCCAAGTTTGTTACAACTATTTATGGTAGACAGTGTTTAGTAGCAAGGCTGTGCTCTAGCAGAGCCTGGTGGCCCCTGGCACCTGCATGTAACTTTTGCTCCTGGGTGACTAAAAAGTCTTAGTTTTTTCATAAAAATCATATGTTGGGCACCCCGGATTTCACAGTTCCAGGGCGCTGGGCTCCCTTAAATTTTTCTTAGAGCACAGCCTTGGGTAGTGTTGGGAATCGGCACATTTCATAATTGAGATTATACGAAATAATAAATTGGAAATTGTCCACTCAATCAATCATCAATTCATTGGAAAAAACTTCTGTATACGGATTCCATTTATTTTTCACCTTTGGGCAAGTCAAAGTACATATGACTTTATTGTACATGTAAATATGTAATACAAACCTTTTTTGAGTTTTTTTGACAGTAGACGACTAGACTCAGAATTTTTCTCTGGTTTTCAGGTGAACAATTTCTCTTTCTTCTTTAAATGAGAGACCATTAAACAGGCAACACACGAGCATTTAATGCCAACAAGAAATTATAGTTTTTCCCCTATGATAATTGATTGAAATTGTTGTCCAAAATCAATTATTGCATTGCCTAAAGATTTTGACTAGGTATCAATTAAAATCAATGACCAGCACACCACTAATGTTTAGCTATATTTTTGTAACCTCATTTTTTACACTACACACCTAACAATAAACCTCCCCCAAAGTAATCAGTTTTTGATTCTTTTTTAGCGTGTTACATAATGGCCACCTTTCTAGATTTTACTACAGCATATCCAAGAATAAATGGATTGAAAACCATCCTTTATGTTGTCACAAAGCCATCTAGTCTTTTAGCATTCGTGGTGGGATCACTGCGGCCCCCCTTCGCTAGTCACCAGTGAATAAGTGCCAAAGATTTATGATACCAACTCACCGCTGTCCCTGATGATGGATCTATAAAATCTGCCCAGTACCCTGCTGCCATCAAGCTGTTGCAGATTTCTTTTGCACTCTCCACAAACTGTAACAAAACACATCAAGCAAAGCTTACAAAGGAAAGCTGAGGATAACAAACTTTAAAATACTAGTTTCTTTAATTGCAAGATATAACAAATATACTCATGTACAAAAACCTAGAATGCAATGTAACTGTATTAAAGTATTGTAAATGGAGACTGAAACAAGCAAAAAACAAATCATAAGCAACAGCTTACATTGGACATAAGGTTATCTCTTTCATCTTCCACATCAGGCGACCATCCACTCATGTCATTTTCAGTGCGTTGACTGATGCTAACAGCAGTCAGTTGACCTGTGTGGACTCCAATATCAGGAAACAGTTCCATGAATCCATTGTGAAGAAAGTCCGGGACCTGTTGAACACTGCATTCCACTGATCCAGCAGCGTGGTTCTTCTACATTTGAAAAAAGTTGTTTTCATGAAATTTCTTTAGTCTTCTAGTCGTGCATCAAAACAGAAAAGGATATAATCTGCTTTTGAATTTAAGTTTTCATGTACTACAGGAACAAAAATGAATCTTAAAAGATAACCTGCAACAATGGACAAGAGTTATTTATGTTGTAATGTAGGAGTCTGATACAGCCTATGTCCTAAATTATGTGGTAGGAGGCATATCACACCAATAAAGTGATTGGAGTATCAAGATTAAAATAGCGAAAAAAAGTTAAACCTTTCAGTCCCAATAGTGACCAAGATCAATTTTCTCCTCACAATATCCATACATTGTCAACAGACAAGTTATGAGAATAAATAAAATGATCACCCAAGTAAAAATGTCTCGATCTTTTATCAAATTCTCTCAACTCATTCTTTAAGGACATGTATGGAGACCAGTTTGGAGAATTTGTTTGTGGATACTGGGGCTTAAAGGGTTAAAGATAATTTCCCCAATATGATTCCACATTTCAAAAGATCAAGATGAAAGCTTCAAAAATACAGCGAGTGAGATGAATAGCTAAAATGGGACATGTATTAGACGTCCTCATAATATTGGAAGTCACATACACCCTAAACCTTTCACGTGCCCCACACTTTTCTTACAAAATTCCAACAAAGTGACCGCCCTATCCCCCTCCCCTCTAGGGCATGGAAGCTCAGTTCAGGCTAGTCACTTAAGTATATCAAGTGAATAACAATTTATTCAACCTGAGGCTGGGACGTTGCTTCGTAATTTTCTTCAGCAATATCCTTCATGTAAGTGTCCATAATGACTGCTTTTCTGACATCCTCAGATTCCATATCTAACAGCACCTCAGCCACAGATCGCCTTTGCACTTCGCTGTTTTTTGGAGCTGGCTGCGGTAGATGAGCAAGATCAACGCCCACATTGCCTGGCAGAGGAAAGCAGGGGTCCTTGGGAGCAAATGGCCCAAGCCTGCTATCGGGCCAATTAGTCTGAGTACCACCTTGAATAAAACCAAACCAAACTTACCAAGAAAATATCAACACCATTTCCTTTAAATAAGCACTTTCCTTTGAATCAATCAAGCCCCTCCCCCCCCTCCCAGGGTAGGGCAAAACTAATAAATATGCCCCTCCCTCTCTTTCCTTCACTTTCTTAATTGATTGGCAGTGACGTGGAATAAGGCCTTTTATTATATATGTTGTAGTTAATTTTTTATCCCAGGTAATTTTTATTTTTCCTTTGTTTCAATTTCATTAGCATACATTACCATACCCAAAAACAAAAGAAAAACAAAAATTACCTGAGATAAAAAATTAACTACAACATATACATACTGAGAAATACTCACCAAAAAGCTATGTCGTAAATTTTCGTACGCAAATTAGTTCTAGCCAATCAGAGGAGCGAACGATGGTTTTCACACGTGAAAAAAACGATACGTCCAATCAGAATCGCGAACGATGTTTTTTCACGTGTGAGAAAAATGATACGTCCAATCAGAAGCCACAGAGGTGTGCGAGTTTCGCGCCAAAATTGCCGCCTTTTATTGCAGCTTGCAGCGCCCGCGCACACATTCAACGAGAAAAGTTTTACTCAAGGAGTTTTTCTCGCTAAAAAGTGAAAAACATTTCGAAATGGAGTGGAATAGTTTCGTTTGTTTCACTGTCGATAAAAAAAATACGGTAGAGAGCCGTGAAACAACAGCAGAAAGGGATAAACAGAATGAGGCGTAAGCTTTTTTGTTGTGCTTTTTGTCGGAGCTACTTTGCCTTTCATTTAAGCTTAAGCTTATATTGAAACCGCCATTTTACTTAAATTCACTCATTTTCAATTGTGCATTGAGAACAAACAGTTAAGATTACTTATAGTTCTTGGATTACCTCATATCCTCACCGTCATTTATGTTTTTAACAAACGTTTTTACTAAAAAGCTGATACTTCGTTTTTCGTTGTCATTTTGCGGTAAGTGTGTAGCGGCAAATTTTAGCATTTTTGAAAGATTTAAAATAAAAAGACCCGCAAAATGAGGAATGACTCAGTATGTATATAATAAACACAATACCACATGGAAAGTGCTTTGTACGGTATTTACGCACTCGTTGTTTTTGTATCAGAAATCTTACTCGTTCGCTGCGCTCACTCATTCGATTTCTGATACGTCAACAACTCGTGCGTAAATACCGTACGCCAGCACTTTCCATGAAGTATTCTCTATAAGTGACTTTTGACATAATGTCAAATTCTCTGTTTGCTTCACAACCAAATGAAGGGCAGTTTTGAAGGAGAATCTGGCAATTCATCGGAAAAATCATGTACGGCTTTATTCCACTCTCCCCTAGTTTCTTTACAGGGTTTCAGAAGCAGAGCCCTTTTTTTCCTTTGAAGGGGAACAGACAACAAAATTGCAAGTAAAATTTCTAAAATGTGTGCAATTCCACAATAGACCTTTTTACCGATAAGGCAGCCATATTGAATTAATTCGATTTAAGGAGTATTTTAGGATGCCCAGGGGCATGAGCACATTTCGTTTGTATTTTTGAGCGCTTTTCAGGACATTTTTTCTTAAAGTTTTCTTAGAATAAGATTGTAATGAGAGAGAAGATCCTTGTGCCCTGTTTGGATGTAATAATGATCACCTTTTTCTAGTTTAGTATTAGAAATATGGTCTTTCACTGTTGTATTTCTCAGGAAAAAGGCGATCATTATCGGAGGCGATCTAGGAGGGTGTTATCATTATCGGAGGTGATCTAGGAGGGTGATATCCGCCTTGGCCTACGGCCCTGACAGATAACACCCTCCTCGATCTCCATAATTCTTCATAAGATACTCAGCCTCATTCATTAATTGTTTATTAACCCATTCACTCCTGGAGATTTTGCCGAAAAATGCGTTTTGAAGCTAGTCGAGTGGTTTTCTGGTCACTGTCATGCTATAAAGAGCTAAAACTTACCACAAACCGGTTTACAGGTCGTACACTTGGCGGCCTTCTGATCCAGATGCAAAATATCAGCTTACGAAGTTCGGGCATGCGCAGAAAGCAAAATTTCGAGAGTTTTTGGGTTTAAAAGTGACACAGCAGTCTTGACTTTTACTTTTCGCTTTCTCTCCTCCTTTCTTTTTTCGCTTTTCTTGCCTCATTTTTTTTTTCTCTTGCTGGGCATTTAGTAGGCTTCATTTTGGTGGGAAGAGTTTTTAGGAAAGCTTTTAGGATCTTAGCATTAGGTGAAAGCAAAGGTAGGTGGGTAATGGAACAAGATTTTCATGGAGATTTTCAGGTCAATGTCACGTGGTTTTTTGCTTCTTCCTCCCGTGTCCTTGACTGAATTGTGCTCATTCTGGTATGGTTTGAGAGATCTCTTCACTCTGCACAAGTTAGCGAAGAAAGTTGTCCTTGACCGTTAAAACTGATGACGTCACAAAGGGTAGAAAGGACCTGGATCCGCACGGGTGGTTACGGGCGGTTCAGGAGCGAATGGGTTAAATCGAATTAATTCAATATGGCCACCGTATCAGTAAAAAGGTCTATTGGTTTAGGCTCCATATGGGCAAAATAACAATAAGTACTCAAGCACTTAGTAACTCAGTCCCGTTTTTCCAAGGGGGTGGGTAGAGGATCTGGACACGTTCCGACCCCCAAAATTTTGAACTTTCAGAGCCCTAAAATGCAATTTCAGCATTCTTGAGACTAAATTTGAGGACAAAAGAGAGTGTTTTTCATTCAAGAAAATGTAGCGTTCAATTTTCACAATCAATTCCAACAAGCAATGAACAAATAATGAAAACTAAATTACGTACTTCTGCACACAAATTCTGCATAAACCTATAAAGAAACTTGTGAAAAAATGACTGAAATATAGCATTCACACGACTAATAAAGCATAATGTAAGCCAGTGGGCCTTTATGAAAACACATTTGATCACAATTACGTTTTCATTCAGATTTTATGATATATATTTTGTTTACAACATTATTCAAACTAGTTGCTTCTTCTTTCTAGAAAAAAGTAGCCAGTCTCCATAAGCAAAGTAACCAATGTGTTTCGTCGGCCGTTGGTACTTATTGAAACCCCTGGGAACTATTATTTTGGACTCAAGTAAGGTAAGTCAGTTGACTAAAAGTGAAACCTTATGAATGTCGGACCATTCAAATAAAACCTCTCTTTGTTTGAGTGAGAACATACCGCAAAATTCCAAAAATAAGCCCCTGGGCTTGTATTTTTCAAAGGCCCTTTTTGAGGGGCTTATTCTTGGAGGGGCTTATCTACGGAGGGATATTTGCATTTCAAAATTGATTGGGCTAGCCTTATAGTTGGAAGTAAACTTACCGTTTTTGCTTTGTTTTACTTTGCTTTTGAGGGCAATTCTCCAAGTACAAGCCCCCGGGGGGCTTATATTTGGAGGGGCAATTTAATGGAGGGTTTTTTGCGTTACCGGTTTGGGGGGCTTATATTTTGGAGGGGCTTATTTTCAGAATTTTATGGTATTTTTAGTAAAAGAAAGAACAATCATTATGCTTCTCTGCCATGTTTATGTGGGAAACCAAACTTCACTTGAACAACAACAAAAACATCAAGCTCCAAAGCAAAGTAGTACTGGAAAAAAGAATAGTTTTCTTATCAGCAAGATAATAAATAAGAGATATACACGTACCTGTTCCACCTCCATGCAATCCAGTGTCAGTACTTGATGTACTTAGCACTGCACCTCGCTGTAAATTCCTTACCATCTGATTGACTACTGCTCTTAAGCTAGGAAAGTACCTGACTGCACGACTGCTCTTTCTAAGTGCCTGATTATAGAAAAAAGACAGAGAAATTACACCTAATTCTGTATAATTAAGTGAAACCTTGTTGAGGTGTATAGAAGATGATTGCCCTTTAACCCATTCGCTCTTGAAGATTTTGCCAAAAAAACGCGTTTTGAAGCTAGTCAAGTGGTTTTCTGGTCACTGTCGCACTATAAAGAGCTAAAACTTCCCACAAACCGGTTTACAGGTCGTACATTTCGCGGCCTTCTGATCCAGATGCAAAATATCAGCTTGCGAAGTTCGGGCATGCCCAGATAAATTTTGGGTTTAAAAGTGACACAGCAGTCTTGACTTTTACTTTTCGCTTTCTCTCCTCCCTTCTTTTTTCGCTTTTCTTGCCTCATTTTTTTTTTTCTTGCTGGGCATTTAGTAGGCTTCGTTTAGGTGGGAAGAGTTTTTAGGAAAGCTTTTAGGATCTTAGGATTAGGTGAAAGGAAAGGTAGGTGAACAATGGAACAAGATTTTCATGGGGATTTTCAGGTCAATGTCACATGGTTTTTTGCTTCTTTCTCAAGTGTCCTTGACTGAATTGTGCTCATTCTGGTATGGTTTGAAAGATCTCTTCACTCTGCAAAGGTTAGCAGACAAAATTGTCCTTGACCATTAAAACTGATGATGTCACAAAGGGTAGAAAGAATGTGGATCCACACGGGTGGTTACAGGCGGCTCAGGGGCGAATGGGTTAACCTTAAGGCTTTAATCAGATAATCTCTTACTAAGACAAAATACAAGAAAACATGGCACCCAACTGCAACAACTCAGGTAGATACTTAATATGTAGTCACTTAAAAAGTCAGTGACTAAAACTTCTGGTTCATAAGCACAGGTCACCCAAAACTAAGAATGTGATATCTAACAGTTCATAATGTTTGCAGCACACTGTTCTCACTTAAGTTCTGTTTATGTGGTAAGCAATACAGTAATATACTACACACCCTATAATGAACAGATAAAAGCAGCAGTGATTAATTTTCTATACTCATTTCCCAGAATAATTTTCTTTACAATGACCCTGTATTTAGTGTACACCTCTACTAAGCGGACATCAGCAGAGATTCTACGAGAATCAATCTGGTTAAAGCAGAAAATAGAGAAATAACTTTTGAATAGGAATAAATCAAAGTTAAATTACAGTCACACCCCATTTTACGACACCTGCTCAATACACCTCATTATTACGGACAGTTTGCTTTGTCCCTTGGGAAAGAAAGCCCTTACACTTTCTATTAAATTCAACATTATTTTATTTTGATACAGACACCTCATTAATACTGTCACTTTCTATTGCCTCCCAAATTTCAATCTGCAAACAAATTGATCAATGCCATTTTGTATGGAATTGAACTCACAAAAAGATTTTTGCTTGAAATTTTTTCAAAGACAGATAAAAAACAAACTTCATCCCTTGATTAAGCTCAGTTCAGTTCCATTCAGACCATTCACTTCAATGTTGTTGTGATATGTGACACCCTATGAATATTGCTTGTGAACATGAAGAATGATCTGCATATCCATAACCATTTGATGAAACGGTCTGTTACTGACGATGAATTTTTCATGTGTCAAATCTACTTTAACTCAAGAAAATCCAATTTTTACATGAGAAGTGTTATGTCTGAAAGTGACGGCGTCATATGCATAAAAGCTTAAGTTAAGCAACAAGAATAAATGGATGTATAAAGCTTATGTATTAAGTGAAAGTAGGATGGAAAGAATGACTCAATTTGTATAAGTTGAACAAGGAGACTATTGTGAAGTGCCAGCTCATCATTTCACCAAAACATACGTAATAAATAAGGCTTATTAAAACAATTACTGTCTTGTGATCGTGATTGCTAAAGACAAAGTTGTTTCCCAGATGCACTAGAGCACGTAACGAAATGTAGAGTTTATATTTCGTTACAGAGAAAAAAAATGCCCCCACAGATTTCTTTCCAGTGATATAAAAGCCACTGAGTTATTTGTGAAAATCGTGATAGTTATAACAATGAAAGTAGGGACAAAAACATTAAACATACGCTGGACCCATAATAGATATACACTGATATAGTAGCCAGTTGTTTAGATTACGTGCGTTATGGACAAAATTAGTTTCAACATCGCTGCTCCTGATTAAAAACAGCTAAATATGATAAACATCTATCAGATGAGTTTTTACCTTAGTAGCCATGCCCTTGTTTAAGAATAAAGATTAGACAATCCGGTAAAATGCGAAATTGTTATAGCCGTATTAAAAATTCAAGACCTCCAGTACCACACGAAAGAGAAAGCGCATACAGCAGACGTGACGCAATTCATGTACTGTCAGTTAGTATTTCATGTAGGCTTTCATACACTGTCCTGCGCGACCTAACGCGCGACCCGCCCGAGATGAACAAGCTCCCCTCCCCGCTGGTGCATGAATATCTTTTAGCTTACACGAATAATTTTTGGACTTCGCCCGCCAACCCATAAGTTTTCTAATGGTCTAAGTGAATCGCTTATGCTTCTATTATTGAGAGAATACAGTCGACTCCCGTAGCGCGGTGAGAGAAAATTCACAAAAACAACAACTGACTGAACGACAACAACATCAACAACTTTTATTGCGCAAAAAAGATATTTAGACGAACTGAACGGACTAATTACAGTGTGTAATAAAGGTAGCGGGCTGGAGAGCTGTTTTTTTTGAAACATTGTGTTCATTCACTATTTCGATATTTATCCAGAAAACACGGAGGACACGGAGGGACGGGACTGTTATGAGACTTACGTGACTACCTTGCGTGACAATACAGTGAATGCCGCCAAGACGCAACAACCTGGGCTCCAGTTTCTAATGTACACACAGCTTTCGCAGATGTCAAGATAACTTCTTCAGACTTCATTAACGTACCGTTTTGTATTTACTTTATAGTGGTTCCATTCAATTTAAAGAGCTCGACTGCAGCCTTTTTTCAAAATGACGAAGCCTGTTAGCAGAAAACCGGGCAAGAAAGGACACGGAGATATAAGTGTTAAGAATTCAAGCAAGAAACGGGCTTCCAAAACTCAGAAAGCACATCAATACCAGCAAGAGAAGTCTCAAAAATGGACAGTTGTTTTCGCGATTTGTTGTTTACTTGTTGGAGCAGTTGCAGTTGCTTTGTATATTGTCCCTACGATTCACTTTGCTTTGAAAGACAATGCCTCCTCGAAAAAGGACTTTCAAGAACAGAAGAGGGCATTTAAAGATGATGGTGTTGATCGTAAAAACAAGAAAGGGAGGGAAAAGTCGACAGGTAAGACAAGTCACTTGGAATATTCTAGTGATGCTATTATTTCAAATAGCGACACGTGTAATAAACTTTAAACAAAATAGAAATTAAAACTAAAAATCGGTCTCCTGTACTTCTTATCTCTGGCCATTAGTCCAATCTCAGACTAAGGATCACAGTAAAAATCAGAGCTTAGTACGATCTATTAGAATTGCCCTTTGCAAAGATGCATAAGTAGAAAATTAGAACGGGTACTATTTGAACCACTGACTATCTGATTTCGTTTAGTTTTAATACATTTCGTAACAGTTTGTCAGTGAGATTTTTCTCTGATATTCCAGAAAATATGCAGACCTCCACTGCAGGAGGTTGGTCATCATCCCCTCCCTCACCCCCACAGTAAATTCTAGTTCACTGACACTTGAATACTTTGCATGCAGAAGAGCCTACTTTCTATTAAAATTAATATTGGGTGAGGGGCAGTGGTTCAAAAACAGGAAGAGAGGTGGTTCCACATTTGGGTGCTGTTCAGTTGAGCACTGTTCATGTTGCTTTTTTGTGTTTATACAGGATCACCAGTGCAAGATCTTGGCCCAGAATTTAAAGATTTTAAGCTGTCAATTCAGAGCAAGTTAAAGATCAAGAATATTAAGGAAAATGACCATGAAATGATAATTCATGAGCTAAAACATGACAACCCCAAGAGTTCTGTTCATGCATACATTGTGGAAAACTTTCTAAGTGATGTCGAGTGCGATGGTCTTATGATGGTTCACAGTAGGCACGTATCTGAACTTAACAAGCAGGTGCCAATCATCTGCTTTGACAGCCTTAAATCTTTCCGTGAATACTTAAAAGATGCAAAGCTCAAAATAAAGGTGTCACCAAATGATTTTACAAGGGGAACCACTTGTATCAATGAAACATTTTCTGCTAAACTTCAGGCTCATTTTAAGTGGAGTTATAGCACAGCATTTTATCCAGGAGAGAGCAAGTTTTCCACATTGTTTGCAGACAAAATACAGAAAGCAACGGGACTCAAAGTTGAAAATGGAGGGAAATTCCAGATCACGTCATATCCTCAAGGTGTTGGTAAGTTCATTAAATATCTTCTACTGGCCTGCATTGGCATTATTCCAAAATATTGTACAACAGTAAGTGATTTAATTTAAGTCTTACAGAGGTATGAACTCTTCTACAATACTTAATTTTACCAGTTGCTGCCTCAACTCTTACCTGGTTTCTCCAATTTAAATCTCCTTTTCTGTTTTCCTCTGGTAACTGGTAACAAAAAGGCCCCCCACATTATTTTGGGACTGGCGTATAGAATGGTAAATTCGAGACTTTGCAAGGATGCAAGACCCCGGTTTTAAAATTGGAGACGGAGACATAAAAAAATTAAAGACTTTGAGATGCAAAATCACCCGAAAACAAGACTATGAGCCATCACAATTGACAAACACTTCTGAGATTTAGAGGTCAGGTCAAACTTTTCTGAGACCCACGTTTTTCAAGGATCCATTCTATACCCCTAGTGATGCCTTTAAGTAGTAAATTAACTGTTTGTCCTCAAATGATTAACCATGCTCTAATAAGAGCCCTGCACCTCCCTAAAATAAGCTAGCAAAAGAGTCCCACTCATGAAATGGTCCCATCTCCTCCCTGAGAAGAGAGTAGAACCCCTACTGAATTTTAAGTGCCCCATCAATATCATAGCCTGCGAAAACATCCGTTTCTCCTCGCTCTTTGCCGCTGGGGATGTTTCTCAAGGAGAAACGTCTGCGACTCAGCAACGGAAATTCCATACTGATGACGTAAAATCTGTTCGAAATCCGGTCAGAAGCGCTGATTGGTCAACCGAGTAGTTACATTGTTTTAGCTATTGTTTGCGAATGACAGACAAAAGACAAAAGGCCACAAAGTTCAAATGTAAACGCGAAGAATCTCTAGAAAAACAGTCAATATTTGTGGAATATACTCTTCCCTAGAAGAAGCGTTTGAGTTTTTGCTGGAGCTCATTGGCAGATCAGCACAACACTTTGCCAAAATCGACCAGAAGACACGTAAAACTGGACAAATTTGTGTTTGGAACCTCATGACTACCGGATTTATTATGTAAACATTGATTTGCGTCGTCAGTATGGAATTTCTGCCGCTGAGTCGCAGACATTCCTCTGCGCGAAACGTCCCCAACGGCGAAGAGCAAGAAGAAACGGATGTTTTCGCAGGCTATCAATATCACAACCATATTCTTTCAGCCCAAATGTGTCTCAGATATGCTCTAGTCAGTTATTTTCTTCAGGCATGGTTAATTTATAACCATTTCCTAATAATATGACCACTTTTCTGTGACGCTTGGATGATCATAGCAATGGGTCTTTACTGTTAATAATAAGATATCACAGGGAAATCTTCTTTCTTGAAGGAAAAACATACATTTACTATTAAAGCAGTCTCTCCTTTGAATGAGGTTGCCCCACCCCTCCCCCCTTTTTTGCTTAATTTTAATGAGCACTCAACCACTTATTCACAGAAATATTCTCTTTACAGTATTTCCTGTGGAGTGATATTGAATTATTGTAACATATTGGCATCTTGATAATATGACTCAAGTGTAACTAAATAACACTTTTCAGGTTACAAAAATCACACAGACTGCATCGTCAACCACCCTGACAAAAGAGATCGATATGCTACCGTACTCGTGTACTTGAGAGACGTTGAAGAAGGAGGAGAGACCGAGTTCCCACTGTTAGGAATCAGTGTAAAACCACGTAAGGGTCTAGCACTAATATGGAACAGCATGAACTCCCGTGGAGAATGTGATCCCTTTTCGCTTCATAATGCAGCTAAGGTCATCAAAGGACATAAGTTTATTATACAAAGATGGTAAGTGAAGAGATAATAAATGGGGTTGGATAAAAAAGCCTCCGAATGACTTCTGATTATTTTGAATTAGAAACAAAAGGGAGAATTTGACATTAGATCATTGTCCCAACTTGTCATCTTTAAAGGATCTCTCCCTCCAAGAGTTCAAGTGTGGAGAAAAAAAGTGATGTACTAGGCAGCAATAAATTTGATGGAAAAGTGCTCTTGTGTTGGGGAAGATGTGGAAAGGGGCATTTAATTCCCTTCACTTGGGGGGTTCCGGGGGACTCCCCAGGGAAAACTTTAATTAGGGGATGTCCCTGAAAAAAGAATTCCCACGACCAATGTATTTTGAGTGACCACATGCACAAGGGAAAGAATTTTAACCCATAAGAATTAATCAGCTTAAATTACTCATTATTTGCAATGATCATGTTTACTTACATCACTAACAAATAGCGGTGAAATAAATGCAGATTTATTACGTTCCTTAGCAAAAATAATTTTCTGTGAATTAAACCCATCCCTTTAATTATTCTTGATATGACCAGACTGAGCTTTTTGCTGGTTGTGGGAGCTCCTGGACATTTACCATATCCTGCCTCCCTATTTATCATTGAAGAACTGGATACCAACGGCTTGATGTCACCACTCAATACTTCAATTATCTGATTTGAGATCCCAAGAAACACTTTACCTTGGCTTATTATGTTTTGGCATAGTGGTCACAGCTACGGGGTTGAAACCCCGACCCTGTTTAAGACAATAATTGCTCAAATAGTTACCATTAGGACATTGTGGCACTGAAAAAATAATTAAATCTAGCATGATCTTACCATTTTCTCAAATCCATCCCGGGTTTGAACCTGTTTTATTAACCAGGCTGCTGTGGCCTCACATTAGCAAGGGCCGGGGCTTGATAGTGGGCCTGTAAGAGAGAGACTGTAAAATTCCAAAAATAAGCCCCTCCAAATATGAGCCCCCCAAACTCATTATGCAATAAACCCTCCGTTAATCACCCCTCCAAATAATTATAAGCCCCCGGGGGCTTGTACATGTATTTGGAAATTTCCTTCAAATTCAAAATAAACAAAGCAAAAACTGTACAGTAACACATAAATTTTTGCATTTGCCAGCTATTGTGTGTGCCAAATGATTGTAGTCAAAAAGTGTCACAGTATATTGTTTGTGTAGTTCATTCTAACTCTTGACTTGGATAATTTCCTCATTCAATATAGACAAAATACTTGCATGGCGAAGTCTAGTAAGATCTATGTCCCCAAGACAATTAAGTTTCAGTTAAAACTTTCTGCAAATTACTGACATAAATTTTCTTCAACTATGAGCTAGCCCAATCAATTTTGAGATGTAAATTTCCCTCCCAATATAAGCCTAGCCAATTTTGAAACACAAAGTTTCCTCCCTATATATAAGCCCCAGTCAAAAAAGGCTTTATTTGAAAAATATAAGCCCCATTGGCCTTTTTGGGAATTTTATGGTATCGTATTAAAAAGAAATGTTATTACCTGGTAAATATCGGCAGATCTTGGCAGAGGGAAGGAGGATTGCTTGAATACCAGTCCCCCTCCTGTTATACCAGATGTGATTCCAGCATTCAACATTCTCAGTGTTATGTGCCTCTGATTGAAAAATAATTGAATTCCACCCCATCCCCCCCCCAGGGGGGGGGGGGGTACTCCCATACATTACCTATACAAGTATGTGCCACCCAACGGGGTCGTGATTTTGAAGCTCCTGACTTAGAATGTGGTATCCATTTCAGAGGCGTTTTCTAGAACGGGGTATAATATTTCGAATGCACGAAAGCTCCAGTTTTGTAAGCAGCCATTTGAAATTATTCAAGGACAGATTGCTTTTAAAAATATGGTTCAATGCGTTAACAAGCAAACTGTTGTACTCTTTGCACCTTAGAACGGAGTATAAAAAATTGGCCCATTTCTAGAACGGGGTATCAGTTTTAGGGCGCTTTTCTATAACGGGGGATCAATTTTAGGGGAAATGTTTTTTAGAACGGGGTGCCAATTTGGAGTCCCAGGTGGCACATACCCACCCCAAAAATACCCAAGTACCCCCGGGCCCCATCCTTTGGGCAAGCTGCAGCCCTGAGTCACATTTTGCTTCTTGAATTAATTACTTGCTTGTTTTAGTTGATGATTTAATAGTTCAGAACGACTTGCCCAGTCACCGTTGCCATTTCGGAAAGTATAAAACTTTTAAAGATTATTGCCCAACAAGACAATCAACTGATCCCTGACTACCAAATGGGACTTTTTTCGAGCCATGTTTTGTGTTTCTTTATTTTGTAATCGTATTTCTTCTCTTTTTTCCAAATATCCATCTTTTACAATCTTACAGGTACTATTACCACAACTTCCCTTCACTTGGAAGACGTCCTCAGGAGCCTTTGTTACCTCAGCGCATGGCTAATCAACCTAGAGTGTCATGTGATGAGTATGAGCAAGGAAGTTGCCGATGGTACGATGAATGGAATTACGATCACTTGCTGGACTATACTGCTAATCTACAAAATCTCATCTGATCAAACACTTCTAGTTACATTGAAAAAATAATTTATTAACTGTAGTAAAGTATAAATATGCTAATTTAGTGATATAAATCATTGATCCATTCACTCATTGCAGTGGCCAAAAATTAAAAATTGTCTCACAAAAATTCAATTTTCTATTTCTTTTAAATTCTGAGAAACAGCTACTACCCTGCTTAAGTTCTATCAAAGAGGTTCCAATTGAATGTAAACATCTTAGAGTTTCATCTACAGCATCAAAATTGGAAATGCTCCCATTATATAACTCAGAGCCTGTTTACATGGAGGTGGGGAACCCCAGGTAAGTGAGGTAACCCGCTTAGGTGGGGTAGAAAAATAACCCTCCATTACATGTAACCTTACAACCCCGCCATCCCAGGGTGCACTTTCTCAAGATTATTTAATGGTCGCTAAGCACGTAAACAAGAAAAATGCTGGCAAAGCACTCGTTTTGTAGCCTCCCATGCAGACATTCTCAGGGGTTCGTCACGCGTTCCAAAGAACGTCTGCATTGGAGGCTACTCGTTTTGGTGATTAATGCTCTTCTACACTGTTTCACGAATCAGACCCCAGCTAGGCAGGTTACCCCACCTTGAACATCTACATGGCAAAATTTGACCCCGGCTGAGAGGGTTACCCAGTCTGGCAGACCGAGCTACCCACCTTGGCGGGTCACCCCACCTATCATGTAAACGTGATCAAATTAAAACAAGGGATTATATATGGACAGGCAGGTTACCCCACCTAAGAGGGTTACCTCACCGACCTGGCGTCCCCCACCTCCATGTAAACACGCCCTAAGTCTAGGCCAAAGTTAAAATACTTAACATTTTAAGATTTATTCTGGCCACCAATAAAGTAATTAATGGTCAGCTGGCATCCTTTCTATAGAAACTGTGGCTGGTGTTGTCAGTGGTGGATCCAAGGGAGGGGCCCCCCTTATTTTTAGACCAAACTGAGGCCTGAAGAGGCAAAAAAATTCTTTCAAGACCAGGCACCTCCCTTATTTCAGGGTCTGGATGTCCACCCCCCGCCCCCCCACCCCACTCACAATTTCTCGATCCGGCACTGGTTGTGTCAGTCATGGGGAGGGAAAGCCCTATATTTAGCTATGCAAATCCGCTAGTGAGAAAAATTGTTTTATTTTATTTTATTTCACTGGAAAGATTTGTAAACTTGAAGGAAAAATTTATGCACTATAACACATCAATGAATTTTTCCTTTAATTCCACAAATCTTTCCAATAAAATAAAATTGAATTAACTATTAATATTCAAAGTGATGCTATCAACTAATGCCAAATAGCTACAAGTAAACAAACGAAGACAAGGGAGTCTAAAAGTGCACAACAGTGTGGAGTAGTCTACTACCCAGTTCGTGGGTTAAGTAAAACCACTCGACTGTTACAACTCTTTTCTTAAGTAAACACCGTGTTTTATTCTAATAAATTTGTATACATGCAGGGCATGTAAGTGAAAACGCTCTATTCACTGTTTTTATGTTGCCCAATAATAACCCACCTTGTTTACCCCCAAAAACCTTTCTTGTGAAAATAAGTTTCACTTGCATTCAACAGCTTGCACTTAGGCTAGCTTTGAAACTGAGGTTGGGGACAATTTGGAATCAAAATGGCCTAGATTTAAATTGGGAAGACTGTGGTTAACTACCATTTATGTGGGCAAACCAGTGGGTTCTCGCTTTGGGTAAATGGTATGCAAAATCTAAGACTGGTAAATTTCACCCTGGAATCGCATTTACCATTTGCGCCAATCAGTTGCATTTACAGAAAAACGGACACAAAAGACTGAATCTGGTATCAAAGATGGCTTTGAAAAAATGGAACTCAAATTTTCCGTTTTGAATTATTTTTTTATTCCAACCAGGGAAACAGGACCACCTATTCTGACATTCGGTTTCTCCCGGAAATTTTCCTCTGAAACGACCGAAAAGTCATCACTTTCCATTTACTTTCCTGGAAGCTTTTGGAAATGATAATCAACCTTTTGATCAAGATAAATTGGAAACAATGGTTATGTAAAATTTTTCTGGATAAATAAGGTGTATTATGGGCAGTGTGATGAATACAGAGAATACTCAGAAATATGGAGTCCCAAGGCTAAGGAGGTCTTGGATCTGGTTTCCCAGAAAAAAATTAAATGTAGAAGATCTTGGGCTGTGAACACTCTTTGAGGGATTGGTCAAAGACTAGTCAAGAATTAGTGCAAGAATACTAGGAAATCTGTTCCCTGCAAGAAGAGTCTCCTCTGTTGTACTCAAGTTTACTGTCCAATACACCAATTTCGATATATTAAAAAAATTCATACTTGGCAGCGAGGCTTGCGGGAATAAACCAAAAGAAATCATCTTAAGGCTTAACAACGAACAATACATTCCTTTGGTTTACTCCCCTAAGCCTTGGAGCCAAGTATGAATGTTGGTCTATTTCTTAGTCATGATCGATAATGTCCTATTACACTGTCAAGTTTGAAAGAGTTCTGATTATTCTTTATAAAGCATAGATTTTAAAGACGGTTGCATTGTTTCTTTCTATTTTAACAAATACCCCAAAAAGCATTGAAAAGACAGCATTAGGAACATCAATCACACTTCTGTTTTCATTTTTATTAGTACTGAGTATGTATTATTAAGAATACAATGAGTTACAAGTTTGTAGCAAAATGTACGTAAAGGAATGCCCTCCTTAAATACTGAGAGCGCACAAGGTATGTCTTGACACCACTATATAATGGTCCAAGACAAGTTTTGTTTCTCGTGTAAATATATGAAAATTACCCATACATACGGAATAGTTAACTGTCAACTTGAACACATCTTGAAGAACAACTATCAAATTGAAGTTATAAATATGAGGTAAATAACGTCCACTAGCAAAAAGTTGTCACTTTTTCATGCAGATAGACCCTTGCTCAAACTAAAGATAAAAAAATTCACAATTTAATAGACAAAATGAACCTGACAGCTTGTAAGTGGGATTTTTTTCATAATGATTGAAGTATAATGTTAAATCGTCTTAAAAATTCTCTTCGCTATTTCTTCTTATTATTATTGTTATTATTATTATTAATATTATTATCATTTTGCCTGTATTTGTTCACTTAATAAATATCCTCAAATATGTTACCCAGCACTTCCCATCAACTTTCTTGTCAGCTTTATTTTTAAATGCCACAGAAAGTGTGATTCTGTTTGCAGCAAGGGTCTATTACAAAGTTGTAAGGCAGTGGCAACAAAATACAGACTGCATACCGGCGGGTAAACAAACGAAATGCTGCTGTGAATAGCCAATGGGCAGTCTCTTATTTTTCTGTAAAGTTTAATAGTGCAATGGTAGTAGCAGCACATAGGGGCCAGGATGGCAGGCCCTAGTAGAAGCCCCTCCCATTTGGTGCCCGAGGTCACACGTGTAGCCATTCTCATCTTTCACATGTTTCACTTGGTGGGCTAAGTAACCAGAGAAGCTGCTCAGAGTCGTGGCAAAAATAAATTCACTAAAAGCTATCCACAGACTTGGGAAGTTTTAGAGTAAACACCTTATTTACCTGCCAGTCTGCAAGACTCCACATATTTTTTACCAGTGTCAGTGTTAACTGCTGAACTTAGACTGAACCAGCCAGTACAAGTAGGTCAAAAGTCAAGATAAAGAAAAGATCTGCAATACATTCTAAACCAGTCTCAGTACACAAAATCTGAACAGCCTTCAATGTTGCATAAATCTACAACAGATTTTGATTTTCTTTAACTGTAAAAATATACAAGTATCATATAGTCATCTTAATCCATAAAATATTTACATCAAGAGCTGTAGTATACATTAAGAATTTAAGTCAATGAATGTCACAATAGTTTTCTTTGATATAAAACTCCTAAATTGTTCACGTTATAATAGAAAGGTTTGTTTCCTTGAGTTACACTAAATATTTATGAATATGATACACTTCCTCAATACAATAATGGAATAAACATACTATACAATCTTTGAACCAAACGTTAACCTCCCTCAGAACAATCCATTAAGTGGGTTTTTTACCTGGTACTTCTTTATATATATATAAATACAGATTGAGCAAGGCTTAAAAATGGGGTTGTCAAGACAAACAAGGTGACACTGGAAAATGACATGGAAAATTGACATCAGAGATGAAACAAAAAGAAACAACATTTTGTGAGCTCTACATTATCAAGGGTATTCTGAGAGAAAAAGTTTTACCCTTGCAGTGTTAACGTGACAGCAGTTGTCATGTAAGTAATGACAAAATGTTGCTTTTACACTACCCTCAGGCAAAAAACTTCTGGAAGTCGTAAGACACATGTTATGGGGAAGAATTTGGGCTGGCATACAGTGAAACAAATAACACAGTGCAAACTTTCAGGGATTTGTGAAATTACAATACACATTAACCCAACTTCTTTCACCTCCATCCACCTCCAACCTAACTATAACTTCACAGGAATCTCACTAGTTGGCTACAGAATATGCCAGTTGGCAGACATTCAAATCTTTCTTTCCAACGGTAACCTTTAGATTGGAATACAAGTACAAGATTTGTGTACCTGTGTGAGTTGGCAAACTATTAAAGTTTGTTGCTTTAGATAAAACTAGACAGTTGTGGCTTGAAAGATCTCTATCAACATTTTAAGTCAATATTTTGCAACAAAAATTTGTCTCAAGAAAAATGTACTTTTTTTTAGTAAAAAGAGAACCAACAAAGAGGTTCAAGTTAAACATAAATAAAGGATGGTGTAGAATGGGGAAGATTAAAATGGATTGAAAAGGAAAAACCTGACAGATACATGACAGAGCTTCTTGAGTCTCAGCTTGCTGGACAGCCAGAGGAAGGTGTATTTAAAGTAGTTTAGCAACACGACTGGCTCGAAAACTACACTAGCACTATAAAAAGTTGTACTTGTATTGAAATCTAAAAGACACTATAAATATCAACATCTTGGCCATATATCCCAAACACAACTACACTGTAACCATGGAAAACAAAGGGTATATAATACAGCTGTCTTAATCCAGTAGAAAAACAAATCTGTTTTTGTATAAATAATATTAAGCACCTGTTTCTTTTTTGCAACACAAAACAAAGACAATCGGACCCAACCACTCAATTCTCGGCAAACCTTTCTAAAAAGTACGAGTTTTTCATAATTTAGGCATACCAGAACCAATAATCTTAAAGAAGAGGGACAACTGGAGTGCTCACGGTAACAATGAATAAGAACCTGTTTTTGTTCTTCAGAATGTAAACCAAGTAATAAATTATTATATTTTTGAGTACATGAACCTCAGATGAAAGGTTTCACCACCTTTGGTAGTTTTCAACCTCCTTATTTAGTCCAGCAGATTCTCCTTTAGCAGAAACCTCCAGAAGACCAACAACCCCGAAAACAATGGCTAGCATTTGCTGTTTCTCCCTGTCTATTCTTCACCCTCATATAAGGCATAAGGCAGTCTACCCCTTTGAACAAACACTTCGTGGTGGTCTCAACAGTGTGTTTCTTAGAGAGAATCAACTGCACCCTTTTACACTGTTCTGAACATTACTGTGATGCCTCTACTTGTGGAAGTTGCTGGTTGGCTGTTGCATGAGAAGGGACGGCCATCTTGGGGTAGGAGGGTAGTGCAGAAAATGCAGAGAACGCTGATCTTGAACTTATGTTTATAATCTTTACTTTTGTCTTGTCAGGTCCAACTAGCAATTTGGTTGCATCCCTTAAACAGCAAAAAAAGAAGAAGAAAAACAACTTACACTCTCTATACAAACTTGTCAAAAAAACTTATATTATTATTTTTGCCTTTCATTAAGAAGGGGACACTAATGATACCTTTCACTTAATTTTACTGATGAAAACAGCCCTGATATGTTCTTTATTGGTCTTCCTGGGCCTTGAAAATACGTTTTAATAAAGTGACAAACCATTTTCTGGTTGCCCATTAATTCCTAAAAACAGATCATCTTTTAAAGATCATTCACCATTGGTTTCACAGAGCACGTTCACGTCTTGAGATAAGAAACGCAGTTCAAGTTTTGCCAACAGACGCATCAATATTTTTCTATTTTACTTAATTTTCCAACACAACGGCACTGTCAGCTGTATCTTGGCTCGACCACAACAAAAAAAACACAACCTAAAGCTGCAATTGTTACCTAAGGTTACATGGTTTCTCACTAAAAAATCGAATTTCAACTGGCTGCCATGTTTGGCCTTCATGGCAAGAGTCTTGTAACAGAGTTAAAGTGAAGATGATTTGAACTAGTGCTATGGATATAAATGTTGCTGGTCTTTGGAAAATGATGCTCTATTTGGCTGTATATCACTGTAATTTAATATTATCAAGATTGTGTTCATGTATGGATGTGTTTAATCATGTACGGAGGTGTTTAATCATGAATGGATGCCAAAGGTCACCTGAGCATGGATTCAAACTTTTAAGACCCAAGGACAAATCCTCTGATGCTTGTTACAAATTAGGTCATATTTTTTCACAACATGACCATACAATGTATGCAGATGCAATGGTTGGTATTGTAGGAAGCAGTTCAAGATACATCAGGGTCCAATGTCACTTAGATTTCAAGTTTCCAAGTGAATACAACAAGCAGGAAGGAAATTAAACAGCTAGGGATTTCTTCTGGTTCTATTTTTCTTCTGTTTTTTGTTAGAGTAACTGAAGGTCACTTTTATAGAAGCCCAGGGCCTGGTTCTGAATAGGGACTTTAAACAACAATGTTTTCAAGAGATTCACATCAACCTGAAGAGGACTTTTTGAATTCTTGGGCAGTGGCTTTACCCAAAATTTTCACACAAATCATCTTGATAAGAGTAAAGACAATTAGTATAGGTAATAGCATGAATTGTAGTGATATTTGGCATAAATACCACAAGTGATATTTCGAAATTGTTATATGTAATTTCACGAGCCTTTAGGTGAGTGAAATTTGAGACAGTTTTGAAATATCACGAGTGGTATTCATGCCAAATATCACGTACAAATTATGCTATTATTTGTTTATACTACTACCCGCAAAAGGTTTGTAATTTTCACATGTGGGTATTTCAAATTAAGCTGAAATACCACTGCTGTAAGCCAATCAAATTGCAGAAATTTCTCATGTTGTAGTATAAGCAATACAATATTGGTAGCATTTAGGTATACATTTGATGTAGGTCGCTCAAAAACAGCTTTGCTTAAGCTTCCCATTGACAGCGCTGACACCTACTAAGAAATAAATACTTTGTCATGTATACTGCACTGACCTGTCAGCATCTTCAACATGAAGTGTCACCTTCTCTGCACCATCAGGAGGTTCTCTTGCAAACATGTAGGAATTGTTGGGTTTGGGAGACGAAGCATACTTAGACCCTACAGCAGGAAGCTCAGGAGACACATTCTCCTCAGTCTCTCCAGCCCCTCCTGAGGAACACCTTGAGGATGGCCTTGAATCTGATGCCCCTGGCATTATAGGATATGTTGGTGATGTGGAGTGGCTTCTACTGCTACTGTTTGCACTCCCACTGTCTTGCGCATCTTGACTCTCAGCTGTTGTCTGGGTATGAATGTCTACGGTACGAAATGGCAGTGACAGTACCTCTGCAACAGGGGCTCTTCGACCATCTGGTATATGATCAATTACCTAAAGGAAGACATTTTATGTTAAAAGCCGAAAATTGCTAGGAGAGAGGTCAAATACTTCACATACTTCACTGTCTAAATCTTAATCCAATACCTTCTCTGAGACTTAATAGGGACAATACAACCTAACAAAGGGTTTACTTTTGACATGTTCGATTGACCATATTCCAGAATAAGAATAAAAGGAATTAACTCTAGAAATCACTTGTTTTAAAAGTCAGTGCGTAACAATATCAAGAGATCTACTTGAAATAAAATCACAAGATTCAGGGACCATTTAATAAGTCCAAAAATCACAGCAGCGGAGATTTTGTAACAAAACTTTCAGGAATATTAATTGAACCAACATCAATATAAGCTGAACAAACCCTTTGGATAACATGTTAGGTTATTTGCGTACATAGTATAACAGACTTTTGTGACGACAGTGTCAGGCTCGCTTCAAAAGATTACGAGGTGAGATGCAATTAAAAAATCGGCAACACTTGTCTATGTTCTGCACTCTTATCAACCAAATGACATCTAAATGTTCAAAACTCAGGTGTGACCATAAGCCAAAAGCGAGTGGCTTCACTGCAAAGTTTTGAATATTTTGACATCATTTCTATAGTCGATAAGAAAACAGTCCATGGAAAAAATTCCTGTCTTTTTGTTTTTTACAATAACATCAACAATTTTGACATCCACTTTTTTTCTGTTTAGATTTCAGGGAAAATCACGTGTGTGAGAAAGAGAAAAACAAATTGCACCACCATCAAGGCAACTCCATGGTCTGTACTCTTATCAAACATAGCTCTCCACCAAAAAAAAACGTTTACATATTGTGCGCACAGAAAAAGGTTTTTTTGGTTTCTTTTTACTTCACTATGTAATGTAATTAGGGTATTTTGCTGACTATTGTTGTTCACATGTGTTGAACAAATTATGTACAATTATTTTTTCCCTAACGTTACTAATAAAGTTGAAAAAAAGTAGCTCTCCACCAATCAGCATGCAAGAAATCGCTCCGTTATTGTAATACTCACTCTGTCTGACTGGGTGTCTGTCAGGACTAGTTTCTGAATTTCAGAATTTAGCCCCTCCAGGCTTCGCTTCTGCGGTCCCTCTGATTGCCTTGGTGCTAAAGGGATTGATATGGGAATTGACTGAGGAAGTCTGCTTGCAGCAATGGCTGTGTGATCACCATGGAGAGGAGATTGACGCCCATAAGTCTGACTGGATTTACTCCCTTGCTTTGTGCGCTGCAAATGTTGTTTTAATTTCTGAAAAACAAACATTCCAGTGATCAGATACTGCACATTACCAAGCATTTAATATTAGAAAGAAGTATGAAAATTACAAGAATTTGAATACTCATATTTCAACACAATTTACCATTTCTAAGCTCATTCTTCTTTTGGATTCACAGATTTTTTAATTTTTCTCTTGGTATGACAAGCTCTTCCCACAGTTTTGTTCTTTGAGACAGTTAACCCTTTAGCTTACTGGTAAGGTTTGAACTTTGAAATAGTATAATTTTCATGATTTATAATGTTTCCAGCAATTCAGTGGCATTCACTGATTTCGTTTGAGTTTGCACCAAGAAGTTTCCCGCATTAACCTTTGCACTAAGAAGTCTCTCATCCCAGGGCCATTCGGGAATATCAAAATTGACTATTACGTACTTGACATTTGAAGACACAATGTACTGTTGTTAATTTGGGATGACCTACATGAACAAGCATTATTTCCTTACACAACTCGCCAAGGGCCATTATGTATAATTCCATCAGAAGAACAAATTCTACCACCACGTAGCCTGCAAAAACAGCCGTTTCTCCTCACTCTTCGCCACTGGGGACATTTTGCGCAGAGGAATGTCTACGTCTCAGCAGCAGAAATTCCATACTGATGACCTAAATCAACGTTTACATAATAAATCCGGTAGTCATGAGGTTCCAAACGCAAATTTGTTCAGTTTTACATTTCTCCTGGTTGATTTTGGTAAACAGTTGTGTTCATCTGCAAACAAGCTCCAGCAAAACCCAATGCTTCTTCTAGAGAAGACTATATTCCACAAATAATGACTGTTTTGTTAGAAATTCATCAAGTTTCTACTTGACCTTCGTTGCCTTTTGTCTCTTGTCTGTCGTTTGTAAACAGTAGCTAAAACAATGTAACTACTCTGTGGACCGATCAGCACTTCTGACCGGATTCTGAACAGATTTTACATCATAAGCATCATCGCTGGGTCATAGACGTTCCGCCTCATGAAATGACCCCAGTGGCAAGGAGCAGGAGGAAATGGCTGTTTTCACAGGCTAACCACCAAGCCTCATTTGTAAGTAAAATTCTTAGCATTTACACTCTTTGTACCTGTTTTTTTTTTTTTTAAACGCAACTGCCTTGCAAATTCATTAATGCAAAACTTTTCAACTTTACAATTATCAAAACTAGGCTTGGTGGTGAAATTTGATTGTCCATCAAAAACATTAATAAGGGCTTTTCCCTGTACTAGGCCTAATGCTCCAAGGGAGCCTCAGCACTTAACAAATTTACTCAGGGTTAATTCTCTGTTCCATTATTTGACAGTATGTTTAGCTCATGAATAGTTCAGTGCATCAGTTACCTCTTTTATCTTCTGGTCTGCACTTCCCCAAGAGTTCGATCTCTTGTGCCTTGTTCCAAAATTTTCTTCGATTTCACTCTCTTCCCAAGCTGGTGTCTACACAACAATCACAACAATACAACTTACTGTCACTAAAATTTGAATTTTGTCTACCCAGCATCACAGATGTTATCTAAAGCTGGCAAGTAACATCTTGTTCTCGGTCCCCAACAAACTCAACAAATTACAGGAAATGCATTTTGAATTTCCCCTCACCCTGTTTTACCCATGAATTTTTTAACAAGCCAATCATCGCAACATCTCACAAATAAAAGAGTTTTAAGTCTCTGGTTTATTTCAAGAGCTGACAGCCTACACTGAGGATTCTTCATGTACCCTGTTACGCTGTAATTTGCAAGTTGATTTGCACATATGGGATACTGTTACAGCAACCTTGCTTTGCTGTCCCCCAGAGCTCTGACCATAACATCTGTCTTTCTCTAGAACTAGTGGATGAAAGAAAGCGTCCACAATTTTATTTAATGAAATAACGAGGCAGATATTTTGAACAGAAAACGAGCCATGATTGTTTCACATTCATTGATTACCCCACCCTATCTTCACTAGACCAAGTCAAACTTGAACACAAGAAAACAGGCCAAGTAAATAAGTCCGCAGAGTCTGAATCATTCGGCTATTTTCAACTACCTCCATAAATTATCTCAAGGACTCCCTTTCAAAAACATGCATTTTTTATTTCCAATACAGGAGCATGATAAACTGGATTTTCACTTGCAGGGTGGGATGGGTAGGGCATCGAAGAAGGGGGGAGAAGGCTCAGTCATTATCCAAATATCACCAGTACGTTCCTTTGTAACATCCAGGTAACACTGCTCCTCATCAAACTTTTAGGAAGCAGAGTATAGTTTTTAAGATTTTTCCACCATTCTGCTACTGCAGCATCTTAATACAGCCAGCACTGCAAGTACCAGTTACAATAAACATGAAAAACTTTTACTGATGATTCTTTGACCCCTAAATCAAGCTGATTATTTGTAAAAAAACTTCAATAAACTTTCCTACAATTATACAGCCAATAAATTTGACTTTGCTTTGCTGGTTAAGATTTGTTCAATGTTCCCTGTCAAGCGGACTCCATCATGCGAGTTAAAACAAACTTAATTTACAGCTTAGATCATCAAATTTCAGAGTTGCTTGGGAATTAAACTCGTTGTCATGGCCGAGGTTCAATAAGTGAACCAAAAGGCAATTAAATTTACTTAAGCTTAGTTTATTCCTTTGTGAATTACTTGTTTCTGCTTTTCTTACTCTAAATTAGCCTAGATTTTGCAGTTTTTAAGAAATGTTTTATTAATAGCGCGGTACCTAACTAACCTGTGTTGATTTGTGGCACATACTCGGCCCGTAACTTCCAACCTCTTTCGGCCACTGTCCACTCATATAAGGAGAAATGGCGTCTAATGACGAGGTCCTTCTTATTGCGGAAACTGAATTACTTTTTGTAATTTTGCTTCTTTCACCTGCGAACAAAATGATATAACTTCTTTATCAATTGTCTACTAAGCTCGACCTAAACTGTTTTGAAACAACGGAAATGGCTTTCAGAATAGGTCAATACGTTGAACAGCGAAAAGATGACCGATAGATGAAAAGCGAAATTGGACGGCGTACCATAGTGAACCTAGAAATAAGGATTTATCCTTGGCATCCGGGTCAAGAATTTATTGGCAATAAATTGCGGCTCTTCGGAGGTTGATTTCCCGTCTAAAGGGTTTATTTCAAAAGCACGTCACTCAGCTAACCTTTCGAGCTGGACGAAGAAGACGGAGAAGATGGACTCCGTCGATGCTCGGGAGATCCACGTGTTTCTGGCGAACTTCTGCGGTGTTTGAGACCATTTTCACTGCCATGGACCGGTGAAGAAGATGGACTTGGTCTTCGCAGTCCATTCCCACGAGTGGGACTTGGATTGCCATGAGCTATCAGCGAGAACGGGAAAGTCGCCTTTATAGGTTGTAGTTTTGAGCTTGATGCAGGCGACGCATTTCGACGTGGTCTCTGGGGTGGCTGTGAAGCCATTTTATCCCAAAAACCTACAGGAAGAAAGAAGATGATGTATTTATTTCAGTCTCGACGTTTCAGCCATCCCAACGAGATGAGAGCGGAGAAAAATTACCGACAAAATCCTTCTACAACTCTGCTGTTCCACACTATTCACCAACAACACCAGTTGTGGTGGAGTAAGCATTCTAATTACATCGATGCAAATTAGCTGGGCTCTGATTGGTCCATTTGCTTTATTTGACAAGGTTTATATTGGGAGAATTTGACTCGCAATCAATATGTCAGAGTCGAGCTTTGCACCATGGCGGTTCCACGCTAGTTTTTTTGTTTGGTCATTCGAAAACAAAAGAGGTTTTACTTACTATTGGTTTCAATTAAGAGGAAGACGAAAGTGTTTCAAAAGCGAGTGGTCCGTAGTAATTTTTTTAAGACTGAGAAAGACGCCCATTAATTAAAATAATTTTAGCCTATAGGAGTTAGTGAAAAGCTGCGAATACAATGCGTACAAAAACACGTGTTCGTTCAAATATTGCGGTTTCGGGGCGACATCCACCCATGCATTTTCATTCATCAATGAAATGCCCTTTTAAAACATCAACAAGGGACCTGTTTAATGATAACGCAGCCACAAACGCCACACTCAAAAACAAAGTTACTGTCCCTCTATCGACCCTCATTTCGGCGAAAAGATGATCGTTTAGTTCTTTTCAGAAAGCAATTTTTATTTAAGACCATTCAAACAAAAGTTTTACAGAAAATTTGCGTCTATTAAAATATGCAAAAGCTCATTAAGTTTATATGATTTCCTTCAAACAGTTTCCACTTAAGCACCCTCAGTCGAGCTAATACATTAGTTCGGCTGTGATTAAAATAAGAATGACTCCAGGTTTCAATGGTCTCTTTTACTGTTTGCTTTACAAAAAGGAAAAAGCGAAGTATACAACATCAGTTGTCACGCAAAATTTTACGCCAGGGTGATTTTCCCGCGGAAAATGCCAACACCAGCTGTCGATATCTTTCCAGGATTGTGATTGGCTAATCGCAGCACGAAGTGGTTGTAGGGGAATATGTACTTTCAATTGAATATTTGGTTTAGCAGTAGTAAAAACTGTTTTCCGACATTTCAAAGTCATTTATTCTCTCCAAAGTCTTCACTTCGTATCCCAGTTGGTGGCAAAGTGCCGCCGGCTTGTGGAAGGAATTGGAAAAATACACATCGAAGATACGATCGTTTAATTTATTTCAACATTAAATTCAGTTCGCTTGTGAAAGACTCGAGCTATTCTAGGAGAGTTACACTCTCTTCTTGAACAAAGACTGAAGCTTCTTCTGGCTTTTTCTTGACATCCAATTAAAAATATTGCCCGAAAAACTGGTCATAAAAGAAAGTGTCGTTGTGATGATAATGTACAATTCGTGTTGTTTATCTCCATAATTCTTCCCGCGGTGTTCATGCCATTTATAATTGATGTTCTTGATGAGAAATACAGGCTAAAATTATCGCCGCGGTCGAATACTGGCGTTTTTGAAAGGCCAAGTGTCCAGAAAAAATATATTTAGGAGGAAAAAAACACTCGCCAAACAGTAAATAGTCGATGCCGTTTTGGTAGTATGACGCGCGCCCCACGATATTGTCATGCACGCTTGTCATGATCAAGTTGCAATTTCTCCCTATTCATTTGCGGTTCGTAGTATTTTGCTCTCTGACAACAGTGTCACTCGACCATTCATAAGGTTCAGTCAAAAATTTAAAATCGTGCGTGCTGATACTGTTGGGATAATCCATAATTTCAGGTGATCTGTATCTTATGTAGTTTGTAATTACAAATTTATTTAGACAAACAGAAATACTAACCTTAAAAGCTTTTCTCGTTTTTCAGGTGTCGCCGTATTGTTTAAAAACGTGTATTAAACATGGATCTGTTTGAGTAATGAGTAGCTGGGAGAAGCCCGAAAACTAAATTGCGTGCTCTTATAACCATATTTTTTAACCGTATTTCGTTTTAACACTTGTCTCACCAATTTACGTAGAAGAGGAAATACAGTTTCCTCTAGCGGAGACAAATTATTTTTTCTCATGAATTATTCCGACTCTGATCTACACTCTTAAAGGAAAAGTAAACATCGACCATGCAATTTTTGGCACTTTCATCACGAAACTAGAGATGTAGGGATCACAGCATGAACCGAATTCTTCTTTACGGAAAAGTGTTTGCAATAGATCCAAATGCAATGCAGCTGGTATTCTAAAGGCTTTCTCAAAACGATGTACTATCTTGAATATATCTTTATAGTTTTTCATTTCAAAATTTTGGGCCATACCTTATAAATATTTTTTTTCAAAATGCCAGTATTAATCGACAAAGTAATACGCTGTTCTTAGTCCTTCCCTCAAGTGAGGGATTTTGTCTAAGAAAATACAGATCTGAATATCATTCAATCTCGGCTCTCGGCGATTATGCTTCCTGAATGAACGATAAGATAACAGCAAATAACCCTTTTACGTTGGATTAGCTTTTCCTCGCTTGTAGAATCAAGGAGTTATTTTCTTAAAAGAAAACGAGGATATAAAATTCGGGTATATCAATTTGCTATAGACTACAGTAGGGGATGAAAATTCAACATTTGCAACAGAAATTGATTAAGCAAAACTGACAGTCAATAGTGAAATGCTAGAGCTTAAAAGGGAAGCTATTGATGACTGATAACTGTGATAAGCCAGATCGAGAATCAGCCATTTGCTTTGAGGTTAAAGCCATTTCCCTTAACTCCCCACAATGACTGGCAAAGAAAACTGGGCATTTTGGTTTAGTAATTGTTCCATTCACTGGCTGTTTTTGAAATAAAAAGAGGCACTCTTATCTACACCTTTAAAGAGGGTCGAACATTAAGAAAGATTGCGAGTAGGATGCACAGATAAACTCAAAAGCAATATTACGAAAAGGGCATTCAATCAATTTTTTCCTGTTCAATTCAGTTTGAAAAAAAAAATAACCAAGGTATTTTCTAAAACAACAAAGCAACATGATCGTGACCATTCTGCTTCTCCAGAAGAGCAACGTAGTCCTCTCGGCAAATTGCGAAATCCCAGAAGTGGGAATCTCTTGAGCTGTTTTTAATTGGAAACATGATAATTTACTTACAAGGCGAATACGGCGTACCCATTATTCTTTTATGTAGAATGACAAGGGAGGTTTTCTATAGCTCATTATCCCATACTGCCAAGCATTAAAAGATGACAGTCGTGAAATCCTGTCATTGGTTTTCAGTAGAAGGGGACGGTTTTCTTTTCTTATCTTTACACGTTAAGGTGATACGTGTCAAGTTCTGTGATTCAGCATCAACGATTATGCATTTTAATCCTCTACTTTGCTTTACATCCCACATATATTCAATAATAGCTCGCGGTGTCGTTTTCAAGGTTACTTTGCTTTAAAGGAAATGAAAAAAATGCAAAACATCGATTGTCATATTTGTCATTTATACTTGACTGTTATCATTAGTGATATTTATTCGAACACGTGGGAGTAAACAAAAGAAACTTAAAAAACACAGCATGGTTAAAAATGCCTTGCGTGTTTACATTTTAAAAGCATCGACCCTTATATGTAAAGTAGTATGAGTTGTTGATGAAGGTCAATCGACGCCCAGGTGTAGACTTTCCTTCTAACGAGTACCACGCCCTAAACGGACTTATTAACTGGCCAAATTTAGCTAAAATTAAAGAAGAGGTTACTTGCAATTGGAGATGATGAAGATATCTGGTGATATATTTTCCGACAAAAAACCATAAAAAGCCACTTGAATGCTCGAAAAAAGCTTTGACGCTTTTCATTTCAAGCAAATGGATACACATTTTACGAATTGAATATAAATCCTCAAAGTCAAGTGACTCAAGAGATTGACTTCAAAACCACCTTGTATAGGAAAAAATCATCACAGGAAAGTGCCTATGTTTCATTGTCTTTTTCGGAATAACTACACCCTGGGTTAGACCTAACAAAGTAAAAATTACCTCCGCTGACTGAAGTGAATTGGTCGTCAGTAGCTTTCAAGCCTTCAAAGGCGACGACATTTAAGCATTGAGTGCGCAGGCAGAACACTACTGACAAACGGCCATGACAGGAGAGATATACTCTCAAAATGGTCACGCTATTCCGAATCCTTCATCAACAGCTCAAAAATATTTGAATATTTACACTTTTAAAGGATTTCTCCACAAAATCAAAGAAATAAAAACCTTTAATCATTTAATACAGTATACAGTAAACAAAAAATGCCTCCAAAAAGACTAGTCACTCTTCGTTTGAATGGTCGACACATCGAGACAGAAAAACTCTAGACTGAGGAGTTTAATTGAGAGCGAAAACAGAAAATACCACATTGTACAGAAAAGCTTCATTTGTGGCTGGTTTCTGTCTATTTTTTCCAAGCTGTGTCATCAGGACTGTGTTAGGAGAAAATAGATGATAACAAATTGTCGAGTCGTTGAAAAAAAAATTAAATAAACGCCTTAGGTATTACTTGAGGTCGAGGTCATATCAGACCTCATGTAAGATCTATTTTGAGTTGACTGATTGTAGATCCTTTGTATAAGGCAAAGCAGTATCCCTTTCTATATATTATTTCAATAGGGTGCTTGAAGATTACTTCCCGCGCGCTATTAAAACAAGGAGCTGGGTACAGCTGGATACCTCAAGAAAATACTGCAACGGCATTACCCTAGACGGTCGCATTTATATGCATGATTAAATATCCTAGGACCTTTTCCCTTTTCGATTGGTTCGGATTACTACCCAGCTACAAAAGGTGGTCCCGCCTCATGTGGGAGAATTATCGTCAATTAGTATATATTTTCTTGTTAAATACAATGACAGTACACTTGATGAAGTAAGGTTGTCTAAAGACGTACATAGCCTTGTTTTCAGATGGGCGACTGAGTATCAGACAGTCTGAAGTAGCTGACGATCGAAACGGGGTATAGGTTCCAAGAACCCAACTGATTACATTAAGTCAGAAAAGGGTACCTTTTAAAAGTGGTCTTCGTCTTCAAGTTTGAATGGCACGCAATGTGATTTCTTCTAGATCTACAGCCTGAATAAAGTCACCTTGCACAATACAATAAAAAATTCCACAGTAGTTCGTATACAGACTCAAGCGATAAAACCTCATTGTACAGCGCTACCATAAAGGTTTTTACCAAATACGCCTAAAAAGACTTTTCAGCATTGTAAACACTGTTAGGTTTCACAGGAGCCTGAAAATAAATGCTCTGCAGCATTCAAAAAAGGATCTACGCTGAAATTAAATTTCTCCCAGAAAGCTGAACTGTTTCACTTTCAAAAAGTACCACATTATGGGGAAACTATTTGTTACTAGAACTTAATAAATCTGGGAATAAAATGCTATGGCTTTACCATTCAAATGAAACCCTTCCCAACGGAACTTTTGTACGTTACGATTTATTCAGGGGACTTTTAGGGGACTTTTGATGACCTTTTTCTTTGCCCTCTATTGGGACTGCCAAAATTTAAATTCGATATCCTGGGTGTTAAAGTCTTTATAATGAGGGTTCGTTGCAGATTTCGAGCTGGCCCTTGTTATGGTAAGGTAGAGGTCAAATGTGACATCGACTTTTTGGCACAGAGTAGAACATTAAAAACCTTGTTAAACGACATTAATACGTACCAGACGGTGAGGACGAAAACAATAACAAAACGATCAAGGTACGGTAAGTACTTACTGTTTGTACGTCGCTTGATCGCTTTCAAACGCCAGTCATTGTGCGCATGTGACTTGGGCAGTTGAGACTAAACTTAGAGGTAGCAGGAGTCTGCTTAAGGGCTAAATAACCGAGGTCACCTGTAAGACCGTCGGGCGGGGCAAGGGAGGATTGATTGCGGTAAGATTATGGTAAGCCTGGGATGGGAGGTTGAAATGATGTAGCTTTTTTTACATAGAACTTCAATTTTTAAAGGACAAAATTGATAACAATTCTTAACAATAATTAAGGTGATCAGCATTCAACTTTCAGTAGTTGAAGTGATATCAGTACCCCCGGCACTCATCGGTCTAAGATTGCTACCAATATACATCTGTTTCGTCCCGTGATCGAGTCACGTGACAATAGCTCCCACACGTGATCATGGAAATTGACTCCCCTGTGTTAGAAACCAATTTTGAAATTCATTTTGCCGTAGGCTACAAAGCATGAAACAACAACAAGCTAATTTCTATTATTTTTGTATAAATTACTAAAACAAGAATAAATAAAGGAAAATCACTCCTACTATCGCAAAACATGATCTATCCTGCACGTGAATAAACTGAGTCCATTTCAATATAATACCATCTGATGTTGTCTTAGTTGTTTTGGTATTGTAAGTTACCTTATTTTCCTATTTGTTCAAGGAAGCCATCAAATTGAGTTATTTAAATATAGTGTTCAGTTCGCTGCGAGAAACATTTCTTTGCAAAAGCAGTTTAGATGCATAAGTTCGGGGAAAGGGCGCTCTAAGAAATGAACTTTAAGCAAACAGTCGACTTTAAAAAGGCCATGAATAATCTCTTTTTTTTAAGAATATGTGACAGTGGATTAAGCAGATGTTTTCGTAATTAAAACCATGCAACAGAGAGATGACACGGCAAAAATTACGATAATAAAACATATTCTCGAACATTTTCATTTATGTGGTTAAAAACGAAGGAGGTCACGTACCTAACTACGACAAAGAAATAATTAAAATACATCGGAAATAATAACAATAACGTTTGTGACAATCTTTTTTACACACTTATTCAATTGAATTTAAAATTTGTCACGTTCCTAGTTTAAGTTTGATTAAAAAATAAAAAGAGGTTGTAAGCAGATATGTGCAAACCATGCCGAATTACACGTAGAAAAAAATGGGCAGATGTCTTCAGCGGTGCCACGCAATATCACGTGAGGGTCAGAAATGCGGGGAGAATAGTGGCTGTCAATAATTCTTTCAACGCACACTGACAGTCGCCTCGAATCCGCTCTCGATCTTTGCTTAAACAGAAGAGAACCGAAAAGAAAAGAGAGAGAAAAACACACAGCTGTCCTCAAAACCAGCAGCGACCAAAATTAATCTTCTCGAGGACACAACAGTGACAGTTGACGTTCTATCTCAGCTCTCCGAACTGTCGTTAAACCTCCAACTTTTGTGTCTCTGGACTAAATTCTATGGCGTGAACATTCAAATGAAACCTGGCACTATTTATTTAGTATGTAGTTCTAACGTTTGAGTATGTAATGAAATCCTATGGTGTGACCATTCAAATGAAAACCCATTGTTTGGCAATACTTTCACATGGTACTATTTATCAAAGCCCGTGGAGGACTCAGGAGGCACTCCCTAATATATGCCAAAAAGCTTCATTCTACTATTTTTATCCTGAAAAATTAGTGCTGTTATATTTATTGGAGAAGGTTTAGCCCTTTCCCGATCGCAAAATGCTTAAACTTCTCAAATTTTATAACTTGTTCCCGTCACTACGACATTCTCGCTAAAACTCGGAGTAGAATGACGACGGCTATCACGTTTTCCCGCCAAAATGACGAAGGCTTACGCACGAGTACTACTTAAACTAAGAAAATCTCGTACTCGTGGTCTTCCCCGTCTCAGAATCTAAAGCTCTCTACTGAAAACGCCTGATACCGTTTTCTTTCGCTAGAAACTGAGTCGCGCATGAGTAGTTATGACGTAAACTCTCGCAACCTCGTCCCCAGGGCTCTTCCCTGGGGACGAGGTTCAAACACTGGAACTCCGTTTTTACAAGACTCCGCTTTCGAGAACGTGTGCGCTTTCAACTTTCGAAAAGTTTCTTAACACAAGCAATTGACCACTCCATTAGTTCTTGCACCCTCTAAATAAGCTTTGCTTTTCAACCCGTCCCATCTCACATTAGCGAGTCGAGTCATCCCTTGAAGTTGGTTTAGTTTAGTTTCTTCTCTGTTTACAACTTCGATTTTGACCCACGGATGCATTGATGCCCTTCCGGGCATCTGTAAGGACTGAGACATTGGGGGCAAGTTTTTGCTGATCCCTAAGGGCAATAAATTGCATGTTACCCTTCTGTTTTCGGGGTGCCCGGTCTGCGAGCAAAAAGCCTGTACAGGCCAACCATCTTTTTTTTGAGATAATCAGCCACATTGACCCCTTAAAAGCTCTCAGGGCTAACCAACTGTCAAAAGCAAACTCTAGGTTCCTCCATCATTGATCTATTTGACTTGGTAAGGACGAAAAAATGAACGGACTTACACACAACATGGTTGACGCTATAGCTCATTAAGAGACAATTTTTTTGCAGTAATATATTATATGTAGGTGTAATCAAATGGTAAATAAACTCCTGAAATAAGGAAATAATTTCACTGCATTTTGTAAAATTCTGATAATTTCCCTCGCCTTTTACTCTCTCTAAACAGACATCTGAAAGTTCTCTCATGTTCCTCAGTCTGTCTTTGATTCTCATGTTCCGGAAGAAAGGTGCCTTTGTTCAGCCTTTATTCGCGTATAACATGGGAAAACGTTTTTTTAAAAAAACAAAGAAATCAAAGCATGCAGCTGATAACGAGTCTTTGCATGACGTCTACATTAAGGTTCCTTTGCACAACTTTAACCAATATCTAGACCAAAAGTTGTATTCACTTTTTACAAAAAGCAAAATCAAGCGATACCTGACGAAAGACCATGTGTAATGAAAAGGTATAAGGAAAAGCGGTCTTTTCCACCTTATTTTATGAAGTGCTTTCTACAAGGCCGAAATTAGCCAGCGAGTAAGCTCTCCATTCCTTGTGGCGAGCGAAGAGAGACCCGCAAAAGAACACGTGACTTCCTTGCGGCTCCCCCGCCCTTATGGGGGACTCGCTCGCGGGATAGGTGGACACCAGTTTTCTCTGAGTGGACAAACATTCGCGTCCATGAGTGCAAAAGGGCCTTGGTACATGAAACGGAACAAAATGAAAAGTATATGAAAGTCGTTTACCTAGAAGTTAATCAACAGCGCAATTATTGCCTCGCTAATTCGATGATTTCAAATCGGCTTCATTTTTATCTGGTCTTGAAAAATGAGTGATCGAGCATCAATGAAAAAGGGTTGGTTATCTTTAAACTAATTGATGCGGTAATGTCTTCGTTAATTGACATATCAGTTTATGTAGTTGTCGTAATAAACCGATTCCCTTCCAGATTCGTAAGATCTTAAGTGATCCAACTAATACGTTTTTAAAGAGGGGTGGATGTTCTCGAAATCGAAACTGCGCCAAAGTGATTCTTTTGAATATGGTTAACTTTTCGCTTGAAGTTACCTTAAATGAAGATGATTTAAAATGTTTAAAAATGAGTATAGTAATCAGATTAAACATTTTGAATATGATGGCTTTTTTTAATCAAAACATATGCCCAGCCGTCAGATTAGCAATGTTTATTATCATTTAGTATTACCGTATGTACTGTCGCAATTTGTAATAATCATCGCACTTTGTAATACCTGTCGCATTCGTAATAAATCCATCGCACTTTGTAATACCTGTCGCAATTTTTAATAAACCGTATCGCGCTTTGTAATAAAAAAGCTGTCGCAATTTGTAATAACTGTCCATCGCACTTTGTAATAAACTGAGCTGTCACACTTGTAATAATTCCATCGCACTTTGTAAAACGTTTTTGAGAGTTATTCAACTTACTTCGTCAACATTAATACAATGCAAAAATATGCATGGTACTTTATAAACAAATATAATGAGGTCTGCTAGCACGTAACATCTCCGTAACATTTTCTTTGGTCAAACATGCATATCTTCCGCTATTTTTTGCCTTGATTAATCACGTGACCAACTAGAATCGCTTTTATGAAAGACATGAAACTTCCTGCTACACCACCAAAAAGATATGAATCATGTTTGAATTCAAATATATTTAAATAACAAAAGCAACATTTAACAACAGAAAATTCATGAATAACCTGGCATTCGTCGTCTAAATCCATGTCTGCATGCCACGTGACACGTGAAGTCTTCGTGGGGGGTAGATAGGTAAGTACCACCTGATAGGTTATGGTTTTTGAGGATCTCGAGCCTTTAATAGGGCATCATTTTTTACCTTGTTGTCCTTGCGTCTTTGGTTTGAACCTTAGATAGGGTAACTCAAGTAGTAATAGATGGTTTATTCCATCCTTTTCATTTTGTGGGGAAAAAAAGTAATCCTGAACACGCTCGGAAGAATTGCAAGGTCTTACATATTGTATATACGCAGGGAAGAAGAATTTTTACCATCCCCACGGTATTTGCTTTAGAGGACTCCAAATAGAAAAAATTGTTTTAAGATGGAATGAGCACTCCTTTTGTTCCTTGATATGGGACCAAATCAAGTGAGAATAATGGACCAAACGGCCAACCGGCTCAGTGTAAGACCCCAAGTGAGTTTTATAAAAACAGATACATACCAAAGTATTGGCTAGCGACTAATTGGATTTTGTGGTTATGTTTCTGTTGTGCTTCGACGGTTTGCCACTGGTGACGGTTTTTGTTCATTTGCAGTGAACAGTTTGAATCTTTCCAGGCCTCGTTTGATTAACTTGGCCAAAATATGGAAGCCACTATTACTTCTTTAAGATTGCGCGTTAGACAAGGACGGTGCACCACGTGTTGTGTCGACCTGTTATAAGATCTAACAAGGAAAGCTTGAACTTTCCTGGTGTCCTTATTCGAATGATGTAGGATGGATGTTACGATTTGCGAAAATTAAATGCTTTTTAACAATGGCTCGTTTGTGTCTAGTGTCTCTAGATCCTGTACTCTGACAATGCTCTGTCCAGAGGCACGTACCCGTTTTGGCCATATAAGGAAGTACACCCGCCGGGTAACCATTGAATGCAAACCACCTGGTACAACAGCAAGGTTTAAGAATACAGCATTTCGTAAGTCAGATAACTAATCAACATTAATTCTGAAAAAAATGTTTAGGACTGTGAATAAAGTTCAATGGTTTGAATGAGCGGAGATGTTACGTACGTGCTAGCAGACGTCATCATCTTTGTTTATGAAGTACCATGCGTATTTTGGCATTGCATTAAGGAAGTAAGTTTAATAACTCTCAAAATATTATTACAGGGTGCGATGGAATGAGTACAAATTGCGACATCTTAGTTTATTACAAAGTGCGATGGCTAGTTATTACAAATTGCGACAGCGTTTAGTTTTATTCCAAAGTGCGATACGGTTTATTGCAAACTGCGACAGGTATTACAAAGTGCGATGATTATTACAACTTGCAGCAGTACACCGTATCTTTTGTTTTACTCAGTCTTAATATTTCAATTTTTTTAGAAGGCAACACCAAGAGTCCCATTATGGCCCTTGGCAAAACCTATTACTGCGAACACGAAAACTTCCAAAACCATCGATTTAACCTCGGAGAATTGAAGGAACCAAGATGGAAGGTGGAAAGGACTCGGGCAAAGAAATTAATTAAACCTCTACCGCGCGCGCTACAAATGTGAGCGTAAGAGGCATTAAAGATATTCCAATTAAGTTGTTATGCAATAAATAAATTCTTTTTGTTAGCACCACTATCTTGAGGCGCCAAGAATATTCAGTGATTGTTTCAATTTCCAGAATTAGATTATCAAAATCAGATGAATAAATAAATGCCGAAAATTTAAAGTGAGAGAAAGCTCTACTTGTTGATTTTTCCAAAATCTAATATTTCTAAAACCTGGAGCCTTTAAATGTCCCGTAAAAAATGGCTTTCGGAAACAAACAAGTGCCAGCTGACTTTGATCGGGAATAGACCATTTTTCAGTATTTTCAATTTCGCTACTGATGTCTACAGTGGTTTACATATAATGCCTATATGTTTTATTTGTTTCCCGTTTCTGAGGTTTAATATTTCACTCGTGGCTACCAAAAAAGAATGGTTACTCTAAAATGTTCCACAACGCTTCCCTCGTTATCTTAAATGTCGAAAGCTTTGCCGGAATTACAAACAGTTTTAACCAGAAAACATGAAATTAATTCCGCTAGATACACCGGCATAACGCTGTCTGACGTAATGTAACCGACTTATTTGGAAAAGATTCTCACGGCGAATGAGCGTGAAAAAGAAAAACTGAAAAATTTCATCGACCTGATAACAAGATTTTATTTTGATTTTATTACATTTGACATGTTGACCGTAGCGAATGCCACTTCGCTATCATTTTGTTGGTGATAACAAAAATATTATATTTGATTTGTTGTAATCCTAAGAACAAATTTTCGCATTTGACGTTACACGGCTAACAGCTGCCATTGAAGGATCGAACTCAGTTTTGCTGTGACGTCACGGAACTGAAAAGGCAATTTTCGTCAGTAACTGACTGGAAGCGAAATTCTTTACGTAAAAAATCACTATTCAGTTTTTCACTGTGTGATTTGCCATCTGGTGTTGAATAAAATCAGTTGGAATTCTATGGTTTCTTTTTCATTATATTTTAGTTATGGCTTAGAGAAAGAACATGAATTAGAGTGGCCATAATGTTACGTTAACCCGAACTCAAATTAGCATAAAAGAATCAACCAAAATTCATTAGCATGAGGCAAGAAGATCTGCATTAGTTCATTTGCCATTCTGAGTTGCAACTGCCGCGTTTCCCCTGTCAGCTATTAAATCGACTGAAATAATTCGTGATTATATCCCAGAAGATTATTTTTTGTTTTTCGTAGGGACCATTCGGCCCAAATTTACCTTCACCTCAATCCGTTCAGCCTAAATAATATGTACAAACACTCGTGCTGCATGCGCGCTAACAATAAATCGCTTCTTTTAACCGTATGTCAGGCTTACCAAAAGAATAATGAATCGTTTCCTTGGCTGTATACAGGATTTCAGCTAAGGACGAGCTCAGCTTGGTCAATGGTCGCGTCAGAATCGATAGTTCCTTCTTGGACTTGCTATTACTTAATACTCCAGTTTCTTATAGTACTCCGTGCATGCGACTCAACCAACTGAATTGATTGATAAGTCCATCCCTTAGCCCCATTCATAAAACACGTTACGTCATCTGAGAACAAAAGCGACCAATGACGAGCAAGTGTGGCTGTCGTATTTTAATTAAAAACTGGATTTATCGTGCAGAAAAGCTCATAAATATCGTCGAAAATGATTCATTGGGATTAAAAGAACGCTCTTCTTTCGTGTCATTGCTCTCAAAATTTTGTTTCTTTTGCCGTCGTGTGGCGATCAAACAAAGGGATTACAGCTGGCTAAGAAAATGAGCACTTTTCTCTTCTGAAAAGTACCATCTCAATATTACAGATACCAAACTATTTCAGCACAGAAAATCTTCATCAATTTTCAGTTTCTTTTTATTACTATGTTTTCTCTGCTCCTTTTAATCGGGTTTCATTTCGCAACATCAAATCTCGATCCAAGTTTTGTATTATTTTTGGACGAGAATCGTTTTAGAGTTGATTAAAATCAAGTTGCAAGCTGAATGAATTGGCCAAGCCAAAATTGTAATATCCGGCCCGCAATAATTCCATAGTCATCTCTTCTTTCACATTTCACCTTATCAACAATGTCAGCTAAATATATACGCTATCGAAAAAAGAAGTCCTAAAGTGATACCGGATAAACTTTGGCAGCTCAAACTCATTCGAAGCGTCATCTCTCGGAGAAAAGACGGAAATTAAGATTGAAGTTCTCGAAATACCCGTGTCACATTCTACGTTCGATTAGCTTTATTTGGGCTTTTTATAATGGGAAACAATAAGCGGACGGAATTTGCACATAAATGAAAAACGATGCCAAAACCTACATACATTTCGTTTAAATGTTTCTTTTTTTCTGTAAACACGGATTTCTTGTTGTCATCATGTAATAAACAGCACAGAAAGAAAATATTTATACAAAATGTGAAATCAGTATTCTCGTAGTTGGGATTGAAAAAGTCCGTATAGGAAGAGCCATTTCCACGCAAGACATTAGTTGTTTGGAAACAAAAAATTAAATGGTTTTGCAACATTTACCGATCATTTGTATCCGAAAGGAAACTGAAAGTGCTTCTTTTGCTCTTCCTTGAGGCTGTCGACAGGAGAAGCTTTGAGGATTTCGTTTCCAAACTTCTCCAAATTTCTAAAATTGGAGATTAATTAAAAAGGAAATAATGATTCAAAACACTAACCATTGATCAACGAGACATCTTTTTCCTTACAATTCACAGCAGAAACGGAAATTTGTAGCTGACGATCATGGGGAGTCACTAGATATCATGCAAAAATTACTTTTTTTCGAGTAGAAAATCTACGAAAACGTTTCTGAAAAATCCTTTTCTCAGTTCTCCAAAATGCTCGGTGGAGGCTTAATTGGCTATAACCACCTTTTAAGCCATAAACTACGCTAAGCACATGTAAGAATTGTTACCCAAATGATATGGTTATCAATTGACATGAAAATTAAACAGACAACAAAAACAAATAACTAGATCTAACACCGTACGCCAACATCATCTTCAGTAAACGAGAACACCCCAAATGCCAAGATCTGATCATGCTTGCTTCCGAAAGGTCTCGTTTATGAGACGTCCCAGCTGATGTGCTTTGACAGGGAATGAGTGAAAACGAATATATGTGGTTGCTGTTATGAGGAGATTATCTCACCTGGATAAAATGATCCGTTGAAATCTTGAAGTCCGTTTCTCAAAAGACTTGTAAATGATTTTCTTCGCAAGTTTACGGTTCCGGAGCTTTAGTTGACTTTGTAGTTGTTAGCTTTCCGAAACCAACCTGGCATATTTGTCAACAAGTATTTTTTTTATTTGACTTTCAAGTCCTTCAATACCTGAATGTTCAGGGCTCGCGTGCAATGTAAATTCACAAGATTTTTTTGAACTTCAAAGTATTAACTTATAATTGGTCCCGTGGACCTAGCCTGATTCAGGCTGTGGGCACAAATTGAACCCAAAGACCTGTTTCCGCCAACGGAGAGGGAAAGTCGTTGCGTCGCGTTGCCATGGTAGCAAAATTTCTGGATCTCAACAAACGCATGCTCTGCAAAAATGGCAGAAAAACACAAAAATTTGACATGAATGACTTTCCTGGTATGATTTGTTTTTAGAAACAAAACTGTAGCCCATACTTTTCTTCCATCATTCGACCATGCAGGTGGCTGGCTCTCAGTATTCTCCCTAAATTTTTGCTCACAGCTGGTAAGGCAAAAAATATGTATCACGGAGGTGTACATTTCCGGTGACAGGCGGGCAGTGGAGTGCGGGAAATGGCCGCGCTCTTGCTGGGAAATTTAGGAGCTAAGTTCTCTGAAATGTCATTCCCTAAATATAAGACCTGCTTAACAAATTAAAACGACTGATTCCGATAGTGTCTTCAATGTCCTCTTTCCAAATGTGTGGCACATATAAAGAAAAGCTGCGTATACTTAAGTAAGTCCATACATTCATTCATTTTCCTGTGGTATGTGATAATTGGATTAGATCACAACTTGTGTACTTTTTAAAAGTACTTCTTTAATTTTAGCAAACCTTCAGGCCATTGCAGGCGGTAAGAAGTGTTGCTTCAGGAGGTAAATTTTACCGGTTACCGCCTGATAAGGAGAACATTAGGGCTATTTATACGAGGAAAATTAAGACGCGTCTTAAATAAGACGCGAACTGGACCATTTATACGAGCATGTCTTATCTAAGACGAGAACAGCTCGTATAAATGGTTCGCGTCTTATTTCTGTTCTTGACTCGTTTTCATGTGAATGTTGCCCGTAGCAACGCCAATCCAAACGTGGTGCGCCAAAAATTAACGCATGCGTACTATGCGTTCGCGTCTTATTTAAGACGCGAAGGTCATTTATACGACGTTTTTCTCATCTTAGCTAAGACGCGTCTTATCTAAGAACAGGTGTTAAGGGCTGTTCTAAAACAAGACGCGTCTTAGCTAAGCCGCGTCTTATTTTAGACGAAATGTGCTGTTTATACGGAAAGTTCGCGTCCTATGTAAGACGCGTCTCTTTTTCTCCTCGTATAAATGGCCCTACTGTCTCTGTCAAGAAAGATTGTGGAGATCCAGAAACTTTGCTACCATGGTAACGTGACGTCACACGTCTCTTCTTTATTCCTTTCTGAGACTCAGTTCTAGGCCTTGGATTCAGACCAGACCTAATAGTTTGTGCCCCACGTAAAATATCGTAATTACCCAGGCAAATGAGGCATCTTATCAAGTGGTACTGAATCCTGCGAAACGGTCCCAAATCCAGGCATAATTTTGCTTTCACTGAAATACCCGATTCCCGAGAATCCCGCAGGAACTGACATTTCGGGACGGGAATCGCACGAATGAGGTCTACATTAAAGATTTAAAATTTGCTGGATGAATTTGGTTTTATTGAGTTGATAAAATGAATTTGTCATTGTAAAGAGATTGTGAATCCAAAGTTTTGCGGCAAGTGCGGGACTTAGAGGCAAGCAACCTCGTTCCCAGGGTTCTCTCCTACCCGCCCTCTCTCGCTCCGTAGGGCGGGTAGGAGAGAACCCTGGGAACGAAGTTGAGAGCCAAGACGTCTTGAATCGTGAATCGTATGGTCGTATCCACGTCAGGATTTTTCATTTCTATCCACTGGATAGCGCAATTGGTTTCCCAAATATTTATCAGCTGGATAATGATGTCCAAAAGTTGAAAACCCGGGCCTCTGGAAATTAAGAAGGTTACCGCTCGTTTCGCTACAAAGTTTGCCATATCGTTGCAAGTAGTTTCGATGCATGTCAAAGCTTTTTCGCAGCAATTTGGAAAACCTACAAAAAAAACAGACTTGGTGGTTTGTTACCTTCATTGCGCATCATCGAACTCCTCAAGACGAGACAACAGGCTACGTACAGGAGTCAATGGAGAGAGCTTCGCATCATGTAGATATGAAACAGAATTCGGTAGTCTACTTGCGCTGTGACGACGCCTCTCTTGGGAGCTTGCGACAGCTCGAGGAGACAGCTGCTTGGAAAAGAAAAAGAAAGTCGTTGCATGTCTCGCGTTCACATCCTCGACAAAACGTGAAAATAGGCATTTTCGCGTCGTAGTTGTGCAGTGACGGCAAAGAAATGTAAACTGAAAAAGCGTGATGCATGTGCAAAGTTGTTGTTTTCCCGATCTAAACCCATTGCTTTCTTGGCATTCTCGTAGCAATTGCCGTCGTCTTTGCTTAAGGAAGAGAGTTAAAAGCATTGCTTTTCGTTTATTTCCGCCCTTTTCCCTAAATATCTAGCCAAGATTTCATTCGAAACATGACTCAATTAATTTGGAGTCCTTAGTTCAATGATTTTTGGACAATTTTTGGATGATTTTTTTAATGTTTTTAATATAGAAAAATTAGGGGGAGGAGGTATTCAAAATTTTGGTAAATTGAAAAATATTGGATTTGAGGTTTTTTAAAATTAAATATGAAGTGAATAATTGGTAGACAAGTGGTAGACAAATACCAGTGTTATAACGTAACCAAATTTTTCCTCACTAATCGTTTATTGCTTGACCTAGAAAAAAATATATTTCATGTCAGGTTCATAAATGAGATTAATTTTGCAGAGTTTTTTTCTGTCCTTCCCTTTAATTTGAGAAATTGTCATCTCGAATTTGCCTTTCGCCGCTTGCTGTAAAATTGATTTTAAATCACGCTACTGATTCCGGTTACGTTCACACTACACCTAGTCTGCTACACAGCCGTTTTTAGTGTCGTCACGCAGGAGCGTTGCGTGACGACACTAAAAACGGCTGTAGCAGACTACACTATACTGGGAGGTTTTTGCGCCGGATAGGGATTCTGTTTGCACATAAGAACAGTGATTTCGGCGCGATTTTAGCCTGCGAAAACAGCCGTTTCCCCTCGCTCCTCGCCGCTGGAGACCCGTTTCGCGCGAAACTTCCCCAGGGGCGAGGAGTAAAGAGAAGCGGCTGTTTTCGCAGGCTAGTGCGATTTCTGCAATAGAGTGTAGCTGGTGCAAATCTCGAAAGCCGCGGAGAGTCACACCGGATAGGTGTTCATAAATTTTCGTGTAAGCACGAAGGTTCTGTTTTTCTTTTAATGATTCTAAATTATATGCTTAGTTCACTAAGACACTGGAGTCGGCCTTAAGAATGTATACATATATTGATCAGATCAGTCGTAGATTCAACGCGTCAAGAGTTAACGAGACTCTACAGTCTAGAGAAATGAGCCTTTAGTCACTCTGACCTCCTGCATGAGTCGGATATTAGAATGCCTCAAAGTACATCGTAGTTTAACTTTCGCTTTCATTTCAGTTGATTGACTTGAATGGACATCCAAACACTGATACACGTATAGCAGCCCCCTGGAGAATTTGAAGTTTTAATTTTAAATTGATTGAAACAGTCAACCGCTAACCTTAACCGCCCGATTTCGGGATCCTTTCCCGTCTAAAAAATTTTTTTTTAGTATGAGAATGTTTCCCGACTTACACTGGATTAAATCTAAATAATAGTCTCAGCCAAGTTATTCGGCGTACCAGAGGTTAAGATTGAGAACCGTACATTTTATCCCGCGAATTTCTTCAGCGTGATTCGGTCGAAGAACGTTAATGTTTAAGAAAAATCCTTTTGATTAGCAGGAGTTCTCTTTTCTTTTTACCAATAAAGAAAGGTGGAACAAAATGGAATATGGTTTTCGCCGTCGTTTACAAACTATCCAGAGTGAGAAAGGGAAAAAAAGAAGCCGACGGGGAAAGAATCTCCTCTCCCCGTCCTTGCTCCTAAGGAAGGCCTGATACTAAGGCTATTTCAAAAGAACAAGGAGAAGATTCTTGCTAGGCTAAGGCTCTTTATGGGTACTCTGGTGGTCGCTTTTGAGTTTTCTCCGCCAGAAATAGAAGCAGCAAACTGGAACTACGTTCGCAGGCTTCCGGAATTTCTTTGTTCATTGGAAAGCGCCCATTATTTTCCGATTTCTTGAGTCTGACAAAAATGAAATCATTACTGTCCACAGAAGGTGATCAACGCATCATAAATCAAATACTCAGTGTTTTAGTCCATACAGAAGAGAATGGAAAAATGTCGTTTTCCCTCCATAAGCGAGATCGGTAGAGGCGGAGCAACACATACTTTTCTGAGGGGGCACTCATATTGAAATATTTACAACTGATAAATAGTATCAATACTAGAACGAATCAACAGACTTCAAGAAAATCCCGGCCAAAATTTCTCCCATGCGTTTAATGCATAGAACAGCCAATGCATTGATAAGGCGAACTATCACTTCGTAAAAGGCCTTCATCGCCTTAACAAAAACATTGTCAATCGATAATCTCGTGTGTTCTATTGCTTTGTCAACTAGAACGTCCTTACTTCAAAAGCACCTTTTACGGTACTCAGTAGAAAAAATTTTCCTGTAAATAGGAAGTAAGGCCAGGATAGATTTTCGGAAAAGTGAAAACCAAAACCAGGTGCGGAATTCACGAGATAAAGTTCTTTTCGCTAAATTTTCCGCCGATCAAGTATTAAGCAAAAAGATCCGAACAGATTAAGCCGCTATCATGTCTTTTCATGTGGTGTCTTTGCATTGAAAGTCATAAATTATAAATTTCAGAATAAAGCACAATATTTATTATCCTAGAGCAAGTAAGCTTTCAACTTCGATGGGGGCGGGAGGGAATGGGTGAAGAGAGAGCTACTGCTCTTTCCTCGCCTTTCGCTTTCCCGGTGAGGCTTGCTCAAAGACGTAACTTTCTTTTGGTAACCGGTCATCTCGCCACCAACAAAGTCGCCAGCAGTAAGTCGACTCGTAGCCAACTAACGCCACCAAGTAATAACTCTGTAATCAAATTCGAATAAGCTTTGCCAGCAAGTAAAAATTCTAGTTCTAGGTAAGAAATCCTAGGTGAGTAAACACGTCACTTAAGGCAGAATCATTACTTGGTTGCGATTACACTTCGTGGTGGCGAGTTGGTTGGCGTTGAGTCGACTTCTTGGTGGCGAGATGACGGTAGACTACGAGTAGTCACCCATTTTTCCTCAGGGATAGTACAGGGAGCAAAACGCCAGCGCGCGTGAAAATCACCCCTCTGCGTGTCGCCTTTTCTCGGGTGAAGTGATTTTCACGCGCGCTCGCGTTTCGCTCCCTCTACTATCCCTGAGGAAAAATGGGGGACTACTCGTAGTCAAAGATGACGGTAAACCTTTCATTTCAAGGGGGTTGAGAAGGGGAAGGAAAGTTTCTCAGCCTAAAACTAAGGAATACCCTAAAACATTCGTAGGCTCAATTCAATAAAACTTTTACAAGTATAATTTACAAGTGAAACTATTGATTTAGAGCCAGAAAACAATAGTACCTTGTTAAAGTTTTATTGGTTGAACCCTCGGATGACTTTTGAATAACACCAAACATCACAAATTCAGTTTATTCACTCAAAATTTCATCCCATCACTGGATTGTGCAACTCAATTTATTTACCTAGTAATATTGTATACAAATAAAAGTAACCTACTATGTACAATAAAACAGTTACAATGCAACAAGACTGTTTTGTCATTCAAAGTCTGATAAAACAAAGCCTACGAATTACGACAGACCTTAACCATCATCAAAATTATCATGTATACACTTATCCACTGCACTTAAGTGTGGCTCTTGTAACAAGAAGCCACAATGGGACACAAAGTACAATATTCTTTTGTTACACCACAGGCCATCCAAGCCTGGTGCATAGCAATTGTGGGCACGGCCATAAGGATTTTCCCGAAACTCCTACCCTACTTTAGACCAAAATATGCGAGTTTCCCTCACCTATTTCAGACGTGAACCATTTGTTCCCAAGAGATGAACGATAAAAAACTTATAAAATATTTCAGTGGGAGGGCAACTACATTTTTGAAGAAGTTTCTACGGGCTTATGATGAGATCAATTTTTTTTCAATCTTTTGGTATAGATATAGTTTTAATAACTTCACACAAGAATTCCGTTTTTGCTTCAAGTCTGTATGCCAGTTTTTTTTTTAGCTGAAATAACCAACCAACCCCCTCAAAAGTCAATAGTGACTACAAATAATCAGCCCCATAGCAGTGGAGTGGGGAACATGACACACCACGCCTCCTGGGTGACCTGTTTTGACTAGTTGCTTAGAATCATCTTACAGATGAAGAGCAAGTAATTGGAAAGTAAAAAGTATAATTTAGCGCAATATTGTTTTAAGAAAACAACACTATAATTTGGCTTCAGAGCATATTAGTGGGGTGTCCATTATTAGCAAGGTGTCCCCAAGGCAAGAGTTGACTGTAGCAAGCATGACACTCCAAACTCTATATGTCAGCCAACTGAAGCCATTTCATTTGAGCTTAGAACATCTCTTTCTAAAGTAAAGTTATACTGATATTGTTCAATATTCGGTGGAGATCTCCCTGAGAGTTCCAAGCTCCCTTGATTTAGTTGTAGCACCCTCTGAAGTTGTTTCGACAGTTGAAAAGGAACATCTGATACAGTAAGAAAAGTTGTTTCTCTTCTTTGAGGCACTTGCTTTTGTGCTGCTGTTATTGTGTACGAGGGTGATCCTAATTAAATAATGAAAAAGAGATCATTGATGTTTAAACAGTGTTCATTCACCGGTATTTTTATTTGAACATTATTTTTAGTGTGTGTTTAATCCCCAATGATGCAAAAATCAAAGGGTTTCCCAGAAAATGGGTGCTTGTGACCGTTTACTAGATCGATTTTCATTTTTTGCAGGATCAAGCTAATTTTTGGCAGACTGATTTGTGTTGACGTGATAAACGTTGTTTCATATATTTTTACTGATTTCTGCTTCGTTTTTGAGAAAATTCAAAACACCATGTTTTTCCAGAGCATGATGTCCATAAAATAGAGACAGAGAATGTCTAGAGTTCAAGTCTAGGTCCCAGAGACAAACAAAAACTACATTTTAAACTTCACTCAACCCTTGAAGTCCCAGGGTTGACCAACATCAATTTTCTGTGAACAACATCAATAATAAAATAATAAAGAGGAAAGGTCACAAGAGTTAATAAAGTGATCAACAAAGGGAAAATTCCTTGACCTTTTATCAAATTCTCTCAACTAATACGCTCTTCTCACTTATGGTAATATGACCGTCTAACCTCGTTTACGGGTAAAAATTCTTTTGAAATTCAAATACGAAAACGTCGTCTGATTAGCATTTCAAAGGACTTTTTACTCAAAAACGAGGTTAGACAGGCATATTACCATACGTGAGATGAGCGTATTCCTTAAGGAAATGTAAGGAAATTAGTCTGGAGAATCTGTATAAATTATGGATTTTGGGGCTTAAAGAGCTACAAAAACAGATCCTCTAAGCATTAACACAGTTTTCTGGTCCAAGGGGTGTTCGCTTACCTGAGTTTCAACTCCACTACTTTTAATATTTCAGCAAAATTTTTTATTTACCTGTAGGAGGGTAGGGGCAGCTCTGTTGTAAATTTTCATACGATCTGTAGTTTGTGATTCCTGGAACTGACTCAGTCTGCTGCCAAAGACACAAAAAGTTAGTTTCAATGAACTTATCATTCCCAATATCAGCTAGGATGACATGTAATTAATTCTGAAGTTGGAGTTATTAACAAAATCCTATACCAATATTACCGGTATATAGTAATGATGTGTTAAGCAGTAATTTCAGCCATGATATGATTTGATTTAAAGTTTGTATTATTGTGCTGTATAACAAGCTAAAATACCATCTGTTTAACAGCAGACATTTAACAGGGTACAAATGTGCAGCAAAATCAACCCCTTTTGAAACTGCAATAGTTCATGTCTCTAGTGAGGGATTTCCATTCAATTTTGGAGGATTGTGTAAGGTATGCAGAGATGGAAGAGAACTGTTGCAAACTATTTGCCTCTCTCCACCCAATTTTCCAAAGATGCAGAATAGGGCTGCTAGAATTCTCACCTTTTCTAACTATGAGGCTCGCTCAAGGGTTTTGTTGGATGAGCTTGGCTGGGAAAGGTTAGAAAATGTAAGACTTAAACAGTTGGCTGTGATAGTGTATAAAACCCATAATGATCTTTCCCCATCATATCTGAGATGGATCTTTACCAACACCTCAAATGTACACTCACACAATCTTAGAAATTCTGAGTTGAATTGTTATGTCCCCAGACCCAAAATTGAGTCTACAAAAGGGAGCCTACACTACAGAGAATCCATTCTGTTGAACAAGATTCCCTCAGAGATTAGAAACCTGCCTAGCAGAAACCTGTTTTTAAAACTTCATTTCACCATGACTCATGGTAACTCTTATTATAATATAAGTTTTTGTACTTTTAACTTTATAGTCAAGTAATTCCTTAGAGTATTTTAGTTTAATTTTACACACAATTCCTAGAAAGACCATGTAAAAGTGAAATGATTTCGTGTATAAAGACTGATGATGATGATGATGATGATTTTAATTTACTTCTGGAAACTAACATTCTTGTAGGGTAAAAAAGGACTATGACGTGCACTGCTAACTTGAGGAATCTTCTTGAGAATCTACTCCGATGTTCTCTGTGTTCTTCACCAGTCACACGCAGCGCATTTTCCTCTGAAACATCCTTATTTCTCTTCGCCGAAGCTTACCTCATCTCGAATTCAAATATTTTTTACAAAACCGACATAATAAGCTCACGCTGGCATCCATGATGAGAACATGACGTATTGACATGTCAATGACAAGTTAATTACTGGAGGACAGATTGGTGGCATCAAAGGCATGTCTCCAGGCTCCGCCACCCTTTCCCCTCCACAGATTACCCCTTGGTTTGCTTCGCTCGCCAATTTTTTTTGCCCTTTCCCCCCAATGCGGAGCCTGGTCCCAGGTTACCTTGCACTTATTCTGTGCCTTGCTACACAGGTTAAAGCAAGCATTCCATTTGGTCACTCTATAAACTCCTCATTCAATATGCCACTTACACATCTCTCACAGTGATTCTTATTTACCCTCCAAAATTTTGTATAAGCATTGTTTTCAATTTCTCTTGAAATGGCTGTAAATACCCAGGAGAAATGAAAAACAAAGGTTGTGCAAAATTTTAGGAGGTAAATAAGGTGCATTATGGGAGATGTGCAAGTGGCGTATGGGGATTGCTTGCAACGTTGTAAGTGTGACGTCACAAATAAGGAAGGCTACGAGAAGTCGCTTAATAAAAGATACGATTCTTTTGATAAGATGAAAATGCATTAACTAATTTTAAGAACTGGAAAACTTTTATCTTACTTAAGTTATAAAAATGTCTAAACATATAAACCTCGATGTATTAAGTCAAATTCATGTTACCACGTACAACGGTACCATACAAAACAATAACTACAAGATTTATGGTTTGTCACGATGAACTATTCCAGCAACTTGGCATTACTTGTCCTTACGAAACACGGTTAAAATAGGTAGTCCATACCTTGCAACGTTTTTTCTGTTCTGCAGTGTATAACACAAACCCATCCTCGCTGTCGAAATCTTCTGTAAACCCAGTTCCAGACGCGCTGTTATAACATGTCTGCACAGTTTTCTTCGAGTTTGCTCCCACAACTTTCGAATAAAGTCCAGATAAAAAACTCATATCCGTGACAAGCACCTTGCAGCATTACTACATGCTACTTATTAAATCGAATTTAAACTTATGACGGATGACGATGTGGAAGACGATCACCTTTCAAGAATTTCAAGCCGCATTCTGTCGATTCTCGTTGGCTCCAAAAATAGAATTCAATTTTCACCCTGGGAACGAGCACTTCGAATTGATAGAGAAAGACTAGGGCGAGGCAAGAACGCGTTAAGGCGGCAAAATCCATTGCATTATTTCTTTCACTAATCTCCAAGTTTTTCTTTATTTTGACTGTCATTTTGAATTATTTTTGGAGTTTTTGCAATGGAAGCACCAAGAGTGAACGCTTCAATGCTACCGCAGTATTCTGGAAGGCTGGTTTGTCTTGTAGGAAACGTAACAGAGGTGAAGTGTAAAAAATTATTCTCTTGTTGAACACTCGTGTTGAAATTTTGCAGCTCGATCGATTTTACATTTAGACGTCAATAACATTTGTGTTTCAGTGAATTTTGTAGTGAATGCAAGGGTTTGAAAAGTGTTTACTAAACTTAAAACCTACGTGCGGCATTTCGTTTAGTCGTCAATCTAGCGCTTGTGCCGCCAGCGATCTTCTTCTGTGTTCGATGCTGAAGGAGATTTTCACTTCGAAGTTTCTGCAGATGTGGTGAAAAAAGCAGTTCAGGTGTAAAATTATCCACTATCACTGTATCAAGGTGAATTGCAAACCCTATCATGCACAGAGAACAATAACTCATAGACGGAGGGGGAGGGGGGAAAATTTGTCCCCCTTCCCACCCTTGTCTGTAAAACTTTGCAACTCTGCAGAGCTTTGTCTTGCTTATGACATGTCACTGTCAAACTTGGCAAATTTAGTTACCGTAAGATTCCGAAAATAAATCCCTCCAAATATAAGTCCCCCAAAATCGTAAAGCAAAACCCTACGTTAAATCACCCCTCCAAATATAAGCCCCCCGGGGGGCTTGTACGTGGAATTTGCCCTCGAATACAAAGTAAAACAAAGCAAAAATGGTAAATTTCCTTCCCACTACAAGGTAGCCCAATCGATTTTGAAATGCAAATTTCCATCAGTACATAGGCCTCCCCCAAAATAAGCCCTTCAAAAAGGGCCTTTGAAAAATATAAGCCCCAGGGCTTATTTTTGGAATTTTACAGTATTTTAAGTTACTTATTCCATGAACATCAAGGGACGTTTGCAAACTGGCTCTTGACAGTATTAAATGGAATGAAACAGAGGTCCAAAGGTTTTAAGACTCACATTTGACATGTCGGAATTACCTTTGGAAATGTTCTTAGTTGAGACACTTCACTCACATGCGGGGGGGGGGGTGGGAGTAACTCCGGATTTCAAGTGACAGAGAAGATCAAGAGATTTATGAGAGGTCGAATTTTCAATTCCGGGACTTTTTTGGGTGAGAAAATTTGGAAAGTACTTTTCTGGATGACTTAATTTGGCAGTATTCAGAAGAATCTGAAGATTCATGGTAGTGTCTATGTATCCCAGGTGCATTTTTTTTTTCAGTAAAGTACAACCCAATTTGTTAAGGTTTGGAAATTCTGCACGGGATTTTTGGGGTGTTTAGATTTTTGCCTCTGTTTTATCATCCCCATCTCTTGAACTCTGGAGTACCCCCCCCCTGGGTTCACGTGATGAGTATTAGATTACAGGATTGAGCTGAGAACACCTCTACTAAAAATAACTTTTAAGGATGGTTTGTAAACAAAGTCTTACTGAAGCCTCGGTTTAATAAATCATTGGCTATCCAGGTCTCTTTGCAAGTGGATTATTTTATGGAGATGAATAAATTGTGCTTCCCTAATCTATGCCATATGCTTTCATGAAACTGTACAAAATGAACAGTGTTTAGATGAAGTGCGTGGCAATATGTTAAACACCGGTTAAACTCCCTTTTAATAGTTTTTTTTCATTCAGAGGCCCAAATTAGCTCTTTTTCTCTCACCATAACGCGCCCTTTATTTAACAAGTAAAGATGGGCCATTTTAAAAGGAAAAATATCTAGAAGTTGATGAGAATTCTCTTGGGATGTTACTCAAAAACACATATATTTTTTATCCACAGATTAGTTCCAATGGAGCTGAATTGAAGATCATGACAAGCGATCAGAAAATTGTTAAAGTCAGCTTGGGGGAGCCTGTAGGTTTCATGATTTGATGTGAAAACCGCAGCAGCCAGTTAGCGGAAGCTACATATCAAAGCTTTTTTCTCACTACTTACTTCTTACTCATCACAACATTTTAACAGCATAGTTCACCAGTATTGGCTGATTATTGTGTTGTCATTGTTATTGTTTTTACCTCTAATAACTGTTTTTTTCTCACCTCTAATAATTGTTTTTTCCTTACAATTACACAGCTTGATGAACAGCTCCATGGAGCTGTGGAGGTTATTGGAAAAGTTGAGCGTGACTGTTCATTATCAAGTCAGAGAATCATTCCATATGATCAAGAATTTGGTGAGTGTTTCTCATCGAACTTTTTTTTGCTTAAGAAGGGGTGTCTTGAAAACAAAGACCTCTAAGACCCCTACCAAATGACTCTGAACACCAGTGGTTAGGGTTAAAAAACTGAGTGAATCAAGTTCCATTTAGAACATTATACTTAGCAGACTGACCTGAAAGTTGATTCACTCAGTTTCCTAACCCTAAACAATGAAGTTCAGAGTCATTTGGTAGGGGGTCTTAAGGGTCTTAGGAGTCTTCGTTTTCAAGACACCCCTTAAGAAGTAGGTTCGTGCAAAATTCTTGATAAATCATAATTTATTCTAAGAGAAACATAATTTTGATTAAAAAAAGTAAAAGCCAAAGGGACACAAGGTTAAATTTGTTAAACTGGAACCACTTCTAATTTGTTTGTCCTTTTGCACATCCTCCCAAGTACATGGACATTTTGTCATGACTTTCACCTTTCATGGTCATGGTGCATTGTTTGCACTTGGAAAAGATTCAAGGAATGGAATCCTTAATAGTAACTCCATTTAAAATGAATTTCCTTGAGACTGGAGGGAGGTGCAAGATTGCAGAAAATGAATTCAGAGCTTTGAACACAAATGTGCTGTTTTCTCATTCTTTTGTTATTTAAGATAATGCACGAGTATGAGGTTTTTTTTTTTCTGCAAATGTGGGATCAGCACCAAGTGTTCAGGGATCAGTTGCATAAGTGTTAATGCCGGATTTAAAAGCTACCCTCTGACACTGAAACCCATAAAACCCTTAATATTTTATTATCAGCCGATAGCAGTTACGTCTGACTTTAGGTTACAAAATACATCCAACTCTAGCTTCATTAAGAGCTGCCTGCCCTTTAGAGAGTCAAGATGAGTTAAATGCCTGGATATCAATTCAACTTCTTAAAAATGGATTTCTTCCTGAAGATGTTTCATTACTTGCTGGCTACAAGTACTAAATTGTTTGCCCGTTTTATACCTGTGTTAAACAGTCTCCTATTTGCTGCTATTAATTAATGCTCTAGTTTTCTGTTACCAACTACTGCCTAGCTAATTACTATGAATTGCTAATTGCCAATTAACTGAGTTAAGATTAAAGCTAAACTCTCAGTGTTCTGATGAAATTATTATTATTATTAATGGCTACTTCTTTGGCTCTTTTGTAGATCTTAATTTGTATGGAGAGGCTTTATCACTAGCATCAAACTACCCCGACATCTTTGGTTCAACACATTCAAATGGATTTGGCTATTAATGTTACAGGGAATTGCCCCCTAGCTATGCATTATGCAAAAAAATGTACAAAGACTCTATCTATCTGGATACTCAGAGACTACCAAGCCATAAGAATACCCTACTTTGACTAGAAGAGGAACTGCTGACTTTGCTGCTCGGAATCATACTTAGCTATTCAGAAAAGCCATAATAAGTATGCAGTGCGAAAAAAGATTCCTAGATGTTTGTTTTTTGAAAATACCATTGGATATTGTTAAAAATATACTTGGGTTTTTGCAATGTACTGTTAAACTGACAGTTTGCTATCACTGTTTTGATAATAAAAAAAAGTAAATATTAAAGTGAAGTGGTATTCTTTAAAATTATTGCTTGAATTGCTGGCCCGGGGTGGTGGAAGGTACTCCAGAGTTTAAGTGACAGGCTGGAAATGATTGAAAGGCTTTTTTAAAAAAATTATTTATCTAAAGCAAATTGTCTCTGGAAAACCCCTATTCTCTTAGATAGTGAGTTAACTCAAGCATAATACAGTGAGTCTTTCAGGGTTTTCAATAAGGTTTTAAGTAGGTGGCAAAACCTCACACCACAGCTGCGACGTGCAAGCGCTGAAAGCTCAGGTTATTAGGGGGGTCTGGGGGCATGAAATTCTGGGGCAAAACTTTGAGTGTTTGAACAGAACACAGGCATCATTAAATTTTGGCCCTTTTGCGGTTAATTTCCAAAGAAAAGTAGGCAGTGAGTTCGTGTGAAATAGCTAGCGAATTTTGCTGGCCTCCAGCTCTTACTGAGAACCCTGGTCTCTGGGAAAAGAGAAATAAGCTAAAACACTTCACAATAACTTCAATATTGTTTTTTTATTTAAAAAAAAAATTCTTTTTGCTTATTGTTGTGTCATTTTGGTTAGAAAGCTGACAGGTCGCTGAAATCCAAGTGAGCAGGGGGTCATGACACTCAACCGTTTTCAAAACAATAACCCCCAAATGTTGGGGAGATACAGTTAGTTAGCTGTCCTTTGTGTTGTCTGGCAATGATCCTCCGCATTGATCTCCAAGGGCATTGCATGATAGCCTGAGATCATGCCCTCTCCCTATTAAGGTTAACTGCATGATGACACAAAGAACAGCTGCGTGGGAAACATGGGAAAAACGGAAATTCTAGCCTGTGAATACAGCCGTTTCTCCTTGCTGCTAGGGATGCGTTTTGCCAGGAGGAACATCTGCACCTCATCCACAGAAATTCCGTACTGATGGTGTAAATCAATGTCTGCATAACATATCTGGTAGTCATGGGGTTCCAAATGTAAATTAATTGTTTGATTTTATGTTTCTCCTGGTTGATTATGGTAAAGTTTTGTGCTGCACTGCGAACGAGCTGTAGCAAAACTCAAATGCTTTCTCTCAACAAGAAAATATTCCAGGAATATTGGCTGTGTTGTAGTAGATTCATCACATTTATGACCCCATTTACATGTGACGTTTGTGGCCTTTTGTCTGTCATTCGTAAACAGTACGTAAAAAATATAACCACTGTGTCGACCAATCAGAGTTCCTGACCAGATTCCGGACAGATTTTACATCACCAGTATGGAATTCCTGTTGCTGAGGCACAGACATTCCTCCTAGCAAAATGTCCCTAGCAGCAAGGAGAAAGGGCTGTATTCACAGGCTACAGAAATTCCAGTTCAACATCAAATGGTTCGTGCTATTCTATTCTTCGTGCTATGGTTCGTGCTATTCTATTCAGAAAATATGGGCTGTGATTGCAGGCAATGCTATTTTTCTACTCTTTTTAATCTGTTCAGCTGACTTGGATAATAGCGGGTTATTCTCCTACCATCTCAAATACTATAGTTTTCTGTTTATGCACCAGATTTCCAGCTGGGTGGTTTGTGTAAAGCAAAATAGTAAGCATTCTAGGTATTTCCTGTATATAACCAAACAAACTGTCAGAGCAAATGTTTCTTTGGAGGACTAGGTCAATCCTAACCTACAAAGCCACCTCTCTCCACTGCTCATGTTTTGCAAGATTAGCAAAGGCAGACAATAATTAACAATTATTCCTCGAGCCCAAATGAGCTCTGAGTCAATAGCCCATGAGGCCGAAAGCTATTGACTCAGAGGCCATGAGGGCGAGAGGAATAATTGTTTTAGTAAAATCCAACCAGTTGGTCAAAAATATCGAGAATAAAAAACTTTTAGCTAGTTAAAGCTAGACTTTAATCCTTTTTTGCAGCCAAAAAGCCCGCGCTTTTCGCTACTAGTAGGCTTTAACATATGCCGGTAGCCTAGTAGTAGCTCAATCAATCAGAACGCAGCATTGATAATAGACCACCAGTGGGATTTTACTAATACGAGATAGCTGTATTCACAGCCTATCTAAGTCTCGATCGTCTAAAATAAGCCTTTTTAAAAAAGCAGTTCTACTTTCTGCAATATTTAATTTCCATTTCATTTTCCTTAATGAAACTAAGTTTCAAGTAAATGTATTTCCAATATTCTAAGTCCAGTTATGAGCTCCGCAATAGCCCAACCAGGCCACATACCAGATTAATGTTGTCAGACATACATGTACATTAGGATGACTTTTAGTTCTTTTAACCACCATGCAAATCTTACTCAGCTAGAAAGTGATACCTTATTCTCACTTAATTTCACGAGAATTGAATTTCAATAAAAATCATGAGCCATATTTTGCGAGTATTTAACTTCGCAATTTCTAGGGAAAGCTAGAACTGGAGTCTGTTAAATTTCGCAATTTTTCTATTCTTTAATATGTAAAAGTAACTTTGAACTCAGAACAGCAGCAACAGATTATCGTAAACAACAGCAAACAAAGACAATTACAAACAACAAAGGCTGCATAAGGTTTTCAACAGTCAAACTAAATATTTACACTCTCACTTTCACTCTGATAAAATTTGTTCTTCATGTAATGTTCTGTCAGACATGATATGGAGTTTCTTCTTCTGTCCACATTATACTACCACGTTGCTCTGCAGGAAGCTTCATTTTGCAGCTCACACATATATGTCTGGTTATTAAGTTTTGCGATTTTAATCTTTGTGAGTATTAGATTTTGCAAAATTAAGTGAGAATAAGGTAGGCTTCGGTTTTGATCTGTACTGGTCATCATCTGACCACTGGTAGAATTTTGTCAGACATGAGAAATTTTTTAATCAGACATTATGTGCCAGTATCGGTGTGAATGCAACACCAATGTCCTCAGTTTTCAGGCAAACAATGAGAAAACATCAAATAAAAAGGTCTGTTAAGATGATGGTCTATCAGCTGAAGCTAAAATCAGTTTCTATTGCAATATTATAATAGTAATTTGTTAAATTCCCTATGTCATGCTGATGCAAGGACATCACTGTTTGGCATTGCCATGGCAACAGAGTCTAAGTTCATACAGTGACAGCTACATCCTGTCACAGGACATTCTGTATGCTCCCTGTAAACAAATGAACAGTATTAATATCCGATAAAAAATACACATTCTCGTTTGTGTCCAAATAATGTTATAAAATTAGCCAGGAAAAGTTTTTGACATCTTGACCCCTAATAGTAGCCAAGAACAAAATTCTGAAAATGCCCTAATTTTGTTTTGAATGTATTAAAAAACAAATAGAATCAAGTAAAAGTAGCATCTAGTGGTAACATCCTGATGGTCCAATATGAGAAGCAGGCATCGAGCATAGCATAACTATGGCCCATAATATCAATCACTCCATTCATTACATTGGGGTCTTGTATCAAATTTATATTTACAGAAAGGTGACTCAAGGATGACAAGGTTTAAAGTTTGGACTAAAATGTAACAAATTTGTTTTCCCTTTGAAAAAAAAATCATCTAGCAAGTAAAAAGTCGTTTTTAGTTTCTAGATGTACCGGTAAGTGTATTTAAGTCAATGATTTGTCTGGATTGCAGATAAAACTGCAGAAACCACTTACTTAAACCAGTCGACAACATGATTAGAATGTCCACCATGACGACATGATTGACACCAAGTGAACCAGTTGTTGAAAGGATTCACACTGCGTACATTTGATGGCTTCTCTGCATTTGGATCTGTAAATCATTGACATGAGGAAACACATCTTAAAGAAACTTGCATTCTCTTTTGAGAGAAAATCATCCGCCATGCTTTAATTAGTGATGATTTATCTATTTTTTTCCGTTTATCTCAGTATATAGCTGTCTTTCATTATTGGGAGCATCCCCAATATGGCATGTACATACTGTCAACATTTGTAGAGTAAAATTAATTGAAATCCACATTCTTGTCTTAATACACTGTGACAAAGGTGATGCTAGCCTCCCATCAAGCCACTTCTTGTATCATTACACAGTGCTCCCTCATTGTTTAGGAGAGTGTTTTGTGATGATATAAAAACAAACATAAGTTTATTTTGGACCAAATTCTCTTCATCAGTGCCAGAGAAATGTATGTTCTGAGAACCGAGTGGAGGACATGATACAGTATAAAACACAAAGGAATTAGAGTCAGAGCTTCAGATCAGAACTTATCTTACCTTGAATTGCTGGCTTCTGTGAAAGTGACGATGATGTCCCCATATGAACAAGACAGAGTGCACATCTTGGAAGAGGTTTCCTGCAAGCAGGACAGGCCATGATCTGCAAAAAAAGTTTAAAGTCAACAACAAAACAGAGAAACAACCTATTGGAAAACCTATGAGTGATTAACAGTTTAATAGCTGTAGACCTTAGATTCTCTTGCACCTATTTTCTTACTAGGAGAAGACAGGTCAAAGGAAAATACAAAGAAAAATGCTTTAAATGGTGCACTAAACAGACTTACAGGTGCACAGTTACTGTTTATAGACCCGAAACTCAGACAAACAAAATTGACTGAAATGAAAACTAGGGAATTCCTCACTTTTGTTGGACTTCTGTTATTGAAACGTCATGTTGGTCTTACCAACATTTGTCTTTATAAGGGTCAGACAAATATTGCAGATCAGTCACTCTGATGTCATTCGTAAGGCTGTGCTATAACAAAGGTATTTTTTTATCAAAGCAGTGCTTGACACACAATAGCCTCCCTCTCTATTAAATTATTCACTGCAGAATCAATACCTTTGTTCTGTTTGATGGGTTGGAATATTGAGCAAATTTTCTAGGTCTTGAGGCTGCAAAATTAATTTTGAAAACAACTTTGTTAAAAACATCAATATTTATTTATCCTCTCTTGTTACAAGACAAAGTTAAGAGTTTGTTTTTTGTTGTTTAGTTTACCAGCTTACACTTGCAACGTTAATGAGAATTTTGCTGCACTCTTCAATTGCAAGACAGTGTTAACTAGTGGCACCGCAATATAATTTTAATTCATAGTCAAAATTATTGCTGCTATATTTCACTTCTCATGTTTAATGCACCATTCAGTAAGACATTATTATTGCAAGTGCTTTTAGTTACCTTTACTCATACCCTCTCCCTTTTCCAACCATTCACTATAAAGGGTAGCATTGGGATTGTCATAAAAATTATCTTTTTTCTAGAGAACATCCATAGCCCTATGTTCATTCTTGGAAGATTTCTCTTGGGTTTGAATTTTTTCCTGGAAATCCCAGTATGAAATTTAAAAAAAAATGCATTTTAGTTGAGTGTCAATGTATTTAGCACGAAAGTACTAATCAGGGACACTATTTTTACATCTCGTAATGGAGACAGGACTGCCATTTTACATGGTCATCCGAGCCACATGAAGGTCTAGCCAAGGGCAAAGGCAGTACTTGAGCATTGGTGCTGCCCCATGCAACCTCCCACTCTGCAGTCAAGTGATCTAGCTATCGACTGTGCTAATCCTGATGTGAGTTTCAAACATTTTGAAACTCAACGCTAAATAAAATACCTACGGATGTTGAATGACCTGAGATGAACATAATGGAGATGTAAGTCACTAACCTGTTGACAATATGTTAGTGAGGATGTTATTTCCACAAAAGTTACATGACACAAACACTTGTTGGGGAGGTTTCTGTGTGGAATCCTTCAGGTTACGGTGAATATCAAATAATGACCTGATGGTAAAAAATAGTTAACAATTATAATTGGACGAGGTTGAGCAAAATATCGTGATTTGTCCGTGGCGAACAGATCAATAATTTGAAGCCGAAGGCCGAGGCAAATAATTGATCTGTGAGACACTGACAACTCATTATATTTTGCGATAACCGAGTTCAATAATTGTTTTATCATTTGATCAACAAGTTTGTTTTTTTAATGAATATCCTCGGGAAGCGAAGCAATCTGCCATTTTCACGCAAAAGCAATCACAAGAAGGAGAAAAGCACAGTTTCCTTTACACATGAGCAGAATATTATTTGCAGCCAAACACAGTTGGACGGCATTGCACATGAGCAGACCATTATTTGTAGGCAGTTATTTGCAGGTCACGTGGTGGGCTCTCAGCCAATGAAAAGAAAGAAAAATTTGCTTCAAATGATATGGAGTTGGAGACAGATTAAATTAAGAATGAATACTATTTCTACAATCTGAATCAGGCAGGTCTTTCGTTTATTGAAAGAAAAGAATCATAAAGATAATCATACCTTTGATGCCAAAGTCTCCACATATCTAGTAAATTTCTATAACTAAAAAGATTAAATTTTTATTATTACTAAGATTACATGCAGCTTCCTATTCACTTCATACTGCTTAAATCAAAGAAGCAATACAGTCTGCAGTTTTTGTACTCTCCCCATTTTACAAGCACTTGACACTGACTCAGAGATCAAAGGTAATAACATCAGGAACATGGTTGAATAGTAATACACTTACTTTTCAATCCAAGATAATACTCTGGCATCTTTTGACACTTCACTAGGTATGTGAGGAACACAATTAACAATAACTAAACTTGCTGTCTGGACATCAGTTGTCTGCAAAATCAATACATTTGAAATCAATTTATGATTTTTTTTACCTTCTCAATCATTCTCATTAATTACTAAAATTACAGCATTTTTATTTTATCTGCTTTTTAAATCATGTGGTGTTACCATTCATTTAAAACCTTTTTGGCAGAACTTTTACACAGTACTATTTTATTTCCTAGGATTTTTGCAGAAGGGAATTTCTAACTTTTTTTGGTTTGGCCACTGTAGGCAGTGAAAGGGGATCAATTGAGGTTGTAAATGACCACCCACCCCTCCCCTAAATCAACATTAACACTTTCTTCTCACTTAGGGCAAAATTGTGACTTAGGGGAAGAGTAGGTGGTCATTTAACCAGTAACCTCAATTGATTGACTGTGAAAGGATTACTTAACAGATTATTAACTTGTGCTCCTGTGATCACATTAGACTGCATCTAATGATACATCTTCTTTAAATTGGCAAGAAATGCAACAGGGATGTGGAAAGCTTGACCACTTATAATTTACACAATCACCGAAAAAGTTTTTTACTTGTAGGTTTTCTGCATCTGTGTTGGATTAATCTTGCAAATTCATGATCTACTGGTTGCTCCTGGGCAAAACAACAACAACAAAACAATTCACCTTATTTACATATTTTTCCAACAAATTTATTCCATCCAAGGAGATTCCTAAAACACAAGAAAAATGCAAAAACACTGTTCATTGTGTACTAGTTTTATTTTTCATTTTCTAGGGCACATAGAAGACAAATGATTGATATTATCACAATAATAAAAAATTCTACACTGATTTCACCTACGTACCTGTTAAGAGAATGCCATCTAAATCACCAGCATTGCTCATTCTTATAGACAAGTTCTCAAGGAACTGAGATAACTGAAGAAAAAAACATTAACACTGGAAAAACTTAACTTGTGTCTGATCGTCACGTTGAAAACAAAGCACAAGAAACATTATTTTCCCTTCATGTTGTGGAATAGTTTTAGCCCTTAAAGTCCCAAGAGTGACCGACATCAATTTTCTCCTAACAAATATCTATGCATTATCAAGAGAAAGATTAGGAGAATTAATAAACTGGTCACTAAAGGCTACAACGAAAAATGCTTTTAATTGATCTATGCTTTGCTGAAATGTTGGAGATCACGCTGGAGAATATGTAGATACTGTATGAAGCCCCCCGTCTCAAATAAGTTCTCCCCCCCTCTTTTCAGGGGAAGAAAGTCAATAAGCCCCCCTCCCCTCCTCATTATTCTTCACTAAAAAATGATAGACTGTAATAATCCATCACAACTGTAAAACTTCGTGTGGACTGATCCAGGATGGTTTATTTACTGACTGGAAGTTCGGATTTGATTCTGATCCTCGGCTGCATGACATCCAACCTTCTTGTACTTGAGCTTTTCCACTTTGTATTCTAGTTCTTTAAGGAGAGCTCATACTATCGTCTTTTCTAAATTAAATAAGCACCCCCCGTCAAACAAGCCAAAATGGGCTTGAAATAAATAAGCCCCCCAGGAGCCTAACAGAGGATTTACAGTATGGAAATGTGGGTCTTAAAACAGCATACCTTTTTCTCAGGGAGGTATTTACATGCAAAGGCAACCCTGTCTTCTATCTCTATTCCCTCTTCAGCCTTAAAGAAAAAACAAAAGACAGCTTAACTAACAGACACCATTTGCCATAAATACAGGTGAAAATGGGAAAAACAGCTAGCAACTGAGTAAAACAAAGATGACCACAAACAATGACCGCATACAAGAAATCATGGTCAGCTTTTTGACACTACTGGTAAATGGCAAACATGTTCGCCTACTTATATCTGTGGGCAGAAATAAAGGAACGTGAGGCCTGATTTAATACACAATGGTATCTTTAGAAGGCAGCTAGCTGACTCTACAGAGGCAATGGATTTCAACTCCTTTAGCTATGTAAATAGAACTGTCTCAAACCACTGACTGTTTTGACTATCTAGCTCTGATTACATGGAAACTGACATTAATTTACAGATTTAAGTTTGCCATCGGTGCGACCATCAAAGTGTTGTTACTAATCAGTAATTGCTGGATCTTTTAATCGGCGATCCTTTCCTAGTGATCACAGCAATACTGACATCATATCGAGATTAGGCTTTACTTAAAACCTCTGTAACGCAGAGTTGGCAATGCTTAACTTATGTTGAATTCAACTCACCAAAATACCATCAAAGTGATCAGCTTCTGCAGTCAGAAATGAAAATGCTGCCCTTAGGTAAGGATTTTCCATCTGTAGAGAAAGTGCAGTACATTTTTGTTGAGGTTACAACAGTCAACTCTCATCACAAGGACACTGTACATGTGCAAACTCTCCTAAGCGTCTACTTAACATCCAAAACACCAAAATATTCCAAGTCAAAGCCTTCAAGTTGGAACCTCTCATACAAGGTCACCTCTTGTAAGCAACTGGTGACCAATATTTTAGGATAACATGCAGTTTTAGAATTTTCCATTGTTTTTAACCTCTTCTAACAGGGCTCGAAATCAACGCTCGCAAACTCGCAAAATGCGAGTGATTTTGATAATCTGCGAGTAAGAAAAATATCCACTAGCAAACGATTGCGAGTTAGAATTATCCATGTCTCCCAAACAAAGGGAAATAAATTGCTTGTGGTCTCACCAGTTTGCTAGTCGAAAAAAATCTTCCTAGCAAAACTTTGCAAGTGCACTAAAAAGATAACTTCGAGCCCTGTTCTAAGCGACAACCTAATACAGTGGTCTAATCTTTGTGTTTGCTGTATGTTCCTAGCTACTCAGAGTATGAGAAGAACATTTAGAAACAATATGTATATACATATTTTAATATATTGTAACCTAAATATCGTATGCAATACAATCTCTCTCAAAAGAAGATGTGTCCAGACTTCTCATCTTAAACAACCTTGCCCATGCAGTGCGACTCTCGTAAGCAACTACCTCCCGTAAGTAACCATTAACTCTTTGCATTTTGGGTGGTGGCTTGATTATGGGAGGTTCAAAGGTATTACAAACCACAATAGTGCAGACAGCAGTTCTAACCTCCCTCCCCACCCTTCCCACCACCAAATACTAGAGGTTCTAACTACAAACCATTAATTTTGACACAATAACAGCTGTACATCACAACATCATCACCATATTCTAACTCAAGCAGCATCTTTCAGCACTAAATAGATACAGTGCCAAGACAATAGCGTCCTTTAACCGCCACATTGATTGTATTTTTGCGCTTTTGTTGCACATCAATCAAAGTTGACTATTCAGCCTCCAGAGTACAATACTTTCTAAGGAAATTCTCATCACACCATCTCACAGCAAACTGTCACTATAAAGGACACTATAAAACATGCAGTCCTAGAGTACTGCATCCAATAACATGAGCAAAAGAGAATTATTTTGAGTTTTGATGGTAGTGCGGCATCAGCTGACCTGGCCACAAAGACTCCTGCACATGTCCCTCCATAGGGTCTTTTTCTCTTCTGTATAACCTGACAATGCCATGGCAACCACATTTAGCGTACATGTACCTGTAAGATAGAACAACAGATGAAGAATGATGTCATTGAATCATAGCTGGCTCTGTAAGCCTATTTTACCCAATCAGGACCACCTGCTTAGAGAAAAAAAATTTCTTTTTGCCACAAATGATAACAAATTCTTTACTGACCAGGCTTGTTTGGTCAAAATGGCTGCATGTTGGCCCAAAACAGTAACTTAGCCAATATCAAGCCATCTTGCCATACAAGTCATTCAGCAGGAAACTTTATTTTGTATTAGTACAATTAAATCCTCCAGTCAGTAATAATGTTACCATGGAGTTGCATGCATTTGGCGACTATGATCAATGCAGCGAAACAACTTTTATCTCGCTTAGACAACTTTGACTGCTAAATACAGACATTTAATAGTTTAGCGATATTTATCCAAGGGTGCCGTTGGTATGGACACTTCAATTTCACAAACAACATCTTCTTTGTCAGCATAGAGTTTTGACAACAGCAAACATGACCAATATATTTTAAATCCTGGCGCCTCTCACATTTCTGAGACTGTTGTTTTTTGTTATGTGTAGAATGTCTGTGTTGGTGTATCGGAGTCTAAATTCTGTACCTTGATCTGCATCTTCAGGGGGATTCAACATAATGATTGTAAACAATTTTGACGGAAGAAACAATCTTGGATTACCTTTTAAGATTCCCTAGAGCAAGATTCCATTAAGAGTATGGATATGTTTCTCTGAGTTGTGAATTCTGGTTTAATTTTATCCTTAGTGAGAATTTCACTTTTCTTCACTTTTGGGTTTGGTGATGTTTGAATGTACCGTGTATTTAAATTTGTCAGTGATCTTGACTTTCACGTTTTCCTTTCTCTCATACCCTCTCCTTTTACTATTTTTAACCTGTTTCTTCCTTCTTTTGCTGGGCAATGATTAGGCTTCAGTATACCATCAATCCAATGGTATTATTGCCTAATTACCTATTTCCAAGCACAGCACGATAGCCGTTTAATCCCGCATGAACGAACAAAAACGGCATTCACAGCTATCGGACTTGACAAAATAGCTGAATTTTTTACTAAAACTGAATGGAAGAAATGTAAGAATATGCAAAACATATTTCTTGATGGATGTTATAAACCTTCTTAAGAGTATCTGCAAGAAACAACAGCTGTTTATATCTTGAAGCTGTGCTGAGAAATAGGTAAATGATTTGAAGAAAGTCTTTGAGGAATTACAAAGCTTGTTAAGAGCAATAGTTTGATTGTGTAATAAAACAATATTTATGAAGGGGGCTAAGTATGTGAAGAATTATGCAGATCTCAGAGGCTGTTATCCACCGCAGCTGTCCTGAAAAATTCTTGACATCATACTCAGCGCCATTCAATAATTTATTGTTAACTCTTTATAATTCCCAAGAGTGACCAACATCAATTTTCTCCTCCCAATATCGATACATTATGAGATCACCTCAGGGAAAATGCTTTGATCTTTTATCAAATTCTCTCACCTCATTCTTTAAGGAAATGTATGGAGATCAGTTTGGAGAATTTGTATGTGGATATTGGGGCTTAAAGGGTTAAATGTATCCTTCTTACCTGTACCTCCCATGCTGTTATCTCTCAACCTATCTGAGCTTAGTATTTTGATTGCGTCACGGATCTTGTTGTTGAAAAGTGCAACAGCAGCAGCTCTCTCTTGCTGTCCACTAGTCTGAAGTCTGATGGTAGAAATGATACAATACATTCAAAATCTTAATGAGTGGAATGCCCCTATATATGTCATGCAGGTGCACTGTAACATTACCAGTCAATATCAGTCAACACCTATCAACATAGATGTCCAATCACCAATGTTTGTTTCCAGGAGTACATCATAGGTTTGTGCAAACACGCTTGAATTTCAAATAGCTTAAAAGCAGATGTTTCTTTTTCAAAGGTGGGTCAAGTTTAGTCGGTTTCATTAAGCAGAAAACATTCAACATAATTTAGTATGCAGGTTTTGTGGCTTAGTAGCAAAGATGTGCATCCTTCATGTTTCTTTGCTACCCAGTTCAAACCAAAGCAAAGTGATTTTTCCCCATTCTCTTCTTCCTTTTTTAGCTTTTCTCCAGTGATTACCCTCAGGTTATGAAAGACATCTTTCACTTAGTACTTACTCTTCAAGGAATTCTGACAAAGGTTTTCCAGCACTTTTGAAGTCCCATCCACAGAGAGAAAGAGCCAGCTTTCTATGGATGATAAAAGTAGTGTGATATTCATAACCTTCACAAAATGCTGCAATAATGTAGGTGAGTAATTTTGTAAAAAAAATTACCGTAAGTCCAAAAGGAGAGTCATCTTTTTGTATGTAAGGAGAGACAGTTCATCAGCCCATTGGAATGGTATAAACTTGAGGCTGATATGTCCCTTGAAAGCTGTACCAGAAATTGTCTGTTTCATTCCTTTACTTCTAATGCCCTCTACACTGGGTGTGGTCATGGTTGTTAAAAAAATTGCAATTTGTTTTGTGAAAAATCGTAAATATACTGTAATTTATTTATTTATCCATGAAACACTTAGGAGTTGTTAAGAGCTTGCTTTGATGTGTCAGTGCATTCCAGATCAAATTGGAATTTGGTAGTGTTGGTTTTTGGGGCGAGAAAAAAACTGGATAACCTGGAGAAAAAACTCTCGGAGGGAGCAAGCGAGATAACTAACAACAAACTCAACCTACATTATGGTGTCAATGCCCAGTAGAAGGTGAGAGCTCTCACCACTGTATTTTTGCATCAGTTTGACTCCAGCATCATTCTATTTTGTACCAGTATGGAATTTACCACATCAATAATATCATGCAAAGACACAGTCTACACATTATATGCATCATTTTTTTTTCTCTTACCTCTCATCGCTAAAATACATAGGAGCTACAAGACGCTGTTCTTGATATGAGTCATTTCTGACCCTAGCACATACAGCTACAAAGGGAACATTAATTGAGTAATTGTAAATCGTCAGGAAGTATTATTTTCTGTCTGTGATGGGGACAATAGGTTATGAAGATGACCTCTTAGAAATAAAGATTAATTGCACCTGGGACCCATTGCAACTTTTCTAAAAGACCCCTATCAGGGATGTCATTAATTTTTGGAGCAGCTGTAGCAAATAAAGATTCACCCATAACATGATCCTTCCCCAAAACTTTATAGTGTCGCCTTTAGCTTCCCTCTTCGATCACCTGTAACATCAAGTGAAGTGAGCTCAGCTGTAACAAGTGTTATGGGTTACAGCCCTTAATTCAACTGAGTGACAAATTCATGATCTGCCAAGGCACCTAAAAGGTACCACAAGAACTCCAGTGGCAGTCATTGGTGTTTTTGTCAACCCTGTCATTTGGATAGGCGAGTCCCCCTGCCCCCTACTGGGATCTCAAACACTGTAACGATAAAATTAATTACCTCCAGCACTGTTTTCTCCTTCAATAATAGACTTGATGCCTTCATATTTAATACTTTTAGTTTTTTCTGAAAAAAAGATGATTAGATTCTTAAACAACAAAAAGCAACGGGACAAAAACTTTGTGCAGTGCAGCAATTGGTCCATGCATCATCCATTCATATCAGGTTATAGAATGATAAACTCCCAAGTCTCTTAGTAAATTGGATAGGTCTATAAATTTTGTTAATGTGATTGAGTAAATCATAATTTTGATTCATTTTAAGGACAAAGGATTAGCACTGTTGGATAGTGGGTGGCCTTCTGTGTGACAAGTTCTGATTTTGATTCCCAGGTATAGTGTGACGTCAAATCCTTGTTTCAACTTCTCACCTTTCTGTGTAGTTTTATGTAGCTTTAAATTCCTTTAAAATGGGACACTGGTGGGAAGAGGGGGTAAAATAAGGGGATTATCTACTTCATTGTCAGTCTAATGGGTACTGTTATAAGTTACTGATGCAAAATATAGTCCTTTGCCATTTTTTTAAATCAAGCAATGCATCTTACATGGTTTTAATGAAGGTATGAGGGACTAATGACTGATGATGATCTTGGGTAGGATCAAGACCATATACAAAGAGAAAAAACTTGGTGACATACCTTGCTCCCTTAAATTCTTCACACCTGATTCATGATTAAGGTTGATTCACATTCTGGCGATGGCTGGGTAAAACATTTACTTAAGTAACTTAACAGGCCTCCTACTCAATAATAAAACCCCAGCGTGTCTTTGTAATTTTTATTATAATATAATAAGTAGTATTTTTAGAAATAACAGAGGATATTGCAAGGCCATGCAGCGATACAAAATTTTATTTTCAAATGTTGATTAGAGAAAATATTCCACTCGTTCACCTTTGAAAACGAGGAAAGGAATTTCATATCCCCAATCAACCATGTCATGAATGTTCTTTTTATTACATAATCACCAAATGAAATACCAAATCATTTCTGAGTCACTTTGATACATATTTTTTTTGGTTGCAAAAAGAATGACTTATCATGTCACCATAGCAAAAGTGATCTTTTTATGCGTGAAGATAACAAGTTATTTTCATGTGCAAGAAAGCTGACCTGGTATTTTCAGTGATGGTTGTATAATAAAATTAATAATAATATTCATTCTCTCATGGCTGTTACCCTGGGTTTTTAAAATAAGCACAGGATCATTTACCAGTCTGTATGGTGAAGAAAACAAACTAGTGATCTATGTGAAGATATGTGGTGTGTTAAAAAGATTTTGATAAACTTGATCAGCCAAGGTTGTTGCAAAAGTCTCCTTAGTTAGAGAAAATGAGCAGAATATGTGTTCTTAGACAAACTGGAACAGTTGTAGTCTGATCATTTTAATTATCCATAACCCAAAGGAGCAGAACATTTAAAACCAACAAATAAAAAAGATACGAGAAATCCAGGACCATAATTTAACTAGTTTGGGATCATCAGCTACTATTTTCGCAATGTCTTGCATCTGAAAATTACAAAATGAAATAGTATGCACAATAAATTATTTAAAAAGGAAATGGAAATGTTTAAAACTCTGTGGGGGGCTTTGTCAAACTGTTTTTGAACATAATTGCTACCCAGCTGGTTACAAGCATAATAATAAACAATATTGTACATTCAAAAATATTCTGCACACAGCACAAAACAAGAGAGAGAATAATATATGGGAATCTTTCATCAATGTCACAAAAATGCTCAGGCGCACATATCATCTTTTGCTCATACCCTGCATGAGAATAGAGGAGGGTGTCATCTCATCACTTCTCATGAGGAACCCTAAACTGCGCAATGTAGACTGTAGTGCAAAGTATCCTTGGACAGGCTGGAGGATGATGATGATGATGATGGTGATGATGATAATGATGGCAACTATTATGAGAAACAGATCATAGATGCCCCCTCATACTAAACAAGGCCACAGATGTCAGGGTCTACCTGCAAAGAATTGTTTTGGGTGCTGACAAGACAGACCAATAAAACACATGTAAGAGGCATTAGGCCAATAGTGCACGGAACGCCCCTGCCTAAAGAAGGACATCTGGGTGGAGGAAAAGTATCCTGGTCAACAGTCAAGTGCCTTATCATCAGGCTAACAAGATGTATGATATAAAAATGTTACCTGCTGATGTTCTATTCCATATCCTGCAAATGCCCGTTTCTTCATCTTCACTGAAATGTCTTCCTCCACATAAGACTCTACAGGCTGTCACCACATCAATAAACACAATTGAGTATAAAAAATTGTGACTGTGAAAAATACTGTTGACTGTTAACCTATAACCAATGGTCAGCTGACAGTGTTTTGGGGGCAGCCTTTCTTTACAATTACCTAAACAACTGTTAGCAATTACACCAATAAACAAACTGAATGAGGAAAAAAGGACTGGAGGTATAGGGTAACTATGTACATGAAGATTTCCTCAAAATACAGTTGACTCTAGATAACTTAAACCCTCTCTATCTCGAACCAAAGTAAATTTCCCCTGGATTTTGTTCATACATTTACTGTAATTTTACCCTCGGTAACTCGAACCCTCATTTGTTTATAATTTTACCTTGGATAACTTAAACCATGTCATAAGCATGTGACAAGTTGGGAAGAAAAGCTGTGTACTGAAGTCCGCAACACTGAATTTATTTTATTTCAAAACAACTGTGTTAATTCTTTGTCTTTCCTTTTTTGTCACTTCAGTTCAAATTCAGTGCTCATCCCTGTATATTATTAACATTACTAATTCTCAAGAAGGACTTTATAGGGTCAATCTCTTCATTTAAAACTTTTTATATGACTTACATGAATAGCAATGGTAGTTTTAGCAAAAGAAATTTTAGTATTAGTTTAGGAATTTATTTAAGGTATTTATATGTGTTAACATGCTTTCCATGGAAACATGCCAAGTGTTGTTGGGGCTAGCGTGTTTCTAACTACCTACCTACCTACCTACCTACCTAGCTACTACACTAACCTGTTGGGAACATTCCAGTAAATGTTTTCCACATCCCCATGTGAGATGTGAGCTGGGTGCCCATGCCTGTAATTAAAACAGGAAAAACGAAGGCATTTAAATTATTTTCGATCCAAACAATTAATTCAACAAATTTTTGTGGTAGCGTGGCTACCAAATAGGCTTTCCAGCTGTGTTGCCTAACCAACAGCTGACTGTTTCTATTACAATTTTAACACTTTCTTCCGTGTTTGTCATGCACTAATCAAAGAAAATAGGGATCAGTGATAGGTCATAAGGAAAATTAAGAAACTCGTAGTTAATTCAATGTACTGAAAAATTATCTGATTGTATCAAAGATCACCAATCGAAACAAATTTTTTTCAATTGGTGAAGTTTGATTGATTGGTGAAGTTCACGGCTGGCTGTTTTTTAGTTGCTCATTACAGTCATTTGAAGCTAAGAAAATCCCATGTTGTCAGTTTTCAGGCTCACATGGCCCATCACTTTTACCCCTTCGAAGGCCTCACCAAAGGTCTTCTCTGACTCTCACATACTGTGGGATGTTTCGAGGACTGGCTGCAGTCTTAGCACATCTTCAAATAAATGAAAGGCTAAATAAGGGGTTACTACAAAGACATGGCCAAAACTAGAAGATGCAAATGATGGTCTCTGGTACAAAGGGGATGTTACTTTGTGGTTCTTGCTCTTCCAGTCTTTTTCCAAAATTATGGAAGTTTTATTTTAATTCACAGGAGCAATACTCACAACTGATATTCTTTCAAAAATTGTACAATCTTGTATGTGTCCTGAAAAATGATAATAAATAATTGAGAATACATAATAAAGTGTGTGAAGTGTACAAGCCCAGAGCAGTTGTGCAGGTCTACCAACCCCCTTTTTTCACTAACAGTTACTTGCAAATGTTGCTTGCCTGTCAGACAACTTGTCAATCAAATGTAGTAGCTAAATGGTAGCACCACTAGCCCCTGTCATTGCGCATCACTCTAGTCACACCCTCTATACTACGGACAGCTTCTCAAAACACTCACCTGAGGGAGATATTGTGAGCATGTGGTTTTCTTGAGTAGGATGCCATGAAAAAGATGATACAGCAGCTCGTGAGGCTAAAAAAACCATGATAAGTGAAACAACGAACAGTAAGAACATTTCAAAATAAGTTAAGGCTGTTTTGCTTTTACACGCGCACTACAGGTTGCAGGAATTTTTGCGTTAAAATTAATACCTTTTCCCTTGCTTTGACCTTCATCTACTCAACAAAGGAATACTTTTCAATTGAATCAATTACAGGACAAGGAAAGGATTTGCCCGATACACAATAACAGTACAACTTAAGACAATTTATTATTTTTCTTATCTTTGAAACTATTTGTCTTTAGTTAATAAGACAACCTTAAATAGTTTCATTACACTTATAAACAGCATAACTGAAAAATTTTTCGAAAGTTTAGGTTTTCATATTCTAAAAAAATATTTCCTTCCCAATCCTTCATCTCTTTAGAATTGGCCTCCTTTGCTAATTGCAAAGCGTTTCCTAGTTAAAGTTAAGTCAAAATTGAAGTTGACTTCTAGGCAACATTGATGCATCTTATAGCACACTTTCCTTTAAGATCAGTAGGAAAACTTCTTTATCAAAGGTGACTGAAACCAAGCAAGAACAGGAGAGGGTTAAAAATTACTTACGCTGTACACTTCTTTCTATAAATGATGGTTCTGTTTCGTAAACAACTCCGTAAGCCGGAGACCCTATGGTGATAACAGAAAACAAGTTTAGACAATAGTTCTCATCACAGAAAAACCACTCAATCATTCTGAAATGCAGGATGAAATTAAGATATGTGGAAATTACAGTAGAATGGCTTGACACAATATTTGACAACCAAGCCTACTTGTACATATCTGTGGATACATTCTACCCATCACTTTCAACCAATTTAACCAGGTTGATCAACCAGTTTCATTTCATTTATTTTGATAAATAATTATACAAGAATGAATAGCTTTAAGATACACTACCCATGAAAAGTGAGCTTTGGTCATAAATCAAGGTGAGTATTAAAATCATACTTTTAAATGCAAGTACTAATAATAATAATAACTTTATTTCTATAGCGCTCTTATCCTATGTTCAAGGCGCTTTACAGTCATTATTGAAAAATATTTACAAATTTACAACCATATCCTATTACATTTACAATGGATAAAAAAGGAAAAAATTAAAACTAAAGCAACTATTAAACCATATTCATAATGATAAAAAAAGGGGAAAAATTAAAACTAAGGCAATATATACAAATCTATAAAAAGAATGATCCATTTTTACTGAATTTAGTAAACAAGTACGTCTTAAGTGATCTTTTAAAACTACTACAAACAGAGTAACTGGGTAAAAGGAAAAAACTGAAAAGAACAGATTAGCAAGCAATATTAGTAAGAGCGAAATACGTATTGACTCAAATGGTTACAACTAAGTAGAACTATACCCAGTAATAATAATTGTAGAGGAAAGTGAGTTCACATGAAAAGAAAACTAAGTTAAATGTATTCAGGTTAGTAAAAAATAACCAATTGTGGGCAATCCTATTATTCAAAATTAACCACACATTTTTTTAAACAGAATGTTAAAAAAAAGACTAAACACTTAAAATGGTCCATCCTAATACAGAACACAAGATAGTGCACAACTTGTCAAATTTGACAACAAAGGGTGAAAACTCCAAAATATCTGCCATCTTACCAACTGAAGCATGTTGAATGTCATAGAGCTGAACAATGGGACTTTCTTTACCAATTGTTGCTAATAAACCAGACCGTGTTGGACTCCAGGCAATTGCAGTCACAGGATTCAGCTGATTCATTATCATCAGCTAAACAAGGTTAAGGAATTTCAATACAGTTGAATATCCATTTAGCAGCCAACTATTAGGCAGCCAGTAATCAGTCAGTAAGTCCTGAAATAGTAAATTAAGCATCCACCTCTATCATCAAACGGCTGCAGCCAGCTTTTGGCCATCCCAATAAGCGTTCTCCTATTGTTGTCACTTCTATTAAATTTGATGAACAAAAATACATTTTGAGAATGATGGAAGGTAACAACCATTACTGTAGACCAGTAATGTTGCTTCTGTTGCGTTTTTGCCTTAAACAAGTAAATACAGTGAAAATGTAAGTCATCTGGCAAGGGAGTCACAACTACCACGGCAGCTTCTTTCAGTACTTCACAACACAACATAAACTTGTGATGTAACTGTCAATAACTTCCTTTAAAACATTCAGATCAGCAATTAACATTCTTCTTTCTCAGACCCTTTCAAACAACCGCAGATGAAAACGCCGAGCAACCGGAAAACTATGGTGAGGAGAGGACGTATATAAACATCCTTGGTAGCAGGGACTTGTCTTTTGGCGCGTATATATACGTCCTTGTTATTCAGAGGGTTAAAGAACAGATGAAATTATAATAATATGGAGAAAGTTAAGAATAAAAATAACTTTAACTAGTTAAAACGTCATACATGAGTAGAAATAATTTTGATTGGACAAAATTGATAAGGATACTGGTTTTTCAAAATACCTGTCATCCCAGATGCACATTACACCAGGGGGCCCCTGCGAACATCAAGAGAAAAGCATATTTAACCTTTATATCCCAAGAATAACCCACATCAACTTTCTCTTAACAATATTAACACAATGATTTACGGAAAAAGTCATGAGAATTAATAAAATGAGAAAATATTTTTACAAATTCTCTCAACTAATTTTTAAAGAAACATATGGAGATCAGTCTAGAGAATTGGTACAGTCAAACTTCCACTATCAGCCACCTCTCCACAACTGCAGATGCCACTACAGCACGTCCCCAACTGCCAAAGTAACCTCTTGACAATGGCCAGTTTTTTTCAGTGACTGATGATGGTCATGAAATTTGATCGATCAGAGTGGCACATGGATGATTGCCACAACCATTTTGATTGTGTTCCATTTAATACTGCTGCATTAACCATGAAATTGTCTACAATACTTAAAACAAATGTTGGGAGCCTAGCTCGTTTGGTCAGGTTAGCGATTTGATTCAAATTATTTTTGTGTATTTTAGCTCTATATATCATTTTTGTGCTTGGATTACCATTATGGAACACAGTAGGCATGAAAATTGGCACAATAAACATGTTGTACACCCCTAAAATAAATTGTCATATTGCACCCCTACCTCCCCATAACGGCCACCTCTCCACAATGACCACTTTCTTCTGTCCCCAAGGTGGCCGCTGTGGAGAGGTCCAACTGTATGTGGATATCACTATAATGCTAAGGGGTTGATGTTAAACACCAGTATTCCTTCATACAGTTAAAGCTCCCATAAAGAAAATTCCATAGCTGAAACTGACTGCTCAAGGGAATGACCCTGGAAAGCAGCCACTTGCAGCCTAAAGGTGATGTTACATAAGACAATCGAGTCGTACAATGATTTTCAGCAAATAACAGCATTGCAGAATTGTTTGTTACAATGTTGTTCCATCATTGCTGCCTTAAAAATTAAAGGGGCTGTGTCACGGCAGTCCTGTTCATTTTGTTTAATTTTGCATATTATTCCCCCTCAATTGCTATGGAACTTAAAGTAAGTAAAGAAATTACATGTTAATGACAAATCATAGATCCGAGACAAACAAATATGTCTCCTGAGCATTATTTTTGAAGTTGCAAGCCCCAGGGATCAACTTTGAAAAATTGTTAGGCTGAACAGTTTTCAAAAACCCTAATTTCAATCCATTTCGAACTTCTTCAGTTTTGCCCATCCGTGGCATCTGTTGTCTCTGTTATGTTATTTTAACCTTCCTTTAAAGTTTTAAGCGGTCATTTTTATGTTTATCTTCATTTAACGGGCGTTTTGTAATTTTCTAATTTGGCTGAATTTCATGACACAGCTCCTTTAATTATGCATCTCATTTCAAATGACATCACCTTTAGGAAAAAGGGGATGTTTAGTTCGCAGAGTTTGTATGGGAGTTCAAATGAAGTCAAGGTCATCTTAAATACTGTCAGCTGTCCACTTACTCAGAGTGTCAACTGAGGGAGCTTCAACTTTATAACAAAATTTCAAAAAATATATTGTTATTCAACCACAACTCTTCTGGAAAGACACAGCAATTTCCATCAAGCAGACTGGGATATCACCAAGTGCTCTTCTGAAGCACTAAAAATTATGATTGTTCAACAAAAAAATCACATAATAACAAATGGAAGTTTTTTTAGCAAGGTCGGGGGGGGGTCTAAACTTTCCTAAAATGAGAAAAGGACACCTCCCATGAGGCTAGTTTAACTGTTTTTTTTTTTTAACTTTTGGACATGTATTCCTTTTAATATTTTGCGGGAATTTTTAGAACTTTTTGGCTGAATCTGGGATAAACCAATTCTTTTTCTTATTTGCAGTAGCCTTCCAAGAAAATTAATGTATCGATAATTCACACTATCAGATTTTCAGACTTTTTGGGGAAGTATGTGGAAAGTACCCCTTGTCCGCTAACCTCTGAAAATGAAGCAATTCTGTGCTCAAAATGAGGATCAACACAAACACCATTCACTGCCTTGGTAACTGTTGCATTGTGAGGACGTGTTGCATCTGCAACAAACAGACACTGTTACACTGAATACAAATTTCAACTCTTGGAAAAATTCACAAACTTTGAATTTTTAGTGGATTTTCTTATCATTATACGGAATTGGACGTGGGACACGATTATTACCAGTGCCTTAACTCTACCACAACGAGAACTCAGCTAAGTGAAGTGTCTAGCTGCTACCTAAAACTGCACTCATTGGAACTGCTTTTAATTTGTTCTGAGCTGAGTGCAAATTTTCTCTATGTACACTGTATGTGAATGAGTCATCATGTGCTGAATTTCTGTTTTCTTTTTTTTATTCTCTTGACAGCCACAACCTTAAAACTGATCACTAACTCTTATAATATTCTACAGATAAGAGGAAAATAATATTATTATAGCTGAGACTCCCAGAATGTGTCAATGTGATATGTCACAATATGCCAACAGCTGTCTATGCAAACAGCCAGTTTCGCCCTAAGTTTTGCCCCCTTCGTGTTTGCCCAGTCGCAGTTTGACCCCCAAAATAATTATATTGTGATTAGGGCAAAGCACTGACCATACTGATATGGGTTCCAGCACTGACTCAAAATGGTTAGTTTTTATTCACTGTTAGGTTTGTCACTGTATTATATAATTATGAAAGTTAAGTCAAGGGATAAACTCAAATGAAGAAAAAGGGAGGGGGCAAAAACCGCTATAATTCCTGTCAGTCTGAGAACTAAATATGATACTATGGTTGGCCATTAATTACATACCGTAAAATTCTGAAAATAAGCCCCTTCCATGTATAAGCCCCTCCAAATATAAGCCCCCCAGAATCGTAACGCAAAAAACCCTCCGTTAAATCGCCCCTCTGAATATAAGCTCCCCGGGGCGTTTGTACTTGGAATTTACTCTCGAATACAAAGTAAAACAAAGCAAAAATGGTAAATTTCCTTCCCACTACAAGCTAGCCCAATCGATTTTGAAATGCATATTTCCCTCCATACATAAGCCCCTCAAAAAGGGCCTTTGAAAAATATAAGCCCCGCGGCTTATTTTCGGAATTTTACAGTAAAACATAACCCCCAACTGCCACCTCTTGTAACATGTTGTACTAGTTTTCAGTTTCTAATTAGAAAGCGAAATTAGGAGTGACATGTACACCTGGGGTCAAAGATACAGTGAAGGTACTTACCTCTTATGTCAAAGACTCTAAGAAACTTTTGTGCTTGTCCACATATCAACATGTTGTGGTCATGCAAAGACCACGCCATGGAAAGAGTAGGATCAGATGTAGCTGCAGACAAATAAAAGAACTTACGTTACTGGGAAACAAATGATAAGAATGAATAATAACATGTACTCTGATCAGTCAATTACCCATCAACTATTTGCCAGTAATGGGTGAATGCTGACAAAAGCTAATGTACCCTCATAGCAGTACACATCATTTCTAGAGTCGAACTTGGCGACCCTTACGCTTCTTTTGTGCTTAGAAACCTCCCACATTCAGCCATAACTCAAAAGTACAAGCTGTGCTGTAAGATGAAGTGTTCATTAGATGGGTGGTGTCTCATACAAGCCCCACTCCTAATAAAGTTGGGTCAATGTAAATTGCACTTGTTAAAATCAGTTTCTTTAAAATCACATATTAAGGTGATTTGCAGCTACATACAAGCCATTTAAGTGTCACTCATTTCATTAATTTGCAACTTTTGTGTTCTTCACTCTTTTCAAAGAAAATTTTTTACAAATGTATTTTGTTTGTTTTACTCAAATAGCAATAGAAGCTTACACAGTTCCGCAAGAGGCCTGTTGGCCATTGCTGATGGATCACCCTGATAACCTGCCCCTACTGTGACAGGAGACTGTTTACCACCAGGAACTCCAGAATGTCTGAAAAATTTGAAAGGGTACAATAAATGTCTACTACGATATTAAAATAAAGTAAGAGAGTTTTGATCAGCTCTAACCCAAAATAAGGAAAAATACAGTTTCCCTGACCAGAACCAGCCACAAAAGACATGCAGTTGAACCCCTATTAACCAGCCACCCCTTATAGGTCCTTTCTACCCTTTGTGGCCATCAGTTTTATCAAAATTGTGCAGAGAGAAAAATTTATTTTCCATGAAAAGTTTAATACTTTTTTATAAAAAATCCTAAAAATCCAAAATGCAGCTAAATGCCCCTGTTAACAAAATGCCATCTACAAATTTTTTGCCCATGCCCGAACCATCGCAAGCTGATATTTTGCATCTGGATCAGAAGGCCGCCAAGTGTACAACCTGTAAACTGGTTTGTGGTCTTTATAGCACGACAGTGACCAGAAAACCACGATAGCCTCAAAAAGTTTTTTTTCTGAATGGTTTAGTACTTTTATTAGCAGCAACCCCTGTTAACAAAATGCCATCATCCAAACTTCAATATGCATGGTTTGGTTGTTTTTGATAAGGCAATGACAAAAAGCAATCCGAAATAGAAAGTGTTGAATGATAAAATACATTTAAACTCAAGTTTACTGTTCTCTTTACGTGATTAATATTACATGTTTACTAAGCAATATTAAACTGACTGTAAAAATACTCAAAATATTAATGCAAAGCATAACTTTACCTAGCTCATGTTGAGACCTTTTGGCAGGATTCTCTTAAAATTGGTTTTGTGCGAATTTTAAACATTTTATTACGTGCAACAGATGTTAAAAGCCTTTATTACTCATTCAAAATATTTCCCCGATTCTGATTGGCTAAAAGCACACGTTTAATTCACCATAACCAGTTACTGATGACCAAATTTGGAAGAATTTTGTGTTTAACAAGGAAATGACATCAAAAATTCAGCCTTCTACAGGTTAATGAACCGTTAACTGAGAAGAACTGGTGACGAGGTTGAGTTGTTTTGTTTGTGAAAACAAAAATGGCCGACACTATCACTCATTTCAAGAGTAAGAACTACAGCTGGAACTAGGCGAAATAATAGTTCAAAACATAGCAAAAACAGCAAGAAGACAACTCGGAGCGCGACATCTGCTGTTTGGAGAATATTTGCGCAGCTGGACAAACCCAAACGTGCACTATTGAAGATGAACTGAAAATTGATGGATTGATGGAGGTAACCATGTTTTAGCCCAATTATTGAATTCGGCTTTCATATCATATGGAGCATTATGAAGATCTCGGAGGCCTCTGCCTATGGCCTGGATGGATAACACCCTCCTCCATCTTCATATAATTCTTCATAAGATACTCAGCCTCATTCATTGTTAATAATGTTTTAGAACAATTCCTGACAAACCCATATTAAGAGGCCAACCCCTATTAAGCGGCCACTTTCTATTTCCCTGAGGGTGGCAGCTAATTAATTAACAAGTTATTAATAACAAGTTTTCCTCCACATAACAATAATGATCTCGTTACACAAATTAGTGTGCATATCCTGACCTTTTCTCTTGATTCCCACTGTCCCTAACACCTAAAAACAAACAGAAAACAACCGTATATATTTTCATATTTGTATAACAAATCTCTGAACTTGGTGATTTAGGGTCTGGGCCTAGGCCTATTTTTTTTTCACAATACCACTTTCAAATTTTAAATGAAGATATGATTGTCACAGTGGTAATTGCAATTTAAGCAAATATAGGGCATTTGCACTAAGAGGTCAGGTGACATCATTTTTATGAAAATGAAAGTTATATGATTTTGCCTTCAAAAAACTATTAGTGGGTCATATCTTAAACAAAATAATAGTGATTTAGTTTTTCAAACCCTCCCCATTTTCTTAAAATGAGTGAGTTTGTAGCTGGTCACGTGACCAAAATGTGATTTTTGAAACTATGAGTTACCTCTTTCTGAACAGAAATTTTACACTTTAACTTCAAGAAAATTGTTGAAAAGATGATGTGGTAATGTTTACAGCACATCTGAGGGGAACTATCAAAATGTTTAACAAGATACAAGCAAAAAGTAGTTTTGGCAGCTATGTTGGAGGGCAAGATCGAGTATGCCCTCCAACATGGCAGCAAATATCATAATACTTTGTTGAAAAATCAAAGTGCCATAAAATATCTCCCTTAAATGCATTTCTTCTCAAATTTCGGGTGTAACATAACTTTTATGCGCTCTGTCAATTTTTGTCATCAACAGGATTCCAAGTCATTGTTTAAAGGAAGCATTGGTCATTACCTCTAAGTGCAAGAGGCCTATTGCAAATAAACCAGAAAAAAATTTGGGAACTTCAACGGGATTCAAACCATGGCCTCTGAGTTAGCGCTGCAGTGCTCTACCAATTGAGCTATGAAGACCCATACATTGGGAGAAGGCCAATTTGTTGAGTTCACCTTAACCCGTAAAAGGAATGAAACATGAAGATGATGTGAAATGCAGAAAATACAAAGTTTAAAAACAGATATGATCATTGCAGTGGTAATTGCAAGTTAAGAAATTGCAAATAAACCCGAAAAAAATTTTGGCACTTCAATGGGATTCAAACCCATGGCCTCTGCATTATACCGAAGTCCATGCCCTGCATGTATTACCTTTCAGCCCTTCCTATTTGACGTTCATTCTCTACTACTAAAAGGAATAACTATACATCTGTATTATTTGTCTCACTGGGCCCAGTTACTTGAAGGGAAACTAATGCTAACCTAATTTTGTTAAAGTTATTAACCATCTTTTGAGAAAATCATGCCTAAACCTGGAGAAAAACATTTCTTTACTTACTAAGTTGAATTTTTATGTCCCAAACAAGAAGAGAAACATCATTCCTGACTTTGTCCAATCCTGCAGCCAGCTAAAATAGAGCAAGAAGTATAAAAGTTGATACCTAGTTATCATAGCTTTAAAAATCAATGCAACCCCCCAAAAAAGAGATTGTGTGTGAAGTGTACTTTTAGTCAACAGCCAAAAAATTGCTGTAGTTGTGAGAATTTGGTATTAGATGAAGAGTCATTTAGGGCCTTATTTTACGCACCCCTACATTATTTTTCTTTCTAAGCCTTTCTCAAGAAATAATGGAAAATACATTCTCCACACTACTGCTCAAAACACATTTCATTTTGCAATTTTACCACAGTCCACTCTTCACACTGTTGGAACCACCAATAATAATATTGGGTGTTTACATCATTGACACAGGGGTAGATATTCATACCGACATGCCAAAGTTTACCCCAGTTCTTTCTATGGCTGTGCATCATTTATATATTGATGACACCAGAAAATATCACAACAGAAGAAGCCATACATGTAATAGTGCAGTTAATCCCAGTTGCTGCGTTGAAGTGAGAACTTCATTCCGATACAAAATTAATCTTGCAAAAGTATTAAGCAAACCAAGATCACACACTCATTTTGGTACAAAATAGGCCTCAGAGTGGACTTAAATAGTTGTAGCACATTATTGTCTAATTTGGCCAGTCAAAGATGGCATTATCATGTTGGACAAGGGACAAGGAGAAGACAAATTATTGGACTCACCAAATTATTTTTTACTGGATTCCAAGCAAGACTGTTACATTGTCGTGAATGCCTGGGAACTTGGAGTAAGAGAATAAAATATTATTATTCTATGAGCTTAACTGTTTCAATGATATTATTGTGTATAATGATAATTATAAAATAATAACTATTCAAAGAAGAATAAAAATCAAGTAACCATTAAAAAACTATTCTCTTAACTAAATTCTCATTACCAAATTCTCTGGAAATTCCAAAGTTTGAGGTATTGTTTTCACTCCCAATGCTGAAAAACAATGAGGAAATCTGTATTAAAGTTTTGAAGTGGGAAAGCAATAATTCCATAGATCTCATATAGGAAAGATAAGAGCAAAATAACTTTCCTATCAATAACAAAATACGTTGTAATTACAAATATCGGAGAGGACAATAAAAACATACCAGGATGCAAACTGATAAAATCAAGGCAACTCCTTTCCATTTCTTGACAAAAAATAGATCATACCCTTTTGCATAATAACACATTGACAGTTTCTTACCATGTAACCAGTACTCTGCCATTTGCCTGACCAACAGCTATTAAATTCTCTGGCTCTGAACTTGGGTACCATGCAACACACTGTTACAAAGGAATTAATGGACGTCATAATTGCTCTGAAAACATCTACAGTAATAAATGTAGCCATTTCAGATTTTTACCAGTTTATAAGCAGAGATTTAAACTCCTTCGTCCCTGGAGATTTTGCCAAAAAACTCGTTTTGAAGCTAGTCGAGCAGTTTTCTGATCACTGTTGTGCTACGAAGAGCTAAAACTTACCATAAAGCCATTTACAGGTAGTACACTTCCCAGGCTTTTGATCCAGATGCAAACTAGATATTAGCTTACGAAGTTCAGGCACACACAGAAAGCAAAATTTGGGGTTTAAAAGTGACACTGACAGCAGTCTTGACTTTTATTTTTTGCTTTTTCTCACTCCTTCTTTTTTTGCATTTTTGAATCAAGAAAATGATGGGCATTTAGTAGGCTTCATTTTGGCAGGAAAAGCCTTTATGAAAGCTTTTAGGATCTTGGGATTAGATGAAAGGAAAGGTAGGAGCATAGTGAAACAAGATTTTAGGTGTCCTTGACTGAATTGTGCTCATTCTGATATGATTGAAAGATCTTCACTCTGCACAAGTTAGATGACAAAGTTGTCCTTGACCATTACAACTGATGATGTCACAAGCAGTAGAAGCAGGGTTATCAGAAAGTTTTGAAGTAGATGGCTGAGGTGTCAAAGTAAACAGCCAGTACAGGGATTTTAATTGAAAAACGTTGTCCGTAAAGAAATGCCAAGCAGAGTAGCCGGCTGATACTAACCAAGAAGGCCGCGATTTTCACAGGCAGCCGGCTACTTTTGACAACCCTGTAGAAGGAGCATGCATCAGCAAGGGGGTGGTTACGGGCAGCTCAAGGGTGAATGGGTTCATGGTTTCATATTTGACTTGAGTTTCAGGGGCTTTGCCAAGGCCAGGAAAGTTCCAAGAGTGACCAACATCAATTTTCTCCTATCAATATCCATACAAAATCAAGAGGAAAAGTTATGAGAATTAATGAAATGATCCCAAAAGGTAAGAGCTATCACCTTCAATCAAATAGATCTTTTGCATTAGTTGATCATGTGATTAACTTTCGGTCAACACGAGAACAGTTTGCTTTTGAATTTGTTAGCATGAGCTGAAAGAGAATATTATTAGGTAACCTGTAAATTTTTAGCCATATATCTCAAAAGTAGTGATTGTAACAGCCACTGAAAATTAGATGGATTTGTATGAGAATAACAACTCTTGCCACCTAGTCATGCTTGAATGGTTTTCCATTCAAATCCTTGTAAGTTTTGAAATTTTCAAACTGTCGTCAAATCTTTCCCTTATGCATTTAAGGGCTCAAAGTGCCTGCTATGAATTAAACCAACAAAAGGTTATGACATTTTTCAAAAGTGAACTGTTTTCGTGTTTACCAAAAAGGCCTATTCTCTCTACTATTCTTTAAGGAAATGTATGGGATCAGTCAAGAGAATTTGTATGGGGATACTGGGAGTTTAAGGCACAATGTCCTCGGGTTAGTTGACACCTTTTTAGTGATAATCAACAAGTCAAGAATCACATAATAATCACCAGGGCAAGATAACACATGTGACCAGAAAGGTAAATTGAGGATCATTATGGGATTAAATACCCTGGTAACTGAGACAGTACGGTAATAAACAAAATGTTGTTACCTTTAGATATTGTATGTCAGTCAAAACAGATACCAGTGAAGCATAAGTGTCATCAGACAGTTGAATCACTGAAATAGCAAATCACATATGTTACTGGAGTTTGTTCCAAGTAGTAGAATTGTGGGCTCGTTATAATTTGAAAATAATCATTAGAAATTTTTGCTGTGAATGTGAATGTCAAAGGTTCGATCAACATAAATAAATTATAAGTAAATAAATAAAATAATTTTATAAACGTAATAAATCAATTAATTATAAATTATTATTCATTCAAAATTTTCCCCCAGTTGAGATTGGCTAAAAGCACATGCATAATTCACCATAACCAGTTACTGATGACCAAATTTGGAAGAATTTTGTGTTATCGAGGAAATGATGTCAAAAATACAGCCTTCTACAGGTTAATGCACCATTAACCAAGAAGACCTGGGGACGAGGTTGAGTTGTTTTTGGACATTTCACTTGTTTCAAGAGTAAGAACTACAGCTGGAACTAGGCGAAATAATGGCTAAAAACATAGCAAAAACAGCAAGAACACAACTCGGAAGGCAACATCTGCTATTTGGAGAATATTTGCAGAGATGGACAAACCTAAACATACACTATCGAAGATAAATTTAACATTGATGCAGGTAAGCATGTTTTAGCCATGTGTTTAAACTAGGAATTATTTTGAATGAATAATAAAGCAATTAATGAATTCGGCTTTCCTAGGATATGAAGGATTAAGCAGATCTTGGAGGGTGCCATCCATCTCGGCCTTCACCCTCTGTGGACAACACCCTCCTCGATCTGCTTAATTCTTCATATCCTAGGAAAGCCGAATTCATTAATTGCTTTATTATTCATTCAAAATAATTCCTAGTTTAAACACATGGCTAAAACATGCTTACCTGCATCAATGTTAAATTTATCTTCGATAGTGTATGTTCATTCGATTCGATAGTGTATGTTCATTCCTTTCGTAAGTCAATAAAATGTAGAAAGCCTATTATCAAAAAGTCTTATTTTCTCTGAATCATATCCATGTTTATAAAGATACTGAACTAACTGTTCTAACTGTACCCTGGTTCCTTACACCGGCAGCCTTGGGTGGACTTTCCTGAAAGGAAAAGCCAAACAGGTTATAGATTTGAATTTATATAACAAGCACTCATAACAATACAGTAATGTAAGTTCATCTAAAGCCAATAAAAAAGTATTCTGGGAGCAAAACTTTTCAAACATCTACATGAAAAAGACTTTTAAGATGTGCGCACCTTTGGCCTCACCCAGTGAGCAGAGACACCTTCCATCTTCCTCTTGATTGAGGAGAAATGGAGGCACTGCCTAATGGCTTCTTCACATGAGCCCAATTGACTGGGCTGGCCCGGTTTCCGAGATCTCGCCTAACCTCTAAATCCACTGTAAAATTTTCGATGTGTTCATATTAAATGCCGGGCTGGCTCAGTTCCGGAAATCTCGGTAAGTGGACTGGAAATTTTGCCACTTGAACACTTCAGCACGGTTACCGGAATGAAAGCAGGATGGATATATTCTGGTGGTCCAGATGGCATCACCTTACATTGTCTACTGTATTTTCCACCATTTAACTGGAGTGACACAGCTTTATTTTTTTGTTCTTAACTTGCCCGCTGGGTAAGTGCTGTTTTGGGGGGAAATTCAATATTACAGAACGATTGTAATCAATCCTGTTAATCAAGAAGGGTTTTGGGGCTAGCTGAAATGACTTTTGGGCTAGTACATGCTAGCTACATCTTGCCCAAATGGCAGGCTGTAAAACTGACTTTCTTTGCACCCTACTATGTCGCATGCCAAAATTTTACCCTGACAAAGTGTTGTTCAGCTCACAATGGCCACTGGGGTTTTCCCAGCATATCAGAAAAATATGGAAGTAAGGAAAAGGAGAAAACCCTGGGCGCTTTCCATTCAACCAAACTTTCTAAAATTTGGAAACAGTGGCAAATGGTACGAACATTCCCCAAACAAGTTTCCAGAAATTACAGATACTGTTGAATTTGTGAAATGCGAATCACTCAACCAAAAATTCTAGAAATTCCAGGAGCAAAGTTGAATGGAAAGAAAACTTTCAGGAAAAAGTTCCCAAAACTTTGGGTACACCTTGCGAGGTTGGCCTCACTTTGGAAATTTTGGAAAATGCTGTTCCATTCACCACTGGAAGTTGCCTTAAATTCAAACTGGACCTTTTGGTTGAATGGAAAGTGCCCCTTGAACATCTGGAATTTTACCAGGCTTTGATAAGCTGCAACCTCAGGCTCAGTGCTTCTCACTGCAGATCTGATCTGCCCAGACATGTAAAACAATTTTTTTTTTCTTGTTTAACATTGGAGGAAAGATTAAGCTACCATTTGCCGTAATAAAACTAACTAACTAATCTAACTAATGTTCTTGTCGCAAGGCTTTAAAAATAAAAGTTTACCTGTGATCCAGTGACCTTGTACAGGCATATCTCGTTCCCAAACGTGATAAACTTATCTTGTTGACTCGGAGACCACAAAACCTGCCAATTTCCCGAGCTCATTTTGGACGCTTCGTCAAAACATTAAACCAGCATGACTGATAAGGGCTTCAGTAAATGCATCCATTCTTAAGACGCACAAAGAGATCAACTTTAAACCCCCTTGGGATCTCGCAAAGATTAAGAACACATCTGAAACTACTTGTAGCCTCTACAACTGAAAGTGCAGAAAGAGGCGCAGAACTTTGTTGGTACAGCGGATTTTTCCGTGTCACGTGATAAAATAGACTGTTTTAATTGGTTCAAAAGTGAAAATTGAAATGTGACCGCGAACTCTTTTGCTAAACCTGTGTTTCTTCCGAATGTTGAAGTGAAAATGGTATCCACAGCAGCAGAAATTGATAATTTAGGCCTGAACCTAAAGAAGGTGCAGGAAAAATTTATGGAATGGACTGGAGATACGTTCAAACGTTCGTACCTGGAAGACAAAAAGAACCACGAAAACATGATGTTGCTAAACGGGAAAGGTATGTGAGCCTATGTTTACAACAACGGGTACACAGCTGGTACAACGGATCGAATAAGTATAATTGCTTTCTTTCCGAAGAAAAAATATTACTGTGTCTTTCATGGCTTTTTGTTACTCACAGAGAAGATGAAACATCTCGAAGAGACGATAAACCAGTACCACATTCAAAGCGAAAAGAATTTAGAAGGTGAGAAAGCTTAAGGAGAAATCCATCAGGAAATTGAGTAATTTTAATTTTTAGTGGACAAAAACTTTGTACCAGAATAATTTAAAAATTATAGAATTCCTTTTTACCGTTTTCAAGGGCTATAGAAATAACACCAAAGAAAATTTCTCGTGAGAGCCCAAGAAAGTAAAAATTTCAAAATCATGTGACACATGAAATTTTGCGAATTTTACCTGTGTTTTCACAATTCTTGTAAAATTTGGCATTTATTTTCACGGGCTACCATGAGAAATACTCTTTGGTGTTATTACAGATCATTAATTATATCTATATACCTTGAAAAATGTTGAAAAGAATGCAATATTGCTTAAATTATTCTGGTACAACGTCTTTGTCAACTGAAAATTGAAGTCACCCAATTTCCTGATGGATTTCGTTTTAAGCTTGTTTAAGAAGTTAACCTTACTACTAGCTAACTTAAACAACTGTTCATTCAGGGTTCGATACTCCAATTGACCAATGTACTTTCTAGTTTTACGACAGAGAGCTGATGAAGTTGCAAACCTTGAAAGCGAGTTACGCGAGTTACAAATCACAGCTGAGCGTCTGGTACAGAGAAGAGAACAAACAGAGAAAAACCTTGAAGGCATTGAACATCGATTAAAGAAACGAAAAAACGGTACATGCTCCAAGACAAACATTGCATTAAAATTCTTTTCGGTGTGACGGTACATGGGGATCTGCCATTGGGACCCTGGAATTAATTTAGTTTGAGTTTTGCTACCCTATGCTAAAGTAAACTCCCCAATTTCCCCGTATCCTAGAGTAGGCTGTTTCCCTAGTCTAAATAAAATCTTCAACCAACTGATGAGTTTCCTGAAAAATGATACCCTATTCTAGACCCAAACGCTCTGATTTATATACCAGTCCTAGAGTAAAGTGCTTGAAAACCATACCCTTCACAGTTTCACATACCTATATAGCCCATATGGCAGACCCCCCGGGGTTTTCCTCTGCGCGAAACTGAACTTAGGTCGAAACAGAAAACGATGGGGCAGTGGGTAAGGGGAGAAGCCAATGGAGATTCAACCCCTAAAGAGTCTTAAAACACCGTTCGCCAGCGGACAGAGAAAACGGCATTCCTGATTCGCCAACAGAATGTCAACCTGTCTGCGAATGTCAGATTCCTATTGGATGGAAAGATTTCTCTCTCTCCCCATCATTCCCACCCCATTGTTTTCTCATTTGAAAAATCACACCAAAAAAACTGCTAGCTAGGCTGGCTATTAGTTCATCAGTTTCTATTTCCCAGGTATTTAGACGTCACTTCTGCCATTTATGAGATTTTCATAGGCAGCCGTTTTTTGAGCATTGAATGACTATATAAAGAACAGCCGCGAAGAATAATTATAAGACTTAAAATTAGAACGAAGAGAATCGAACAGGTCTCAGTTTTTCAAAAGATAGCGTTATCCAATGGATAAATCTCTATCCAGTGGATAATGTCATTCAACCCATCCCTAATAAATTTTTGCCAGGTGTCCCACACTTAGCCTGCAACTAAGGTGTCTGGGGGCCCCTAGGGGTGAGGGAGAAAAATAGTTTTCCCTCGTATCCACCCCCCAGAGAGCTTGCTTGCAGGCTGTTCCACACTTTACAGTCCTGCATGACAGACCACATTGTGTGGGAGACTGTTACGTGAAACTGATGTCAAGGTAAACACAGATGTAAGGTAGCCTCCTTCACAGGCAACTCCCATGTTTCCTGCCTTAAAAGACAAACGCCAGGAACAAGTGATGCTGTGGTCTCAGCCTGCGTCGCAGATGGAACTTTACCTCGGTTAGTAACGTCTGCAACCAAGGCCGATATTCTTGTCAAGGGTCCAACGAATTACCGGAAAGGCATTTTGAATTTCCTTTCATCCTGATTAGGAAATCAACAACCGCCCTTTTAACAAGACAATCATGGTGCTTACTCAAGTCCTGGAGGGCAGGTGGGGGTCCAGAACAATGATTTTGGCTCTGTTTTGCAGATGGACTCAACCAGGGCCCAGCTGCTCGAAGCATGGTTAGCGTTAACCAGCGTTTAATACCTTGACAACATATTGGTTTTGATACTACTTAACCAATGGTTAAAGCTAACCATGCTTTGAGCAACTCAGCCCAGAGGTTTAGTTTCGTCTGTTACATAGGCTAACAGGCTAGGGTCTAACTGCAAGATTCATCTGCTGCAAGAAAACTATCCTGGGCAATGATCCTAAGAGAATAAGACACCTGTCTGTGCCATGTGGAAAGGGCTAGTTTCTACATGTTTATGTTACTTTGATCAGGCTCATGTAACTTGGGGATCCTGTGGCTCTAAACAACCTTACCTGAAATGTTGTGGGTTTTTTTTTTAGAAATCACTTCTAAGGAACAAAGTAGCTCATTCAAGATCAAACAGTTTACTAAGGGGACAGAGTTCTTCAAAGAGAGACTGGGCTTAGCTTTCAAGAAAGTGGATGGTAAGCTCTGTTGCTCACACCCAAGGTTTATTGTCAGGGGTTTCTTCATTGTATATCAACTCAGATATTCTCCATACTGTTCTCAAAAGGTACATTGGTTTTGTCTGCCCTGTTCTCAAAGAAATGGGAAGAATAGATTTTTCTATGTTCAAGTGCTAATAGAAAGCAACGAATAGGTTCAAACCTACAAGTTAGGGAAAGTGTATTGAAAAAGTTTGACTTACCTTTCGGGGGAGTTTGAGTTTTGCGACAACTTTTCTCAAAATTATATCAACAAAGATATTCTGAACTGGGAAAAGAAAATTCCTTGTCATAATAATGGGAAGATTTTGTTTAGAAATCAATCTATACTAACAGAAACTCAACCCCTTATGAGTTTCTGATACTAACTTTAGGGCTTGCAGGGACATCAGTTAAGTGGGGGCAAGTGACCAGATAGCCTGCAATCACACCTTTTCCTAATTCTATTTACTCAAACAAGACCATTTAAATTATTTAAGCTGGTTTTATTTGATTAAATTTTAACAGCAATCTTGCCCACAAAATTTTAAATACGAAACTTGAAAAAAAACTTATCATTGCATCATCTCCTATCTAATAATCTAGATAAAAAGGTAACCTGTCTTGCAAACTTGTATGTTTTAATAAAAATTCAATAGGACAGTTGACAGTTAAGATAATTTTAATGTTCAAGTAGTTCAGTTTTTCTTTTTCTCTCTCATTCATTAGAAGATAATCTGCAGTTTGTGTTCAAGTTCATTGATCCAAATGATGAGGAGAAGCCATTTGTTTTTACCGTGTCCATTACCAACCAAGGCACATACAGTGGTAATGTTGTTAGTAAATAGCTTCACTATAAAATCAAAACAGTCTCTGGTGTCATTGTTTTTAAAGGGTGAAAATTTAATTAAAAATGGAAAGACTCGCGTGAAACAAAATACAAACGTAACAATCTTTAAGGAACTAAAATTTATAAAGAAAAGTGTAAACATTGTCAAACTTATGTCTTGGTTTCCTTGAAACTACGTCCTGTTCTGCAAATTTGTGCCAAGGCTCAAATATTTTTAAATCTGCATTACTTGCTTCAAAAAATAATATTTTTTTGTCTTCCATTTGATCATATTTACCCATTGAAGACAACAGCCTAGGTTTGCAAAAGTTAATTTACTCACACTTTTTTAATTTTGGAATTTGTTTCTTGATATATCCACGCCTGTGATATCACACATATTACAAACTGGTGATTCCATAAGCAAAAAAAAAATTTACCATATGTCTTTCTTTGTTTATGGTGGAAATGTGGAGGCAGAGCAGTTAACACGTTCCACAGACTTCAAATCTGTAGGTCCCGGTGGTATCCATGGGCACCGGTAACATATTGTTGGGGTGTGGCCAGCACCCCATCCAGCTGAGAGTAGCGAAGCTCCTTGTTACTTACTCCATGCTGCAGCAACCAGGACAAGCTCCGGTCATGTGGGCCCTTTGTGTGTACATTAACCCTTTTTGCTAATGAAGATCTAAACATTAACCTGTTATTCCTCTTACAGTGAAAAACTGCATGCCAGAGGTCAAAGAACTTGATGAAATGGTGCAGCAGCTAAACAGTACAAATAACTTCTCCAAGTTTGTGGTCTCAATGAGAAGAAGATTCAAAGATTATGTTACAGCCTCCAACAAGACCAGCACAAGTTGAATCAGCGTATTTCATCTCAAGGCACTAAAAGCAAGCTGTGTGGCAATGTTTGTTGTCTTTAGATCTGGTTAAACTTCAAAAGCTCATCACATTATCCAAGATTAAAAGAGAAATAATAACAAACTGTACTCTTCAAGACAAATTGCCATTATTGAAGGGATGTTTTATACATGACTTGTCGTAGTTCATTCTAAGATAACAAAATGCTAGTTCCTCCTTATGTTTGTAAATAATCAAGTGCATGGTGAATCACAATATTATTTAAAAGAATTCCTGAAATTAGTTTTTTAGTCTAAGTACACCTTTATTAGAGGTTTGTGAAAGATTTTTGTTTGAAATCTTTTATGTAGTTGCTGGTTTGTTGAAAGACATGACAATATGCCCAGTATGAAAATTAACGTTAGCAGGGTTTGTGCAATTCAAGTTCAATATATTTTACTGTTACTGAGGTGAAGAATATCATTTTTAATACTGAGGAGTTCACAATTTTGTCAAGTCAAGTTTTTTATCAATGCACTTTGTCTTACCAAATATTTTAATTACTTAACAACTGAAGGTTTCATGGACACATCAACTACACCATGCAAAAAATATACACCTCTTTTCTAATCCTAGTGGCTCCAAAATGTGTTCAAGCTACTCCATTTTTAGCCTGAATTTCAGCTGTGACCTTGATTTGCAAACACGAGGAGATGGTTGAAATTTAACCCATAATAATATTGTCCTTAAAGCTGAACAGTAATTTTCTAACTTAGTGATCTGTCAAAGAAGAAATCATACACTGATATTCCAGCTTAAGTGGTGAACTAACTCAGTCTACAGTGAACTCTCTCCTGCAAGATAGACCCTCTTGAGATTGGCTCTCAGTGTCCTTCTGAGAGAGGTGTTAACCTGTGATCTTATATATAGGTACATTGTAGTAAAGAGAATCAATGAGGAATACATAGTCAAACTCAAGGTGGTGGTCCAATTATTAACCCTTTAAGCCCGGATATCCACATACAAATTCTCCAAACTGATCTCCTTACATTTCCTTAAAGAATTAGTTGAGAGAATTTGATAACAGATCAAAGCATTTTCTCTTTAGTGACCATTTTATTGACTCTCATAACCATTTCTCTTGCCAACACATGGACATTGTTAGGAGAAAATTGATGTTGGTCACTATTGGGACTCAAAGGGTTAAGAGGTGTCCATAGAGCAAGAGAAAGTTGATTGAATGTACAGCCTGGTTTACAGACATTAGAAAAATCCTGGACAATCAGGAATTTCAATGTTATCTCACCATTCCACGATCCAGATAATTGCCAATAAGTCAAAAAAAATCTTTAGTCTAAAGCTAAGAAGGACCAAGCAAAAACAATCACCCATTGATCCCTAGCCTGCAACAGTATAATCTGTCAAGTTTTCATACCTTGGGAGAAATAAGTGACCATCATAGAAATCTGGAACACATTAGGAAAAATTAAAACTTTATGTTCATGATTCTTCTGATTTGGCTGACAATAGTTTAGTTTACATTAGTAGTCAAAATCTGGGGTGGTCAGTATAAAGGGTGAAATTCCTATATTGTCTTAGATCTTCCCAACTTAACATGAAAACAAGGCCCCAGTTGTTCCAAAGATGGATATCCAAAGTTTGAACAGCTGGTATTTCATTTAACATTGTTGGAAAGCTTACATGACAAGACCACACTGCAGTATGGGTAATTTCATAAAAATTTACCAAACTCAACCATGAAACAACTCTCCTGTCATAAAATCACAAAGGTAAAGTTTTGTGACATTTTCTACCTGACAACTGCATTTTATTGTAATAACACCAAGTAGAACCCATCCTGTTCTGTAATCATATTCTTATGTGCATTTGTTAAATTTTCTGCCCAACATTTCCTTGCATATATTTATACATTTTTGCACACCGATCCAATACTGCTAACAAAAATCCCATTCGTCCAAATGCCTTTTTCCAGAGTTTGCACTGATGCTGGAGAAAATTGAGTGCAAGAAATCGAGTCTGTGTCATTTGTAAAACAAAAGAAACAAAATACTATCTTTATACCTAATAGTAACTTCCTTTTAAAAATATACTGCAGCATGCTTTTTTTTCTCTGTGTTATAAAATGATGCCAGCTCAACTATTTGGCTTTCATTTTTCCCAAAACAAAGTGAAAGCCAGGGGAAATAAGTACATTTTCTCATCAAAAATAACAATCCAGCCAATTATTTTGAGCCTAAGGGTAACATCCTGACTTAAATTTAATACAACAAAATAATGCTGTTCTTTGCCCATAGGTTCTTAATTTAACTGATCACACTTTAAAAAAAAAGAAGAAACCAAGGATAGCTCACATTTAATTTGGCGGTATTATTGTGGGTTAGATTAAAGTTTTCACACTGTGTTCCAAAAAAAGGGAGTAAAAAAAAAAAAGAAAACTAAGATATTTTGAATAGACCTTTCTCACATTCCTAGGCATGAGTGGACAATTGCATACAAATATACAAATCATTGTAGGCATGAGTAGACAATTCCATACAAATATACAAATCATTGTATTGTGTCCATCCAAGCCTCGACTTGTTGCTAGTTTGTTTACAGCAATGCGGGAAAGGTCTCTTGTGCATAGCAGCACACAATAATTTTCTTTTACAAATAACAGACTGAAAGACTCACTTGAAAGCACTTCTTTTCATTAATAAGCATGTGACTAGGCATGTGCGCGCCTGTGTGTGTGTGTGTTTTTTTTTTTCCAAACTGTAAGGTAAAGACGGCAAAATGCATCTAAATGACCCACAGTAATTTTTTTCATTAATTAATGTTCCAATTCACAGTCCATGTTGAGCTCATGGTCATCCAATTTCTTCAACATAACTAGCGGGAAAAATTCCTGTCTTATTATGAAGTTCACCTTGCCACCATCCTCCATCTAACTTGGCTGTTAATGTAATAATGTCTCCAGGTAAAATATCAAGTTCATCACTTTGTGATGCTTTGTATTCATAAAGGGCACGACATCTACAAATCCCTGCAAATATATACAAAAACAAACACTTGTTTAGTGCTTTGTGTCTGGAAAATTAAGAACTTTTTATACACTAAAATGCACAAACAGCTTCGAGTTTAGCCTTTCAATAGCTGGTTCATAAGCTCACTCTTAAAATTCACTTAAAAATGTAGACAGTTCAAGCTTCTTTTTTTTAATGGTTTATATCCAGCCAAAAATAGCCTGCCAGCTCTATAGAGATAAAGAGAGGAGAAGTCGTTATGTCATGTTGCCATCATGAATGGTAGCAAAATTTCTGGATGGCAAAAAACCGAAAATGTCACTTAAAAAGTGAATTTGTAGTGTTTTAAACCTCATCGATCCTATTCAGTTTCATTTAATTTGTCAAATGTTGGTATCTAAGGTCAGAAAAAGAAAATTTTTGTGTTGTATTCTCCTACTCCATATAAAGCAGGCACTTGAAATTAGGAAGTTTCGATGGCTAAGAAATGGATAAAAAAGCACGACGCACAAGCAAAGTTGTTTTGCTTACCGACATAAACATATTACTTTTTTTGCTGTTTTTGTTGCCGTTGCCGTCGTCATTTTGCTTAAGCTCCCTCTGCCTTGTGATCCAGAAATTTTAAACTATGGTAAGGTGACATCACACTTCTCCTCTCCATTGCCGCTAACTTGATAATGACTTCAGGTATACACAGTGTAATCAGAGCGCAGAATGTAATTAATTTAGAACTGAGACATCCCTAAGAGTTGACGAACACGTGGAGAACAATTATGTTGCCTGTGCACAGATTTTTTTTTAAATCAATGAGCCTGTGTGCAAAGCAAGCATGCAAGAGCATGCATGGAGCACAAGAAGGAGGTTGGAGCATACCTATTTTCTCCTTTCCCCAACCCCACCCCCTTGCGCTTGAAGTCAATAAATCCACCACAGTTTTAATTTTCACACGCACACTCAACGATATCTAAAGAGAAAAATAGAGGTTCTGTAGACAGGCTATAACTTCACAGTCCTGTATAATTTCACTGGTGCACCCCGGATGGATAGCAAAAGACAAAAAATAGGACAGTAAAATTTGCACAATGACATCAGAATCCTTCAGTTTGTTGTTTTCTTGTGCAAATTAGGGCTATTGTTCTCAAACCCTCAACGGGATTGTTAAACTTAAATAATATAATCTCACCAGGTGACTCTGTATCTGGGAAATCATCAAATTCATCATCACCTGAATGGAGAAAAAGCACAAAGCACATACAATTAGTAATAATTTATTATATTAAGAACCATTCTTCCAAGATCAAATGCATGAATGCCAAAGATTAACTGGCCCTTACTTTTATTGTCCCTCTCATCATGCATAGCAGGCTCTACATTTGTTGTAACTTGATCAAGTGGAATTCTAAGAACACTCTGGAGCATGCCCTGAAGAAAATATATTATTACAAGTGACATAAAATTACCACAGCAGTTACATACTGTACCAGGTTTCTAGACTTCTAAACTTTGTAGGGGTGTCGCAATGGCTGATGGCCCAGTAGTTCATATACAGTAAAAACCCGCAACTAAGAACCTACATTTTTTGGAGTTAGCCTAAACAGGTTCTTATATAAATGGTAGTTAACAGAATTTTAGGCTATTTAGGTTTTTAAAATGGGTTCTTAATCCTGGAGAAAAAGTAGTTAGTATACTTTGTAACTCTACATAATTATCTAGCACTCATTTTCCTTTAAAAAACATTTTTACAACAATGGCAATCTGCTTTTTTTGCTTCAAATATGATTCTTGCAAAGCAGCTGTAATGTACTAGTATGATTTTAGAAAATAAGAAGCTGTTTTAAATTTCTCAGGCTACATAGGTTCTTGTTTATAGGGGGTATAAATGACCAATTTTAGGCTAACAGGTTCTTAATTCTTAGGTTCTTAGTTGTGGCTTTTTACTGTACTTGCCCAAAAATAAGGAAAGAAAAAAACACGCCCAACTGACCAAAGCAATTGACTATTTACAAGCATGGCCAGTTATTCATAATGGGCAGCATTAAGATAGAAGATTGATCGACGCCTACCTGTTTGTCTTTAGTAGTTTGTACATAAGTCATAAGCCATACATGTGGTTTACTATGCCCATTCAAGTCTGCTAAAGCACCCTGGACTTTATTAACACTCGCCGTTAGACTATTGATTATTGCATTTGCCTGCAAAGATAAGCAAGGGGTTACCACAGAATACAGAACCATAATGGTCAACACAGCACTATCCTTGATCAGTCTGAGGGCAAGATCATAGGAATTGAGGATATGGCCCTAAAATACATGGACATAACAGGGGCGGATCCAGGATTTTTTTTAGGAGGGGGTGCACTCGTCTCTTGCTCTACTTC